CAGTAATTAGAATGTTATTGTTTTTTTTTTTCTTCATTTATTTCTAAGTCGAAAAAAATCAAGCGGACGTAAAAGGCAGCAATTGTTACTTTTTTTTAGACAAAGCTGCTCGAAATTCGAACTTGAAGCGTGGGAGAAGAAGCATATGCGTCGTACGACAGAAGATGGAAGGTTGCTTGCCGAAAACCAAGTGCCGAACGGCAGCTGTGATCCTCCAGAACCCTGGGGCCACGCAACCCTTTTTCTTCTCGACTTCTTCGTCCTCCTCCTCCTCCTTAACTTCTTTTTCCTCATCATCATTACAATCTGCTATTTCTATGATTTTTAACTTCTGTGGTTGATCAATACATTTACATATACATTAGCTCAAAATAACTCTCCATCGACTTTGTATTATATTTTATCTTAGTAATTAGTGTTATTCGTGTCTCATATAAGTTCAAATTGTAGATATAAAGGAGATAAAAAAAGAAATAAAGACGAAGAAGTCGAGAAGAATATTACATTGGCAAAATTCGGATGGACACCTGCTCCAAGTGGAGTGGCATGTGCCTAGAAAGACCGCACGAAAGTTTTGCATTGTCCTCCTTTTTCGACATTTGTATAGACCTTTAGAGAAGCGGAGGAGAGGTTAGGGCACCACCATCAACCAGGCATATTGGTGCTATATTTTATTGTGTATATCGCTGAGTTCATATGGGAATATAGGTATGTGTAGAAATGCACGAGAGTCAGGTAGTAAGGTTGGCCGGTGGTACGTAAATATATATATATATATATATGTGTATTGAATACGTATACTTTTATATATAGACATGCAGACAGTGTGTTAAGCGTGGGAAGCTACGGCAGCTGAGCGATCTATCCCGAAAGAAACGGCTGCTGCTCTTCCTCTCACCCGTCGTCGGATGTTGATCTCTACTGTCAGGTTAATTCCACTGCAAATCAACCAAACATGCACTCTTAAATAGCATCAATTTTCACATTATTTTTCAGTGGATACTTTCTTTGAAAGATAAATACACATTTCTTTATGCATATTTCTGCATATATCATCAATTTAAAAAGTATAAATGTTGCTTTCGCAAACAGTTTATTAAATGGTACCGGAAGCAAAGAAAATTTGGGTATAGAGAGAACGGAAGTTCATATAAATATTAAGATACTTCCGTGGGGGTTATTTTTTTTAATTGAGTCTGACTTTCCAAAAAATTTATCGGTTAGTTTATTAAACATGGGGAATTATTGAAAAACCGTTAACGGAAAATTCTAGTTTTTTTTTCTAGGGAAAAGTAGAATTTGTTAGAGTCTAAAAAAATATTAGTAAATAAAATAGTTGGAATTCGAATAAAAATTTAATCCTTAAGGATTTTATTCTAGAATAACGATCGAAAAAAAGTTGGATATTTACTTTTAAAGTGAAAAATAATATTTATTTTTATACTTTCCAAGTAATTTTTTATTTTGATAAATTATTGTTCTCGATTTTTCTATCTACAGAGCTTAAGCGTGCTCTGAAAAAATGAAAACAATGTTTTCTTTGCGTAATCCAAGTAAACAAACCTAACCAAAAGAATTCCATCAGAAACGTTCAAGGTATTTCGATTGAAATTATTATTTTTTTACACTACATTAGAATTAAAGATTGAAAAAAATGTTATTAAAAAATAATTAAAATGATTGAATTAATTCAATAAAAAAAAATCTGTCAAATATATTCCATTAATAATTAATTGATCTCATTAAATCAAGTGATAATTTACATACAAAACTTCAAAAATATTAATTTCATTTCAAAGAGTCCTGGATGTTCATTTCAATATGAAATACACACCTTGAATTTAATTAAAACATTTCTATCCTTGTTCTTCACCATTTCTTTAAGAACAAAAAAAAAAGTTTATAATTCACGCTTTCCCGAGTTGGAAATGAAATTAAAAATTCCTCAGTGCTTTTAATTTATTTCCCGCATATTGAAACATTAAAATAAAGCCCGGATATTTACTTTGAATTAATTCAGTACTATTCTTTCACACAGGTTTGTATAAATTTTCTCAAGAGAGTCTTTCTAAAGTTCTAGATTAATTTCCTTGAATTTTTATAATTCCGTTTTCGAAGCAGGAACTCGAACAATTAATAATAAGCAAAGCCCGGGCCATTGAATTATTTTTCAAGACAGGATGTCGTTGAAGAATATAGTCGTATAGTATGTGTACATTAGTGGAAGGAATATAGAGCATATAACGTCCCTCGCATCCGTAAAGACTATCATCTCTCTCTTAGTTACTCGATTTCTATTCTCTGTACCTTATTCCAAGGTTCCAAGATCGCACAAAAAGTGTAGGAAATACTACCAGAGAATATGGAATAGAGAAAGAGAAGTATGGGTCCTAAGAGACTTTTCTTAACATGTGTCACCGGGAATTTTAGCTCCCCTTCATTATTTCAAATAGCGAAGACGCCCCTTACTTCATACCCGTCTTCTTAGAGGTTAGGTCTACCTGCACTCTCTGCAACTTCACAATAAACCATAACGAAATAATCACATACCTGAACACATATTCTTTCCTGTCAAACTTCTAAAACTGTAAAAGTATAAATAAATAAATCAACTTATTCACGAGCTTGTCCACTGTTCAACATGTGGACTGGTTCTGTAACAGCTACACACAGCACCCATGCTTGTAGATCTCATATCTTAACTACCAACAAATCGTTCAAATAAATTGTCATTTTTTTTTAAGCCCAAGGATTTTCCAGACTTTATTTTTTCTGCTTCAGAGTTTTATTTTTTTTGCCACTACTTTTTTAATACCAGTTGTGCTTTTCTTTCAAGAATCTGTCATGCTATATGGTTTCCTATATGTGGGATATATTTACAGATGACATATGCTTTGAATCAATCCATGCTGATGCAATTTTACATGTGATTTTTTATCGTGGTTATTAATAAAGCTTAGAGTGACTGAAAAATCGTACAGGGACATTTTTTTTTAAAACTATTCAGCTTTGGGAAGTGACAATAAATATTGTTGAGAGATGTAAATATGGATCAGAGGAAAAAATAGTCTTGGTACTTTAGTGACAGATTTTAGTTTGTTTTTTAGCTTCTAAAATTATTTTTTTTAATCGTTATTTATTGATGTGATCATTTATTTAGTCAATATTTACTAGACTAATATTTTTAATTCATTCAAACATTATTTAAATATTTTTTCATCAATAAAATCTAAATCTCTAGTATATTTTTTTATTTTGATTCAAATGAGCATTCCAGGGTTGATGAAAAAAATTCCAAACAAAAGTATTGAATCTTTTTTATGAATCAAATTCATTGGTGATTGTTTTTTTTTATTCAAAGTAGTCTCAATCAATAAATAAATCTTATTGTCAAGATTTCAACCGATAAACAGGATTTAAATCCCTCGTAAACTTTTGATCCTTTTTTATTTCACCCCAAATAAGCATCCCGAATCTTCAGGATAGTATTATTTTTTTTTTTTTATCTAATTTTTTATTTATGCTGCATTTATATGTATACTGCACTTACCATATGGTCCCTTGTATTGTATAAAATAACCAAGAGTGTTGATGCGTGATTGAAAAAAGTCTCAAAAGGAGGCGGAAGTGGCTCGTGTACATGGGATGATTGCGACCACCTTCGCTTCCGCTATATTCAGCTCAACGCAGCCACTACCTTCTCTCCTGTCTTACTTCTACTATTTAGGTTTCCTTCATCACTATATATGTAGTATAGTATTTTATGTGTATACATGAGGATACACATCCACTTTTGCATCTATACGTGTTGCCTCAAGCCCTGATTCTCCGCCCCCTTTATCCTCTTTTGACGCTTCCGGATACACTCAAGTACGCAAATGAACATAGATTCAAGATTCTCAAGCTCATTTTCATGATATTTCCTGAATGGCAATCTACCTATGTCAATTATATTCTCTAACGTTCACAATTGACATATGTTTAAAGTTGTAATACTATTTTTTTCTTTTTGCACTCTCTCAAAACCTGTCTATGAATAATTTATTCGGCAGTTGTTCCATTTTAATTCCAATATATGATTCTGGATCACGTATCAACTAACATCCACTGCTTTACACTTATCTTCTATTTTATTGTCAGATTTTTTTTTTTAAATCAAATAGACTATTCTATAGCACGAAAAATTTCCTTATTAATTTTCTAATTAATCTACACCTGGATTTCTATTTTATTCATTTAAATATTCTTAATAAATTTTTAATTTATTTTTTTTCTATCACTACACTGAGAAACAAATTAAATATTCATTATAATAAAATAGACTTTACATACCGATCTAAACAGCTTTTTTGTTTCACACTATTGTTGTTAAGAAGTTGTTAAAGTTGGAATCACAAGTGTTATTGAATAAAATTAAAATATATCCATTGTTAACATTAGAAAACAACCCAGAAATGTCGAAACTCTTGGCTGCAATCTGAAATAAATAAATGTTACTCAAAAATATTCTTACTATCTATTGTATCATATATTGTTATAAATATTACTCTAGAACTTGACAACCCAAGTATCATATTCATAAGTAAACACGTTAAAAACGACTACTACAAACCGGAAACCGTTGGTGGGAAAGTAAACAAACTCAACAACGTGCTAATGTTCAAGGATCATAATGATCTGAGTTTGTTCTTGACTTTGCAAATTATATCGCGTTTTCTTTGATTTATGTGCCATTGAATTCCCACGAGTATGCATAAGATTCCACGAGTATTAGTGTACAGCATTATGATATTAATCGTTTAGATAAGTCACTAAGTGCTGAAATAGCTGTACAAGTCAAGTGCATGTCTTTATATAATTTATATATGAACGTAGTGTCGCACCAGCCGCTGATGCAAAAAGACTTACGCAAGCATGAATGAATGACTCGATAAAAGAGCGGGCAAGTCGCGTGACGGTCTCACGTGCCGCGCTTGACCTCGATCAATTGCTTCATACTTACTTGTTTATGTAGGGGAGACTCAGGGAAAAATAGGATATAGGGTAAAACGTTTAACAGTTCATCAACTCCCATGTCTCACTTGGTCAACTGTCAAAATCCATTCTGTCCTATTTTACCCCTCACATATTTATTTTTTATCTTCCAAGGATATAAATCAACGTCAGACTGTATTTGATAGAAAAATTATGTTAGTTTTTTAACTCATCTTTATCCATCGTTGTGTAAATGCAATATTTCAATTTTAATTTTTTTTAATATTGAAAATAATCAATTTTTTTTACCAACCTTTCCTTTTTTTGAATGTATTTGTAATTGTTATTAACAATAAAATCAATTAATATGTTTTTATTTGCACCCTTGGGAGGTAATGGGTTAATTATTGTTCGTTGCAAAAATTTTTTTATTCTTGTTAACCTTTTGTAGCCTCATGTAACATTTCTGTAACAAAAAAACAATTATTCTGTATTAACAATAATATAATAATTAATACAATAAAAATATTTTTTAATTTGGAGACATAATTTACCTTTTACGATCTTAGGCTTCAAAGGATTAAGATTAAAGCATGCAAAATTGCATGAAAGTCAAGAGTTGATGTCGAATGATGCATGATCCATATATTGTATGTATTCGTTCGGTGGTAAGAGCTCGCCGGAAGTGGTTCCATATGGCCCCCTTGTTGGTCTGACCTGTTGAACCACCTCATAACCGGAAGTATACTATACACTTTTTGTTCTCGTAATTTTTTTTTTAGATATGAAACTAAAAAAACCGAGTGAATGATGATGCATAACATGAAAACAATAATCGATTATGTATATAAATCTTGGCAATATGGTCAATATTTTGTATACAAGGCTTCCAGATTTTTTTTTGCTAAAAAAAAAATCAAAACATTAAATTAAAAATATATTTCTTTCCTTTTGAATAATTACTAAATAATTTTTTTCACTATTTTATTTATTAAAAAAAGAAGCTATAAAATAATAATTTTATTCTTAGTAAAATAAATGTGAAATTTGTGCAATAAAATGCGGATTTCTAGTCACAAGTTTTATTAGAGTGTGATTAATTCATTAGTAGATAAAAATATTCCATTAATCAAGGTAAAAGTTTCTTCTTTTAATCAAAAAATAGACTAATTAAACTGTATTAATTAAAATTCAATAATTAACTAGAAATCTTCATCTGAATAAATTCTTTTAATTGAATCGAAATAAGATATAACCTTTCTACTGCGATCAAATGTTTTCAAAACAAACATTACAGATGAAAACAAAAATACGATTCGTCATTGAATGAAGAGAAGGCATCCAAACATAAACTAGTGCAATTTCCTGATAAAAGATAATAATAAAACAAAAGATTGAAATCATTTAGTATACTTACTGTATGTCATAAGTGAACGTGTAAATTTCTGGGCGCGTGGCGTTGGAGAGCTTCTGTATATACTTTTACTCCTCGACTCTCCTGCATGATGAAAAAGAAGCAGAGTAAAGTGGTGACGTCACAGGAAGGTGGCATGCGGCGCGTGCCGGGATCAGATCGAGTTTATGGTGACGATGAAAGTGCGTGTATGCGTCGAGCGTTCAGTGGAGCATTCAGTGAGGCATTTGGTTGGCCGTACTCTGTGAGGATCAAATACACAATAAAGAGAGATAGGTATAGCCACTATTACCACAGATGTACGATAAAAAGACAGAGATACGACATATTTAAAAGTAGCATTGCTGTAATATACATACATACTTACATATACGTAGTGATAGGGTGGCTGACGCGTGCAGCCGGCCTGCAGCTGCCTCCCTCAGGTCTCTCTTCACCTCTCCCCCTTCGAAATCAACCCAAGCTTACCCAAGAGGCCCCTCCTTCGTTCTACCACCAGGCTTTTCGGCTTCCAGTCTACGTACTATGTCGTAGCATCATAACTTCTACCCCTCAGTCCGGCCTTCCCCTTCTCCATCAAACCATATCTCTTTCTTGCTCACTGGTGCTCTGCGGGCCCCGTAGAACCGCCATTATAAGTAGGGGTGCCGTTCTGTTAATACCTCCAGTCGAGTACAGACAAGGGTAGCTGTTGAAGCCGTTGTACTTAGCATTTTCAAGTCATTCCAATAGCCCGCGTGTGTTATAAACAACTTGTGGCCAATTTTAAGGATTACTTGTATTATTATAATTTTATTAAAAACTAATTAAAGAAAGGATTATTTATTTATTTAAGTGTGCTTATTGTGGTATGATTAGTAAAACAATATTGTGTCGTGTGTAAATTTGAATTTGAATCAAACTTTGTAAAATGATATAGAGTGTTGTGTTTCCGATTGAGGATAACTTTTTTTTAGTTCTGTGCTAATCCGCTGAGTGGTACTAGTGGCATTGGGAGAAGAAGCCGGAGAAGCAACAGTACAAGACGGAAAACAGGAATAAAAAATAGAAAAGTCAAGAGTTTTTTGACGAAAAAAAGGAAGAAAAGACTGAATTTATACTGTTGTTTGAATGCCAGTAGATGTTTGGCTTTTTAAGTAGTAGACAACAACAGTCGTTATAGCTTTGTATTTTGTGTTTTCTGTCTACAGTCATATTATTTCAAGCTTTCTAGGAAAGACATTTCCTAACGGTTCTGTATTTTCGTTGGCAAAAAAATCTCAAAAAGTAACTTATTATTTTTAAACATAACTGAAGTAATTTTTTTATTTATAAAAATTAAAAAAATTATATATTTTTGTCTCACTTCTGTCAAATCCTTGACTCTTTCGACTTGGTGTATATCCCCACTCTTGATTCAGCTTTCGTTGGCAAGGAGGGGGTCAAGGGGAAATAGGGGAACGACACAGGCGAGTCATCTCGTTACACCGGAGGTTCAGATCAACTCAGTGTGCCAGTGCGCGACCTGCCGTGTGTGATGATTGTGTGTTCTTCTATTTATGTCTCCGCAAACTCAACCCGGTACCTGTAAATACCTTTGAAAATTTTTACAACAATTAAATGATGACAACAATGTACTGTCGCCGTGAATTGTTGTGGGAAGTGTACAGGAATACAATTAATTGTTTATCTTAATTTGAAGACAAATTATTCTCGACAACAACAAAAAATTCCAAAGTCAAAGTATAAAGGAAAGGAGAATTAGCAAGAGAGACCAACATTTAATATTAAAGATCAGAAGCGTGAGACGCCAACATCAGAATCGAAGAATTTCTAGTTACTATTCATTGGCACTTCGTTCAGGATCAATGGATTAAGTGTAAATATGTTGAAAGTGTGAAATTGATACGAGTATATTGGTAATAATCAGAGTGCAGTGATAATAATAGTGAAATTGGTTAAGGCAAGAGTTGATAAACGAGAGTTTTTGAGGCACAAGAAGAGAGAGGAGTTGGTTAGGAAGCCCTTATGGCTGTGCATCGAGTATTAATTGCCTCAAAGAGGAGGTAACAACGCGAGTTGTACGACGCGATTGTACCGCGTAGCGACGTAAACATCGGAGAAGCTCTATCTAATCAGAGCTTTTGACACAACATGTGGACAGCGATGCTAGTGTGGACGGTCGCCGTCGTGCTTTTACCGTCACCCCGAGCAGTAAGTTTCATTCTTATGCTATTTTCACCTTGTTCACCTTTATTTATTCATTCTTTTTTCTAATTTCAGATACTTTATAATCCATTTATACGATTAACAAGCCAATACGATGTCATTTAAATTATCCATTCATGCATTATCTGTGCTCTTGAAACCTTCTGCTTCCATTTTCTAAAGAGCCAAGTCTCATTATATACATCTCAGTGATGCCTAATCCTATTTTTCATCACACTGCATCATTTTTGATGATAAATCTGGCATTAATCTTTATCCTAAGCGTTTCCAGACACCTTTAAACGCTGTTAAAGCTTATTTAAACAAATATTTGATCGGTTTTCGCTGCAGTTGACAAAGAAAAGTTGACAGAAAATCCCTTTGAATGAATTATAAGATTATTTACTTATTTTTTTTTTTGTTGAACAACGTCGTGTGCCAACGAGATTAAGACAACAAACTATTTTGAATGTACATAAATCTTATGTCTTTTTAATTTTATCTAACTTCGCCGTCTTTATATATACATTATATTTTACGTTTACTTTACTATTTATCTATTTTTACGTCCCCCTTATTTAAATTTATCACTAATTATTATTAAAACATTTTTTTTCGTCTAAAATTTCAAGTTCAACGGTAATAATTATTAGTATAATGAATGAGAAAAATAATCCAGGGACATCCATAAATACTCCGAAACCATTCGGACTCCAGAAATAGACTCAAGTACGCTTAAAGTACAAATTCTTCAAAAACAGAAGGACTTTTTCCCGTCGTTTTATGACGGTTAAAATAGATTATACGTGATTTAATCAAAGTCAATGAAATCTTTACTTTCTCTTTTTTGTCCCTTTGCCCTTTAATTTGATAATTTATTGTTCTTGTTAACTTGCTCACTTCATTGCTAGATAAACGTGGGTTACATCCACTAGATTCTTTGTAGAATAGTTTTAATTCCTAACATAATAGTAAATTATTCACATAAATAACTTGCTTAAAATGTTTTCATGATTAAAAATAGATTATTAAGATAATAATTTGATAGAAACCATTAATTAATTTTTAGTATTAATAATAAATATAAATATTTTTAATGTTATATAAATTCTCAAGTGTTTCTATACATATTTTCATGGCAAGAAACATGACGAAATTTATACTAACGATAGTTTTACATTTTATAATCATAAACAATTAATTATAAAGCTTTTCACTTCAAATATGTGACTACTAATCCTTAGAGACAGGTTTCAAAGAAATAAAATGTTGATTTTATATGTTTTTATATTAAAGAAAATTTTCGCGTGTTTGAACGTCAAGAAATAAAATATAAAATGTTTAATAATTAAAAATTAATGATTATTTACTTTAAATAAACCGTTGCCGACCGTTATATAGATAACTATAAAGCATAGACTTTATATATATTTTTTAAATTTATTTATGGCTTTTATTTAACTCATTTTGCTTACTTTTTTCTGTAAATCTGCCTGTTCGTGCTTGCATGGCAGGAGATAGAAAAAAAGCCCATATGTAAGAAAATATTCGTGGGGGACAGCACGTGCACCAATTGCGTACCCGTCAGTTGACTCCCGTCGCGTTAATTCGGAGGGATCCTCTTTTTATCATTATCATTATTATTATCATTATTATTCCCCCCTTTTTTGTCACCATTATTTCAATCTTAATCAACCAATCCGTTGGAATTTTACTCAATCAGTACATTATTTCAATTAATTACATTTGTTGTCATTATTTTTTTTTTTTTTTAATCACTATCAAATGAAACCAACTAAACTTTTAATTCAATGAAATACTTTTATTCTTCTAGCTGAATAAATTCCCACAAGATCAATGTTTTAATTAGTCAAAGAACTTAAAAAAATAATAAAGTAATTAACGATAACGATAACATGAATAGATAATTAATTGATGGCTTTGATCAAAATTTTTTTCTTATGTTTTATTTTGAAGATTCAAGTTTAAATTGAAATTCAATTGAGATACCAAGAGAGAATAAATGATAAGATTGATGTGAATATATATTGATGTTTAATATTTAATAATACTAATTCCAGGTGAATGCCTCGGGCGTGTTCGAGTTACGTTTAAAGTCATTCGTCAACGAATACGGAAAGGACAATACAGGAAAGTGTTGCTCAGGAAGTTCGAAGAACAACGAGTGTTTAGGAGTGTGCCAGACAAGGTTCCGAGTTTGCCTGAAGCAGTACCAAGCTAAAATCGACACGACCACACCATGCACGTATGGTGACGTAGTAACACCTGTGCTTGGTGGAAATGTTGTTAATCTCAGTCCTGATATTTCAATGCCAAGTTTTACCAACCCCCTCAGGTTCCCCTTCGACTTTTCTTGGCCGGTAAGTGTCATTTTATTAATTACTATTATTCTTTTTTTATGCCATTGAATATTTATTTTTTTTTTCTGAAATAATAACACATGTTGATAAAAACTAATGTGAATATTTTTAAAGGTGTCAAAAGAGGGTGCAAAGTGGAAAGTAGCACGGTATATAATTTAAAAAAAAAAATAACAGAGGGTTGTTGAAATGGTGAAAAAACGTTTAGATAAAATATTCTAGATGTAGATATTGTAGATCAAGTAACAGATGGCTAGAAGAATATATATCTAGAGACAAGCACACTTGTTTCTGCTGAACATATCGTGAGATATGTTATGTGTGAGACAATGACAGATGGTCTCTAGACTACTCTACTACTAGAGTATACTTTAGTAAGTCCCAATAGATTCACTCTCGCTTTCCTTCCTGTCGAACCCGTCATCTAGCTCTCACTAGCAGAAAAGACTAGCCAAGAGTTTAATTTGCTAACCCATATGGCGCCTCTTGGACCATCAGCAGCATCCCTTCTATTATTATTTTTTTTTATTCATCACAGTATCCTAGACTCTTAAAAAAAGAACCAAGTATTTATATTTACTCTCAAGTCTTTTTATGATAAAAATGGTAGATTAATCAAAATCATGATAAAGATACTTAATAGCAAAATTGATATGCTATATTAATATTGGTGACAGCAGAAAAGTTATTTCTAATTCAATGTACCAAGCTCAGCAATTTGCGATGATTTATTTATGTCTTTGACGAGCTATTGAGTCATTTCAGTCATTTGGTCTAACTCTTATACTGTTTGCGTGCACTTCATTGCTTCAAACTTTGCCTCAAACAATTCCAACTCTAAAAATATGCATGGTTATATCTTTTTCAGCAGGTTACGTCTACTTCTTAATAATTTATGCTAAACGTTCCTTGAGAGTTCTATATACTATATCCTATACATCGTTGAAACCATTCATCCATTCGTAGCCGAAAATTCATTCTTTTTTTATTTTTTATTTCAACAGCTCTACTATACACCTACGCTTCACATCTCATTCTTCGTTCTTTCAGCTAAATATTCAATTAATTACATCATAAACCACGTGGCATTTAGTAAGAGACCTTTATCATTCTTTTTGTTTATTTTTCTCTCAAAAGAAAAATCATCACTTTTGATATTTTATTTCTTCTTAAATCCTCAATTAATTAATCATATAAAAAAGAATGCACAAAAAATTCTTTTCATCAGATTTTCTTTCTTTTCAAATCATTTTTTTTTCTTCAACACAAAGTATTCTTGTTATAATAATTTTTTTAACAAGCCCTGATTGGAAACTGAATACAAATAAATATAGAAGTGATGCGGAAATGAAGAGAGAAAGATTGGGTATAGGATTGGTACAGATAATCAACTCGTTTGCTACCGGTTTGTTCATGTCATTTCTTGCATTTACTATCAGCTGGTGACTTTTTGCTCTGCTTGTGACGGTTCCGTGATGATTAATAAATGCATATACGATATAGTCGCGATTACAGAGTGGACTACATAGCACGCGAGTGTTCGTGTATGTGTGTAATCATGAAAGAAGAGATGAGGAGACGTGAAAGAAGAAGAATAAGACAAGTGTGTGGTGATGGTGTTGGTGGAGGTATGCCGACATAACCCGTGGGAACCGACTCCTGAGTGAGCTGCGCCCGGCCTCGTCTCTTTCTCCCGCGTTCAATTCATTCTCGTGCCTCTCTTCTCTTTGCCTTTCATCCGTCCGCACAAACATATACCTTCGTTGCAACTTTCTAGCTCTTTCTCACTCACACCAACAGTCTATCTTGCTTGTTCATTCTCCACTCTTAACCCTAACACGTTTAAAACTACTGCAGATATATAACTGATTGTGATGATGATTCTCAAAATTAAACACAGACAATAAAAGAGAAGTAAGTTGGTTCCCTAAAATGTATATATATACATATGCTGGAAGCAACATTGTTCCCCTCAAGTGTTGGAGTTTGTTCAGATACTTTTTGCCGCTCCAATACCAATCCCCGTAATAAATTAGCTAGGGCGATCACGGTGGCATTCGTCTCTTCAGCAATTTATCTCCACCTATTTTTTTCTCAAGTCTAATACAATCGTGTCTGCATACTTTTCAAGCTTTAAAATACACAAGCTTTAAAATACACAACCTGTCAGATATATACATGCATTTACAAAAAATATAATAAAATCACGTTAAAATTACTCTCTCTCTCTCTCCTGGTTACCACAGTAAAAAATAACTCTCTGTCTTTCTGTTGAATAATGTGCTAAAAAAACATTATTTAAATTATTTGTCATCCATTTCCCATATCATGGAATATTAAACAAAATATTTTTTATTTAAAATTAAAATTATAAGGAAATAATGGTATCAATATCAATGATGATTAATTATTTAATTGAATCACTACAGAAAATGATTTATCAATCTTTTAATGAAGGTCATTTCATGCCTGACTATTTTTTATTCATCTAGCTTTTTGATGTCTCATTCCATTTATCATTCATCCTGATGGTCTATTAGATAATGAATGTCTTTATATAAAATTCATGAAGGTTGCTGTTACGTTATGATAATATTGATATGATTTTTAATACGATGTGCTGCTGCAAATTTTTATTTATTATCCTTTTTTTTTTTTTTAAACTTGGTCATTATGTCACTATCATTATCATGAGCATTCTTATTAGCATTTATTATTTAAATAACATAACGGCGTTGTGTGTAATCTCGTGTGTCGTGTTATACACTAGCTTGACATTCAATAATTAAATATACAAGATTGCATTTATCACTGCAGTAATTTTTCCCTTCGGTCACGCTAAGGGAAAAATTCCATTTCTCATCTGATCATGACAACAATCACGATAGCAATATATCCACGTGTGCCCCTTTTTAACCCCATTTATACATTAGTAAATATTTAATTACTCAATTTACCATGAAATTAAATAAATAAATGCATAACTTTGCAAACAATTGGAATAAATACATTATTCATTTTTCTCATTAATTGTCTTTAATGATACCAATTATTTTTTTTCTTCTCATTGCAGGGTACTTTTTCATTAATAGTCGAAGCCTATCATGATGCTGAAAACTCTACACATCCATCATCTGGTAAGCACTGGAAATTTTTTCTTAATTAATTAAATAGTTAATGTGAATTAAAAAACAATTATTGTCTAAGAGAAATGTAAGATATGCATTATGAGTCAGTAAATATTTGTTGAGTCTTACGTAAAAGATGGTTAAATAACCAGGGAATTCCTGCTAAATAAAGTGTCATGACCTCGATCATGGCGTACTTGGTTCTTACAAGGAAAAGTTTCCCACTTTGAATTTACAGCTCAGAGTTAGCTGTGCTATGCTGCTGGCAAGCCAACGTCTTGAGAGCTGGACATACAAGCCAGAGTTAGAGAGTTGAAAAGAGATGGAAAATAAGAAAGAAATGCTTGCTTGAAAGAAGAAGCAGTGCCTTAGCAACGAATAGAATCGTGCAAGCGAGGAAGCTACTTCCGGACATGCACGATATATTCACCAGATATCTATCCCTTTCTTTGATTTCTTAAAAAAGATTGTTCTTGGATCCAGTCTAGACCTTTTTTAAATATCCCATCAATTCTATCATGATTATCACTTCCTTTATTTCTTGCTTGTCGAATGAAATTTTTGATGAATTAGTAAAACCAATAAATTCAAATCAAGAATGTTGAGAAAATGTTCAATTAAATTTGAAATTCTTGGAATGAAAACGTCTTGAAACACAAAAAGTGAATTAAAAGTTCTGGGAATGATAGAGGTGAGGTTTATTAATAAAAAGTCGTAAAAAAATAAAAATATTTGAGTTAAGAGTCGTAAAAAAGACATTCACTTTTACCAGAAAAACTTGAAAAATTAGTCGAACAAGTTGTGAGTAATTAACGGGAAATTCTAGATGATGAATAATGGACCAAGAAGGTATGGTCAGGATGAATATTCTCAGAACAACCTCACAATATCTCCAAGGGATTCCTTGGAGGGAGTAAAAGTGCTGCAGTTGGAGATTGAGGGGTTAGTTTGAATAAAAAAAAAAAAACTTGGAAGGTGGAGACGATTTTGGACGTGACAAATGACTATAAAAAGGTATAAAAAAATGAACATCAAGGAGAGAGGAAACAAGAAAAGTTGTAGCAAGTACATGATCGTAGTAGTGTTATGTATGTCAACCGAGAATGAATAAGGATCAAAAAGATGTGGGTGCAAGTATATACCATAAAGCACTAGTGTTTCCTTCCTGTGTAACCTTATAGTAGCTATCTACGACACTGGGGTAACGCGACACCCTTTATATACATGTATATGCATAAAACTAAAAAAAAAAAAAAAGTAGCAATACAAGGGAATCCCATTTGTTTCATAACGAGAGGTTTTACATGAAGTGTAGGGTGAATTACCCATTCAGTTCAACTTGACCATGTTTTTTATTCAACACCAGACTCAATTGTTTAATTAAAAAATGCCTGCTTCTTCCATGCTGTAGAGTTAATGTTGAACAGTTCCACAAGTTTATAGTAGCAACCATAAATATGAAGTTAAAAAAGTTCAAGGCATTTATTCTAGTGGAAAATGGTGGAATAAAAAAAAGGGGGAAGTGTTTGATAAGCACTTGAGAAAAGTAAAATAAAAAAAAATTTTTTATAGCAATGTTAAAATTTAGTTTTATGTTAATTGTAAAATTTCCGTAGTAACGAAAAGGCGTATGTTTCCATCAGGCGCTTCCGTAAAAACCAGGCACCAATTTCTTGTCTCATTCTCTTTCAAGATTGAGGGAGATAGATGATAAAAGAGAAGATGTAAGAGCGGACGTAAAAATACGAGCACGCAATATCGCCCAGTCGAAACGAGCCCTTTATTGCTGGGCTTACTGCTCGGATGCTGTTGCTTCCTTTCTCACAATCGGGGGCCCCCTTCTTCGCCTCCTGTTCATTCTTCTCATTTTCTACCTGCCTCGCCTACTACACCTGCGAACCCCCAAATTTTTCTCTTCTTTCATCCGTCGAATTAATACGAGACTATATATAATAGGGCACGCGATGCGCGATTCTCCCATCGTTTTAAACTCTCTAAGCTTCTTCATTTCTTTCATTCAATTATTCATTTCTGCTTATTTTCAGACAAAAAATCACTTTTAATCATTTCACCTTTACCCTTTTCTATTTTTTTTTTTTATTACAAAAATGCATATTTCACCGTTTTTATTAAGAAAAATCCTGTCATCTTTTAGTTTTTTTTTTGTTTATATTAAATTGCTGTTATTATAAACAATATATAATTATTTAGAGTCATGTGAAGTTATTAATAGCCAGATTGATATTGAGCTCAGTTCTTAATAATATTAATCACTCAATAAGTATTTTACAATGTTTTTGTTATAAAAAAAAAAGTGGCTCGAGATATCAAAAACGAAAAAAAAAATACGTACGTACATTTGTACGTACATACATTCATTTTTAAATATTTTAATATGCTTTCGAAAATCGACCCCATTATAATTACTTCCTAATGAGAAGTTGAGAAAAAAAATTTTCTGCAGTTAAATACACTAAAAAATTAGCAAGAAAAAAAATGAGAATTAAATATTGATATAAGCAAAATATTTTCCCTAGACAAACAAAAAAAATTTTTTTTTCTCTCTCTCTTTACCTGATGATTATATTTCATCTCAAGACTGCATATGAGTAATTAAATATTTATCTGAGAAATTTATTTAATCTGTGTGTTTGTTGGAGAATAAGAATTTAAAATTGTTGAACTATTGTTTACATCAGAGTTATTATTAACAAAATTATTCTTATCGATGTTATTATTACTATGATGATTAGTATAACTATTATTACAACATTATCTAGGAAGGAATAAAGCATTGATCCCCGTAGATATATAGTTAAAGGCAAATCTGTAGGCTGGCGTGAGTGAAATCAAGTAGTCCAGACGTTAAGTTGGAGTCAGTTCAAGTGGTCGGTAGCCAGATTGCTGTTTTGTAGCTGTTTCGTAGCTCTGGCACTTGCCTTCTGAGAAGACGCTGTTGAAGAAAGAACGAGAAAATGACTTTAAGTATCTTCGGGCACGCCATCAAGGCGAAAATGATCCTTTTCTCTTTCTCTTATTTTCAGAACCCAAGAGAAGAACAGACGTAATTTTACGGGGGCTCCTTCTTCTTCTTCTTCTTTCTCTACTTCTTTTCGACTTATATTATATATAGATACATAAAAAAAGTGTTGTATATCTCGGTGCTTTTACTTTTCACGGGATATATATAACGGAGCACATCTTATTACCTGCTATCAACTAGTGTTGTATTGCTGTATAGAAAGAAAGAACAAGAAATAGTATAAGTGAAGTGATAAAATAAGAAATAAAAACAAAAATTGGGCAAAGAATGAAAATTACAAATACCCGCCTCTCTTTCCCAGAGAATTCACCGAGTTTACTTGGATCTCCATGTACATGTGGATGTGTATTTGTACGTACTCTTCTTTCTACCGGATGCGCACCGTCGGCAGAGTATATAGCAATAGCGGACGAGCGTCCGGTCTGTTGCCAGTGCGGGACCGATGTTCATCGATTATTGGGTGCAGCAGTCATGTCTCCCTCAACATCTTCTTTTTATCCATCTTCCAATACGTTACATGTCTTATGACTAATTGACACATTTTTCCCTCATTTTTATTCCTCAATGTTATCTATAATTATGCTGTCAATACTCTCCTAACATCAACAATACCAATAACTGTCCAACATCAACAGTAGTTTCCCCAACCGGAATTTCAATAATAACACGTGCTGGAAAATATTTCCATCTCATTAATTAGATTGTAAAAAAATTTTTAATTAAATTTTCTCTCTATTAAATCATAAAAAATAATATCTCGTTTTTATTAATAAAAGTACAAAGCTTATTGAAGTTGGCTTTAATATAAAGGAAGATAAAAAAAAAAAGAAAGCATAGTAAAGATGAAATTAAAAAGTTTTCAACGATAAAACCAGATAGTAAATATTTAGAAGAAAAACGTCTGTGTATGAAATTCTAATTAAAATATAAATGTTCGGATGTAAATGAATAATTAATTACTGAAACAGTTCAAAAGGTTATAGATGAACGTTATTCTTATTTGTGAAAATAGCAAGAGATTAATAAAAATATGACCAAGAAATATAAAGACTCATAATGATAATAATAAACAAGATGATGATATTGATAATAATAATGATAATGATATTACTCATAATATTAGATAAATGTTAATGACTTGTTGATGTTGCAGAAAAAGTTCTCATAACAAGGTTGACGACCCAGCGATGGCTTGATGTTGGAACAGAGTGGACCGAGGATGAACATCGTAGCGCTCATGCGCGTATGGTGTACGAATACAGGGCGACCTGCAGTGCACACTACTATGGAAAGGGTTGTGAGAATCTCTGCAGGCCACGTGACGACAGTTTCGGACATTACAGCTGTAGTCCGACCGGTGAAAGAGTCTGTCTGTCCGGATGGAAGGGCGATTATTGCAACACCCGTTAGTATACTTTATTATTTTCATTAACAAAAACATTATTGTCTTGCACAACTTTACTAACCACACACACACTCATAAAGCTCAATTCTAGATTTTTTTTTCCCCCGTCAAAATAATCATCTTTAACTACACTGAGAATAAAATTTACTGTGAAGAAGTAATTTTTTTTCTTAAATAATAAAATCAAAATTTTTAATAATTGCAATGGAATCTTTTTTGGATTCAGAAAGTAAGAATTTTCTCAAAATCAATCCAACGTCACTATGTATTTAAACTTATCAACATCTTGAGTTGAACATCAAAATAGTTTATTGCGAATATTAAAAATTTTTTTTCATTAATTAAATTAACATTTATTTGCATAACAAAAATTTAACCCCCAAATAATTTTTTTTTGATTCGTTCTATCATTGTAGCTATTATGAATTTTTTTGAACATTGATGATTTATTATGATAGTTCTAATGGGTTGAAACCGTTGCATTAGAACCGCGAATAAAGTCCAACCGACCAAATAGTCTAGTCCAGTAGTGAAATGGACTTTTAATCATCAGAGGTTTCGATCAAGGGGTGAATTTAAGGGTGTGACAATTTTTTATTTTTTTAGTCCTTTTTATCCTTCTCTTTCTCATGTGTGCTTGTATGGTTGGGGATAGAGGCAAAGTGAGTTAGAGAACAAGGCAGCTGCAGTGCGGCCCAGGGCTGCCCTCGACAGCTGCTTGGTCGGGTGCTTTAACCAACAGCTGCACGAGACTTAGCAATTCACTTCTCTCTCTCTCTCTCCCTCTATTTTTCTTTTTTTCTTTGGACGTTGACTCGCGACGTACCTGATGCCCCCTGACCTTGTTGTAGCTTTTGCGCGGACTTGTCCTGATGCAGGTAAAGAATGAAGAAAAGGCGAATCCTCTTCGCTACGCTACGCTTATACAACGGCTCCTATTTTTTTTTTTTTGTTTCGGTCTCATGTATATACTTTGAAAGAATCCCTGTGGTATGCCTCGAGCACCATGCTATTCATACAATCGTTGTATAATTGTTGACCTGCAAGATAGTGTATAGAGAAAGAGAAAGCATTCAAAATTGTGGGGAGGAAAAATAAAAATCGATAAGGCCGTTACGAGACGACCATCACCAGTTTAATTTTAATGTCCCCTTTCATTCTAACTAAATCTACGAGTTACTTGAGGTCAAGTTTACTAGCTTGCAAAAATTTTCTTTGTCTAGTTCCTACACAATGAATTTACACTTTTCAAATATTTTTTTTTTTTTTTTTCTAACACTTATCAATTCAAATAAATTATCTGTAAAAAATCAATTTTGGAGCAACAATTATTTAACTTTCTTTCTTATTAAATAAAAAAAAATTTTCTTCATAAACTATCATAATTATTTTCGTAAATATTGAATAATTGATGAGTAATTTTATTTAGAAAGTGAACGTTGAAAATAATTATCAATATTTTTTTAAAATCAAGTGAAATTGATTACAGTGCATAAAATTTCCATCAAATTGTGCAGGAAAATACGTAGAATAAACAAAATAAAAGATACCAGGAATTAGACGTGGGATATATAAGAATATAAAAGCAAAGGTAGATATCAAAGGAAGAATAAAGAAATATGGAGGTTTTTTGTAGAGAATTTTTTATAGTTTTTGTTAGTCTCTGCGATTAGCTCGGCAAATGGCGTTTATTCCTTTAGTTCGTATCAGGATTGAGGAATCCCTGGGATTTGGCCATTCCTTTCGGCGTCGATCCAGAGAGTCACGGACTATAAATACCTTGTTGCTTATTCGAGCAGTAGGAACGTACGTGCAAAGCAGAGAGAACGAATGAGATCTCTCTTATACCAGAATCGTATGTTGGTATTAACTATTATGCGTTTAGCTTATAAGCTTTATAGGATCTATTATACTGAATACAAATGCTCATGTAGACTTTTAGTTACTATTTTTTTTTCTTCCACAACTATTTGACTTCAACTCAAGAAGAAGAAGGAGAAGAAGAAGAAGTATTAGTTCCTTATTCTTCTTCACACGTGTTTGCCTTTCTCTCTCTCTCTCTTTTTCTTTCTTCATTGCAAACAAGGTAAAGCATAAAGCACACCTTCAACCCCATTCGGAAGATGTTATCGTGACTGGAAGGCACCAGTGACTATAAAATTCTTCGTGTGGATCCGTCGTCGATTAATTTAAATTCGGTGTAGTTAGTAGGCTTGTGATACGCACTTTATTCTACTCTCCTGCAGTGATTCTCCACTGAGAGAAGAGAAAAATAACATTGGGAATATTTTGTGTCTATAAGGGAGAGTGTCCTTAGGACTTGCAATACTAATTTTTTTTTTTTAGTAATTTTCATTTATTTTGAAACAAATCTCTCGTGTTTTTATTTTTATTCTTTATTCGTTTGATACATACGATACTTAAGCAAACTATTGCATGCCTATGCCATATGGCTACAAGCCAATAAACCCGCTGTGCCCTAATATTTCAATATTTTCAGACTGGACGGTTTTTTTAAATTTCTTTTTTCGTGATTTATGTATGTCATATCGCGTTGCTTCGCGACTTACATGTATACACATTCAAATTTCTTGTACACGAATTTTTATGGATAATTGAAATAATTAATTCTCAGAGCAAAGAGATAAATAATTTTTATTACCTAAAAGACCTTGAGATTTATTAGTAATTAAAATCTTTTTTAATAACACTCTTTTTTTTTTCTTTTTTTTTTAATTCAATAATTGGCTCATTAATTAACGATTTAACTTTTAATAATAATCTTTATCATGTAATTAATATTTTATTGGAAAATATTTTTCAAATGCTTTAACACCTTGACAGTTAATGATTTCATTATAAATGAAAAATAGCAAGAGAATGGTTTTTTTTTTTTTTCAATTAACTCAACATTATTATTAATATAATTTTTTTTGTTATTATGGTAATCATGATTCTTAATCTCGGATTTTTTATATTTTAGCACGCTGCTTACCTGGATGCAATGAACAACATGGGCACTGCAGTCAACCTAATGAATGCACGTAAGTAATCAGTATAAAAGCCTTGAAAATTTATTCTCATTATTCATTTATATTTAGAGATGATATATAAATAAATAATCAAAGCTTTCAATAATATACAATACACGCACATATGCATCATAATATATATATACTCTAATTCTTTCTATAATATCCTCTCAACTGCTCTCCAGTACTCTTTGTATATTGTCTGACATTTAAAACTCAATATCTGAGTATCTCTTTTACTCTCTTTTATTTCCAATCTCTCTCCTTCTCTTTTTCTCTTTCTTAACATACGTAAATAAATACTTTGTGAATTAAGAAAGAGATCCGACTACTCGCGGAATCTCAAACGGCGAGTTTATAACGCAGACATAATATTTGCGCTTTCGTAATGTGTGCAACCTGCATATCCTTCATTTCTCTTTCTCTCCCACTATATCGTATTATTTATTACACTTTTTTTATATATATATATATTATCTATATTTATTAATTTTTTATCTGCATTTAATTACATACACACCTCCATTAAAATCATTCAAATGACCATTTATTTCCTACAATGTGAATAGAATTCTCATTTTTGCAATAGTCTCAAGAAAATTCATTCATTAAGTAATAATGAAATTCTTTTGAAAGAATATTATTTCAGAAAAAAATTTAGAACACTTTTTACTTGATCGATAATTTTTTTTTTTACAAAATGTCTATTGGTTATAAACAATTAAAAATGACTTCAATTAATTAAATGATCATTACTATGATTATATTCAATAGATATTAATGAAATGTTGTTATAAATAATTGGATATGATTAAACAATTGTATATTGTTAATAATAATTTTTTCTTTGATCAAGATCACTTTCAAAAGATATTATTTTTGTTTTTATAATAAAACTTTCGATTTCAAAATAATTTTGTTGAAATAAATTACCCATTTTAATGATGAATTATTATCGAAAAAAATAATTATCATATTGTGGTATAATTTTTTTTAATGAGAATTCGATCAAACGTAATCATCAGTGAATTGATAAAAAAAAATTTCTCGTCTTCAAAAAAACGACTTTTGCAGTTGACGTAATATACTTTTCTTTGTATGAAATAAGGTGAAAGGCAGATATAATCTTAAAGCGTTGATGTAAATGTATAAAGAAAATCAAAAAGTCGAGAGGGATTGAAGAGAAAGCAAGTATATATGTATGGAAAGAATTATATTAAGACCCTTACTTTAACCATCAGAAGTAGAAGAAGAAGAAGAAGCGAAAGAAAAAAAAAAATAATCTCATGTAGTATACAAATTGAAACCGAGGTTTAGCGTTAATTCAATTTTACAATTATGCTCCGGGCGAGGTTAATTGTTACAAATTAATTGTGGACATTAAGATGGCAAACTTGACGAAGAATAAAATGTCAAATATGAAGAATAATAAGGAATAAAAGAACATCAAACAAAAACCGATGCAGGATATATTAAATCAAATTTATCAATAAAAATTCTTTCTATCTGTTTTATAGATTAAATTTGAAACAAATAAATAATGAAATAACAATATAATAATAAATAAATAAATAAATAAAAAAAAAGGAAGAAGCAATGCGGAAACGGGAGTCGACGTGCCCCTGGCGTTTCGCAGAACAAGTACGTGCCGTAAATTCGTCGTTCGTTTAACCTTTACGTATATATGTAATGTGTATAGACGATGTACCACAAGTGAATACCGTGGGAGCAGAGTAGTCGATGCTTGGGATTGGTCCCCATTCGAATTACGTGAAAGAATCGCGTCGGTGCACGACGGTCGCGATTGAAATTTTCGGAGGGTATCGTCGACGACAGCAGACCAAAGTGTAGGAACTGAATACTGATTAATCTTCAAGCTAACTACAATCTTTTACATCTAAATTGTTGTTGTATACCTTTTTTAGCAACTATTATATACCAATTAGAATGTATTTACTGAAAAGGAATTTTTTTCCACAACATTTACCAGCTATTTGTTGTGGTAGAAAAATAATTAAAAAATAACTGTAATAGTTAGGAGATTAAATATCATCAGCTAATATTCTAATCGATAAACTTAATGAATTTTAAAGAAAGAAAGAAAGAAAAAAAAGAGGAATTCATTTAATGAAAAATGATAATATCTAACTGTACATCATTAGATTCTTGCTATATGAAATCCTTGGACATCAAAAAAAGAAATGAACGATAGAAAGAATTGAGTTCTATAAATAAGTAAAATTGCAAATATTTTAGCATCATTCCATGATGTATCTGACTAATAAGTATAGTATATACGTTAGGAATCCTTGCGTTGTTAATTTTCTGCGCGTAATACATATGTAGAGTGGTGTTTGAAGGCTAGAATCTATCCGGTGTAGTCTAGTGTAGTGTTCAGGTAAGGTTTGGCACGGAATTGAACACGAGGTTTGACACGAGGTTCAACAAGAGCTTCCTAGTCTTGTGGACGATGATTTTGCGGTGTTTCAGTTGTCGTGGATGTGTATGTATGAACAAAGATATAAGAGGGAATGGGCGAATACATAGACGTAGGGTAGCTATGGATAGGAGCTAGATGAAGAGTATAGAGGAAGCAGAGGAATACGGGATTTAATGGTATATAGTGATGTGAGGACGGTAGTATCAGAAGTATGGAGATGGTTGGAGTGTATTAGTGGGTAGGACGCGCTTGCGCACTCACACAACCGCGTGACAGGCCCGTAACCTTTCCTTGACCCGCATACTGAGCGGCTGTGCCGTGGCTCGAACCGTGGGAACACTACTCCAAGACTCATCCCCCACTCGCCACTCGTCTGGCATCCCTGCGATCTTCTCTCTTTCCTTCCTCCTACTCCAACCTTCACCTCCTCCTTTTTCCATCTATTCGACCTCCTCTCCTACTCTCCAGCCCTCACCAACCTCACCACCGTCGCCCGCCGGTCTTTCATCTCGCGTTCCCTTCGCTTTCAAGTTCTCTGCGGACGACGCAATGGCCGACCACCACATCCTCCTTCTCTTTTCCCCGCATCTTCCTTTCTACTCTCCCACTACACCTCTATACTCTCATCTTTCAAGTTTACCTTTACCATCCTGCATCTTTATCCACCTCTGTTCCATTCTCTGCACCTAAATCCTATCCTCAGATCCTTAATTACTTGGAAATTATCAACTTTACTGCATCTTCCATGCCACTTATGTACTACTACTCAAAAATCATTTAATTAACATTGAGTGCTTAGTTTTTGAGGATGACTTTAAATATCTGCTTAAAATATATATTTCCCCCCTTTCAAATTTTGTTTCACATTTTTTATTCTAAGATTTTTTCGCTTGAGTTATTCAACATCACTACTAAATCGCTGCTGATAACTTTCTGAACATATCTTTCAACTTTCTTTCTTAGGTATCTCTTGAAATCACCATGATGCCACTCTCTAAGGCACTCTACATTCTTTTTATTTACCGAAAAAAGCATCAAAGTTTAATTTGACATATTAAAAATCAACTTTAACGACTCTGACGTTTCTTAGAAGCCTTATCAAAAGATTCTATCATGATTGATTACATGGCTAAGAAAGCTCAAAGTCGTTGAAATAATTTTTGACATGACTTTAGTTGATGAAGAAATTGATGAACCCGATAATAATCTTCAATTATGAATTTTTTTGCAGATGCAATCCCGGCTGGGCTGGAACCTATTGCGACAAGTGCGTAAGATATCCAGGTTGTCTCCATGGTACTTGCGAAAAACCATGGGATTGCTTGTGTAAAGAAGGATGGGGTGGCCTATTCTGTAACCAAGATCTAAACTACTGCACGAATCACAAGCCATGCTTGAATGGTGGCACCTGCTTCAACACCGGCCAAGGATCTTACACCTGCTCTTGTGCGCCAGGCTTCACTGGTACTGACTGTGAAACTCCACTCTCTGATTGTCATTCTCAACCCTGTCTCAATGGTGGTCAATGCAGCATGGTGAACAACTTAACCAGAACAGTACATCAATCCCACGTTACCACTAATGTATCCTCTGAATGGACTACTGGTTACCGATGCACTTGTCCAACATCATGGCGAGGTCGTCACTGTGAAATTAGTTCAAAATCATGCAGAGACTCACCCTGCCATCATGATGCTACTTGCGTGGATGATGCTACTAAAGGATATGTTTGCGAATGTCCAGCAGGATATACTGGTCCAGACTGTGAGACTCAAGTAAACGAATGCGCACCGAATCCCTGTTTAAACGGTGGCACGTGCACTGACATGCTGAATAATTATCGTTGCACCTGCCCAAGTGGTTTCACTGGTGAACGCTGCGAGATAAATGTTGATGACTGCCAAGGAGATCCATGTCTAAACGGTGGCACCTGCATCGACATGGTCAATCGATTCCGATGTCAATGTGTTCCAGGCTTTGTTGGACGATTATGTCAAGATAAAGTGGATTATTGTTTAGCTAAGCCATGTGCTAATGGTGGAAAATGTATACCTGGAACAAATGATTATAAATGCGCATGTAAGCCCGGTTTTACTGGAAAAGATTGCAGTGTAGACGTTGATGAGTGCAAAAGTGCACCATGTCACAATGGTGGGACATGTAAAAATCGTGTTAATGGATTTTTTTGCGAGTGTAGAGACGGATGGCGCGGCGATACATGCGGTGAGCAAGATACTGGGTTAATTATACCTCGATTATCCACATCAGTTAGCAGAAATGCTGGTATCCCACCATCAGGAGCAAGCTCTTGGTCTGGAAATCTTTCTAGACCGTCTGCTGAAGCAAGAGATGCTGGACTAACAACTGAACATGTTGTAGTAATTGCTACATTATCCACAGCTGTACCGGCTTTCGTTCTTGTGGCCGCTCTAGCTGTCATGTGTATGAAACGTCGCCAGAAGAGAGAACAAGCACGTGCAGATGAAGAGGCAAGACTTCAAAATGAAAGAAATGCCGTTCATAGCAGTTTAAGTAAACGTGCTGGTGGAGGTGTCACTTCTAGCTGTGGAAATTCAACAGTTAGCATGGTCGGTGGACATCAAGGAGGTATTTTAGGTGTGGGAACAGCTGTTACTGGTCACAGTTCACTTGGAATGGCCGGTGGGGGCAGTAGTGTTTGCTCCCTTGGAGCTGGAGACTCACATATGATTAAAAATACTTGGACAGCTAGCAAAAGCGTCAACAATACCAGTGTAAGAGATGATCTTGATTCATCTTTTCAAACTGATGGTAGTCATGATATCTCGTGTGGTGGCTACAAACCTGAACCCGTCATGTCTGACGGCAGATCAAGGACACCGAAGCAACTAAATACTGAAGCTGCGGCTCATCGTGCATCGCATCACTTTCAAAAAGACAAAGACATTGGTGTTAGTGTAGGTGTATTAGACTCTAAGAGGACGTCCATGTTTTCGAGTAGCACGTCCGACTCTTGTTGCACTGTTGAAGCCGCACTACTCAAGAGGCCAATAACGGACAGTGGTGGAAGTGCTTCCGAGAGTAGTTGTGGTGTTTATGTTATAGACGATCATTATAGGCATGACGCGACACTCGCGGCAACCCTCGCCACCGAAGTTTAGTCACAATATACAAAAAGATAATATAGACTTTGACTAAACCAATTAAAAAATGAAATTTTTTAAAATAATAGACTATTATCAATTATGTATTCCTCTTTTTTTCTGACATTTTCTCTTTCTCCCTGAAGATGATACGCTTAAACCAAGTCTTTCATATTGAATTATGAATTATTATTTCATCAAGATTATTATTAAAAGTTGAAAAAAAAATAATTATTCAATGAGATGAAATTTCAAACGGTTTAGCACCGATGTAACTGGATTATGTCGTATTACAGCGTACAAAGCCCAGGGAAAATGAGAAATTAGACAATGAAACATGGAGGAAAGTGAGAAATGCTGTGTCGGCGGTGACACATTTACACCGCGAAACCCCTTTTTCCTTCAGCCCCTCTAGTTATATTTAATATTACGATTCAACTAAATTTTTGTACATAATTTATTTATTATTATTGTTATCTACATTTATTGAGAAAACCTGGATGTTACATAATTCCACGTAATGTCAATAATTTCTTTATTATTAAATATTAATTAATTAATTATAATTGTAATAATTATTATATTATTATTAAAATTTCATTGCATTATCATTGTTCCAGTAATTGATGTTGCGTGCGAATGATTTATGTGCGATTTAGAGTGATTTAGATACTTTCCAGTGTCTTGAGTATAAAAAAAAAAATATAAATATATAGATATTTATATATATTATATATTTGTATACGTTTATTTTTTCAACGTAAAATTGTCACAATTTATGATTTTATATTTTTCTGTCTTTTTGACAATTTTCCAGAATGTAAATGTATAAATGCATGTCTACGAGCTTTATATACATCTGTAATTTTCATTGTAAACCGTTTAGAAAACTGATAAATATGTAAATTTATTATTATTTATATAAATTGCTTGCAAGCTTTTGTAAAACAAAAAAAAAAAAAAATGAAAAAAATTATTAAGGAGAAAAGAAGACAGGACAAATTTGCAAAAGAATTTTTTTCTCACAACAACGTTTGTAATTTTGCTTTCGAGAACGGATGGCGGCGAAGACGTCTGGTCGTTTCCAAAAATAATTCTTAGAGAAAGAAGAATGACGACGAATCCCCTTCTCCAAAAGTATGTATGTATAGTAAGTGAGAAGTGAATAAAATAAAGAAGGGGTATAAATTGTTGTCTCGCCACTAAATGCCTGTCATTCGTTACCGAAAAAAAAATTCATGAAAAAAAAAAATAACTAAACGAAAACAAACTGATATAATTAAATATTGTATTGCTACAAAATCATTCAATGATTAATTCATTAAATACAACATTAATTTACTAATTAATGGATTTAATTAATTAATTAACAATGATTATGTGAAAAAAAAGTATTGTATAATTGTACGTATGTATAGATAATATGACTAGGACGTTATTTTGACACTTGTGTGTCAAGATTGTGCGAGATTTAAATATATTAATATTTTCATTGTAATTATTTTCATCTTCTATATATTTATATAAAACAAATTATTTTTTTCATGATTGACACCTTTTATGCTCGCTATTTGTAATAAATAAATATAACAAGTGTGTCTTGTTAATGCGCTACTTATGTATAATTAGATAATTATTTATTTGTGAACATGATGCTGAGTTTAAATCAATACTGGTAGAATGATAATGTTAATAAAATAATGATCATAACGATAATATTTATAAATAAATCATACTTTATAACAATCATTTGAATGATGACGAAGATGATGAAAATAAAAATTCTATAATGTTCCTGTTAAATAATATTTCATTGAACAATTTAAATAAATAATTAAATAAAGAATAAATCATGACAAGTAATTAAGACTTATTTATAAAATAATCAAAATATTCGATGACAAATCATACAAGAGTGAGAAATTTATTATTAATCAATTTCTTAAGCTTTCATTTATCTCTAGTTTCGTGTGAATTTTTTATAAATATTTTCACGATTGTTGTTTCAAACGATTATTTTGAACTGTTAAACAAATAAATTATCCCACTTTAATAAAAATTAATTCTATTATTTTTTTTTTAATAATTGTTCTATCTTCGTTCAATCACTTTTGCTGAAATTTTTCTATCGACACTTTATGTATTCAAACAATTAAAAATAATTATAAAAAATCAATTTCTCTTCTAAACTGAAAAAATATAAACATATATCTTATAACCAATTAAACTTTCAAAAAATATATCGAGCATCTATAGACTAAAAAAAATTACAATACTATTAATCAAAAAATAAAAAATAAAATAATGAATAAATAAAGTACCCTGAATTTTCTTATAATTTTTTGTACTTATAAAATTATTAACTAAAAAAAAAAATCAAATGACTGCATAAGTAAAACTGTGTTTGTGATTAAATTAATTGCACAATTAAAAATCATCTCTCTTTTTTAACTATAAAGATAAACCAGTGATACATCTTGTGAGTACATTTTTGTCTCACAAGTAATTTTTTAACTAAAGTTTACCTCTGTATCTGTTCGTATGTAGAAATATATTGATTATAAAATATAAATAATTTAACTAAACTGCTTTTGATTGTATAATTAATTGTATAAGAAACAAAATGTGAATGCATATATACACTGATTGATTGTAAAGACTTTTTAGAGGGTAAACATTTTTGTATAAATAATCTATATAAATGAATAATCCGATAAAATGAAAAAATCTGTATATTTATAGTAGAACAGTAGAATTTAATAATTAAATATTGATGATAATAATAGTATGATAATATACAACAATTACTTAGTTTATGTATCAATTAATTACTGTAATAATAATAACAATTAAATCAGTTATCATTAACGATATTTAATAATAATATTATATTGTGTAAATAGATGAATTGTCAATAGAACGATGTGGTAAAAGATGAACTTTGAATGACGAATAATGACATATTTAAAACATACACCAGTTATCTAATTATTTATTTCTCTTTGCGCTCCATGATTCCGTTTTATATTTACCTTCATACCAAATGAAAATTTTATTTACTTAAAAACGTTTCAACTATCAACAGACTTTCATTCATGTTTTAACTCAAATCATCAATTAATTTTTATCGATATTCCAACATTAAATATTGTGATGTAGAATTTTATTAACCAATAATATCTGTGATTAATGGAGTTGAAAATTTTTTTTATCATAAATAATTAAAAGAAATGCATTTGAATTTTATTCAATGAAAAGAGTCATAGTTTAAGAAAGATTGTGGGTGGAAAATAATGAGAGACTGTTGATAAAACACAGCAGGGAATGTAGAATTGGTACATTTATCAAAATATTCTTTCAATTAAATATTTTTTGTGGTATCTTAATTATGTGAATTTTAATTATTTACTCATAAATCACTGATAAAAGATACGTAAATGTATTGTTGATTCTAAATAATGTGAAAATGAGCAATGAAGAAGAGCAGAAGAGTCAAGCGGAAGAGGAAAAGGCACGAACGTTTTGCATTCTAATTAGGGCATAGAGCGAAGTCGAGCGAAAAAAATCAATCGATTCCCACGATTTTTTTTTTAATCTCTAATTCAAATTCAATTAAAACGATCTATCAATATTCCATCTTAAAATCTAGACTTGGAATAATTTATACAAAAATTACACTAATTATTGATAATAATAGGCTTCTACCTTGATGACAACTAATCAACCTGAATCAATTTCTTAGCAGTGATTCATTTAAATAACATAATGGAATTTTTTTTCAAAATAAAAATTACAAATAAATCATCAACCCATGTATGATATCATCATACTGCAATAGATTCTCCTTGCGGGCTGAATGCAAGTGAATCTATGAATACAAGATTTATGCAAATATTATATGAAGTAGAATTGATTGGCAGAGAAAAAATAATTGATTAGAAAAAATGGAAGAAAATTGTCATTTGCTAACGGTAATGATAGTAATGTAGTCAATTCCTCCTACAAAATTTGCTGTAAAGGAGTATTAAAATAATCAATAGGATATAGGATTTACTGAACAGGCAATAAGAAGTACAGAACGGTACGGTACATTCACCAATGACCGAGTGGCACGGATCCTCTGCCATTTATAGAGTCTCCTTCGTTCATTCTTGCGAGTTTATAAACTTATATATTATCTTTAAAACGTACTTAGTACCAATATTATCATCATTACTAAAATAAGGCTCATTTTTGACTCCTTTAAATACATTTGGAGTCTTTAGTTGTCTCCTTTAACCTTAGAAAAATATTTGAAAAAATCCAAGACCAACTATTCACGAAGTTTTACAGCAATTTGTCAGAGAAAAGTATATGTGAAGTTGTTACTAGAAGAGAGATACATACATAAAAGTTTGAATTGCTTGCAAATGCCACGAAACTTCAGCGCACCGTGTCGGCAACGAGTTAAGTCGTACGGCGAAATAACTCAAGCGTTTTAAGCTGCACGAGCCGGCAAGTCCAAGCCCCGACGTTAGTTCCGTTTCGCGGAAATAATAATCAACAAGAGTGCATGTGTGCTCATCATCATGAGCTTCTTGTTACGTCGAATAACCATGAATACCTATTTTTTTAACATTATCTTCATTCCCCTAGCTTTCATTGTTAATTTCCTCAAGATTCATCAACGATTTTACTTTCCAATTGTCATTAAGACTGAAATAAAGTTATTTTCTCAGCTATTAACTTCTTTTTTCACTTTATTTATAGAACAGTGTGTACTATAAAAATGAATTACGAGTAGTCCAAAACTATGAATATTACCTCGATTGAAATATAATGCTGTTGAAATATATTTGAGGAATCTGGTTCAAGCTGGTTAAATTATTGGAGAATAACATAATCAAGATAGCAACACTCAAATAAATTCTTGTTGTTTTTATCTTTACTCCTTTGATCAACAACAATTTCACTGTCCAAATGTCATGAAATTCAAAGTAAAGTCATTCATTCCATCATTTAGAACAGGAGAAAGTACGTGGAATACAAAAAAATTACCTTATTAAGTTTTTCATCAGTGTGTATGTTTACTTATTTTTAATAACATTATAATATTCTTTTAAAATCACTCTCATGGAGATTCCAGTTCTCAGAATGACGTCAAGTTGACTCCTAAACCATTAAATTATGTAAATATATGAATAACATATAATAATACTTACTAATTAAAGAAAAAATGGTTAATAATTATAGGTTTGTTTTTCGTTATTTTATCATAACATTCCATCAAGTTTTTTTAGAAGGAAATAGATGTATCAATAATTTCAGGTGCATCAATATGAATGTTACTTAATGGAATATTTACATTATAATTATAGCAGCGATACTCTATGTATGATAGGAAGTCATAAAAGATTACATCTTGAGATGATAGCAAGGAAAAACGTTAAGAACCCAACGAATTTCGGGAGTTTTATATTCATACTCACGCAGAAGAACGCTTCGGTTTCCGGTAAGCGATATAATCTACGACATAATACGGCGATTGCATGAGAGTTAAAACTTATTGGTGCGTCTCGAGGGTCTTGAAAAAAATAAGGAGAGCGTTTTAAAGCCATCCGGGGCTACAGAGAGTCATTTTCTGGCGATTTGCATCAAATTTAATTTCCTGAAGATCTTAATTAGTTTTAATTTTCAGGCTAATTTGTCCACGCCGTATTATTCACTACTATAATTCCTATACTTTATAGACAAATATCATATTCTTTTTTTCTGTTGATAAATATTACCTGAAAATTAAGGATTATATATTGTTTTTAATAATAATGTTCAAGAAAAAAGTTTTGTATAACCTCAAATACCAGGTTATGTTGATGTATATTATTATTTTAAATCATTATCGAAATTTATGTTATTATTTCAATACCTGTTTATTCAACCAGCATTTCAATAATCAATTTAATGTTATAAACGTGTTACTTATACATAAATTCGACGCTAACCACTGTAATTTTTGTATCATGCATGTAAACTACAGCAGCAGATCACCCATTTGAAGTGCGCCGGAAACGCGCATTTAAAATTAAATTTCAAATTAACGAGGGAAAAATGTACACTGTGCGACCTCTATCTTCAAAAACCTTCACTAATCGACCAGAAAACTGTAGTTTCATGTCAAATAGTATTTTTTTAAATTACTTTTAATCATCAATACTCAATCAGTAGTTATAAATAGATGTGAAAAAGTATCAATTATAGAAATTATTTAATTGCAAAGAATTTTATAATCAAATATAATCACTATGAGTGTCACAGAGGCAGAAACAGTCGCTGACCTTATACAAAAGATGATCATGTCAATGTGTGATCAACAGAAACCAGGTTAAGTAACAAATAACAAATGATTTTGTTACTGTTTTAATTGACAATAAAAGTATGTTTTAAATGAAATCATCAATTAAATGATTTAATAATTGTAGATATAATAAGAAGATTAATGAGACTATCCCTGGGGTTTTTATCATCAACTCAAGGCTTTGAAGCATTTCGAGAAGATGAAATAACTATTGCTAATCAAATTAAGAGCAAATTATCCACAAAAGACAGTGTTTATTTTGATAAATTGCATAATGATCTAAAAGATAAGGTACATAACAATTAAAAATACCAATACTTATTTTTAATAATGTTTACTCCATTTTTATTCATCGATTCATTTTCTTTTGATCTCTAAAATAAAAAAAGAATTTTTTTTTTTTCTAATAGCCACTAAAAAATAGAGTAGGAATATTATTATTTCTACTCCATATGAGCCAATCGATGGATCAAACAAGGGATAAGTTTACCTTTCGTAATATGAGATTAGAATTACCTTCTCCTGCAGCTTCTACAAGTGGTAATTTTAAAATTTGATCGAAATAAATTGTTTTTTTATCATTCAATAATGATAATTTTTCATTTTAGTTTATACTCCACATTCATCAAGCTCTCAAGCTCAGATAATGGTAATAAATACTCCAGATAGTAATAGTCAAGGAACAAATGTTCCTTGCAGAATATTCACCGAGGATTGTGTGTCTGAAGAAGTTTTAGTTCAGGATTTAATATACTCTTTTCAAGGAATCGAAGGTAGAGTATTAAAATTAGATTCAAGTTATAGCTTTCAAATAGATCCAACTGTGACCGTCAATAAATCTCACAAAGAAAGCGTTATACGACTAAGTGAACTTGGTTACTTACACAACATAATTAGAAAAGGTATCGAAAGAATGTCAATTTCTGGAGCAGGAAGAGTAGCAGACAGTTTCGTAGCTGCATTACATAAAGAATTATCCGAGTATTATAGATTTATTGCCATAATTCAAGAAGAAGTGAATAGAACACATAATTCAATGGGTCTAGAAAGCGTGTCGTTATCTCATCTTCATTTATGGGCTTCTGATCCTCTTGGAAATCTGAAATGGTTAGCGATCATTGTTAAAAAATGCCAGACAGAGAAAGGTGGAGCTTTAGCATCAGTAGTATATCAATTTAGCCATCACGGAGATCCTAAAGTAAAGAAATTAGTTAAAAGGATTTTAAAAAGTGTTTGTGAGCCTCTGTACAGTATGTTAATTCGTTGGATTAATGATGGAGAATTAGATGATCCATTTCAAGAATTTTTCATTGAAGCTCGCGCTGATGTAGTTGGGGATCGTATGTGGTACGAAAAATATCAAGTAAGGAATACAATGGTACCAACATTTATTAACAAAGTACAAGCAAACAAAATTCTTGGGACTGGTAAGAGTATAAATTTCTTAAGAGAAGTTTGTAAAGATCATGCAGCATTATATAGACGACCGAATGGCATACTGATTGAAGATCCCGATAACAATAACATTGAAGCCTTCTTTAATATGAATCCAGATGGTCCTCTGCAAACTATGATGGATGCAGCTTACAAAGAGACATCTACAAGAGTTGTAGAAATGCTCACAAAAGAATGTCAGTTAATGGATCATCTCCAAGGAATCAAGGGATATCTTCTTCTTGGCCAGGGCCACTTTATTCAACATTTGATGCACTTAATTGAACCTGAACTAGCTAAACCAGCTAATTCTTTATATCCTCATAATTTATCGTCTATATTAGAAACTGCTATCCGAGCCACATGCACTAAAATAGAAGATATTGATGTCCAACGAAGGCTGGATGTCCGATTATTAGCTCCTTCTGAGAAGGAAACGGGTTGGGATGTCTTCATCCTGGACTATAATGTAGATGGACCTATCGGAACGGTGAGTAAAACTTTAAATATTTTTTAAAAGCCTTCATTTGCTGGGAAAATTTTTCATTGATTTTTTCTTATCATTTTAGATCTTAGAACCATGTAGACAAACCTATAGGACGGTATTTTTCTCACTTTGGAGAGCTAAAAGGATGGAGTCAATTTTATCGACGATTTGGAAACATCAAATTACCTCAGCGAAAATACTCAGAAAGATGCCAGAAATTTTACCTATACAGAACCATATTCATTTAATCACCAGTAGTATGGTTCATTTAGTTCATCAAATGCAGTATTATTTTTTGTTCGAAGTAATCGAGTGTTCTTGGGAGGTATTTGCCAAGAATTTACGTCAAGCATCATCTCTAGATGACATTTTGATCGCTCATAATAATTTTGTGGAATCTGTAAGGCGGGGTACATTGTTAGATGAAGACTCCCAAGAATTAATGAATCATCTGCGGTCAGTTTATGGTCCAATATTAGACCTTCAGAATTTAGAAGAGACATTCCTTGCTCGGGCTACTCAAGAATACGAAGCAAGAGTAAACGCGAATAAGTTTATTCAAATAACAAGTGAAAAGAACAAAACTTGGGGCAAATCAAATCAAATTGATTCAGAAGTGTCTGAAAGACAGCATGCATTTTCAAAATATTTATCTACACTTTCTATACAACTACGATTACTATCAAGAACATATCAAGATCGTGTGAAAAAGTTTCTTCTTATGCTTGCCTCAGCTGAAAATGTCTCCTTGCAATTACTTAGTGTTAGATTAGATTTTAATGAGTATTACAAGAGCGAAGATAGTAGTCTCGTTGCTCCGCTTACTTATCAGCACCGTCGATTAAATGAAAAAAGTTTTTCATCAACTAAGTGACATTCAGAAATAGATTTATCGATTTTCCAAGCTCTCTTGAAGGATTATGAGAAAAGACTCAATGATAAAAAAGAGTTTAAAACGAATATTTATATTAACTATTTTGATAACTTTAATAATGATTTGTCTGGAAATCGATTGAAAAATTATCGTACAGAGATTTTAAATGATATCAAATCTTATGAACCCAAAGAAGTCATTGATTTAACACACGCAGAATCGTGCGAGAAAGCCCTTAAAATATTTTTGGAAAAAGAAATATTAGCTTATACACAAATGACATTTAATAATTCAGATTCAACGACTCCAACTCCCAATACACCTCAAACTGATCAAGAAAATGAATATATTTATCCACAAAAACTAACTATTTTACCGCTTGAACAGTTGACTATTTCATCACCAAAATCACCGATCGATATAACTTTAACTGCAAATACCTATATTAATAATAATATATCAACACGTCCACAAAAAAAAACTCTAAAAAAAGCTTTTAATTTACGTGAAGAGAATATTTTTGAGTGCCATAATTTGACAAATAGTTATCAGAGAGCAGATGAACTTATGTGGCATGATAATGGAAGTATCTGTGATACATCAGTTGAAGGATCACTTTCAGGCGAAAGCCTTTCAAAGGTTCCACTTTATAAACAGCAATTAAATTATAATGGAATTAACAAATTTAATAAAATAACTGAAAGTTGGTGGAAACGAAAGCGAAAGCTAATTTGCTGCTGTGTTGGTTGATAAAAATATTTTCAGCAAAAAACTATTAATAATTATTTAATATAATTGATAATTATTAAGTATGAATCGTTGAGATTCGTCATGAATTATGATTGTTGTTAATTATCTCACAGACAAATTAAAAAAACTCTGAAAAAAGAATCAAAAATTTACATTTATTAAAATTTTTTTTATTGATTTTATATACAAATAAATTTGTATTATCATTTCTTATTTATTATTTTTAAAATTTTAAATCACAAATATTAGTTCACCTATATCTAAACCAACGTGATAATATTGAAATCAAAAAATCAATTATTTTTAATAGTAGACTATTAACCAAGATAGATATTATATAAATAAATTCAAAAATATTAATTATTAAATGTAACTAAAATACCAAAACTATTTAATTACTTTAAGAATCTCTTTTTGATTTTAAAATTCATTAAAAATTCATCTTACTATGAATGAAGAGATTATGCTTTCACCAAATGCTTTGAATTCATTACGTACTATCCAAACAGTTTTATCCAAATGATTATACGCTTAAGAAAGTTAATCTGAATTTCAATTTTAGGTTGGCGAATTATATATAAAGCGAAACGTTGCGTAATTTTTATTGTTATGTTAATTAAAATTGCAAAGTTGTTAAATTAAAAATTTTATTAATAGAATTAGACTAGAGTATTACTTAATCATTCAGAGTACGCTTTTTATGTAGTTTCAACATGATATATGTGAACGTGTAGATAAATATTGCATTCTATTTTCCGCAAACTAATTAATTTAAAAGGGATGTTTACCTTGATTCTCCATCAGTTGATTTCATTATCGGTTATTTATCAATTAACTGCTTTTAGATCTAATCTTTAGAACAATTACTCTTGTTTGTTAATTATTTTATTGAAACAATTTAAAGATATATCAAATGTTCAATTTTTGATTGAAGGTTTTACTCAATAGCTTGATTATCAATCTAATTCTTTCCTTCGATAAAATCTGCCGATTAATAAATTGATGCTATGAGTCAGACTTTACTGTAATTAAAATCACTGGGAATATTTTTTTGTTTATTTGTCTATTCATATTCTATTCAATCTATAATCCATTGACAAATCTATTTGGATAGTAATTTGTATATAATTATTATTTTAATTAATGATTTTCATTCTTTACAACTGCAAAAAGCGTTAATTGCTTCAGTTTATTGGATTTTATTCTGAGAGGGCATCACCGTTGTAATTTTAATTTAAAACTTAAATTCAGTTACAATAATCACAATGTTCATTTACTATTTCTTTATTCATCTTAAGCATATTGATTAAAATATGATAAATGCGCATGTCCTACGCGATTTCATCCATAAAAATCCACATGTGTCAGCCTATCATTGTTCACACATAGGTATATCTTTATTTCCTCCCCCCTCCCCCTCCCACTTGGATCATTTATCACTTTTTTTTTGTGAAAACTTCGAAGCTTAAATAAACAACATTCATCAGTAATAAATCAATTTACAAAAATGTCAGCACCCATTTGATGGGATGTTTTTCCAATGAAAGTTTTGATAATACAATATATGGTAAAAATAATAAAACGCAAAAAATATATATATGTGAGCATAAAGTTGATGCTCAGAAACTGGAGCATGTGTATGAGAATCGGAAACGGGAGTATTGTCATGAGGAAAGTTAAAGAGAAAAGAGATAAAAAGGGTGGTAAACATGTATGGGAAAAAATGTTGAATGCAAACATTGATGTCAAGGATAATGAAGAATAATCAAGGGGTAGCTTTTCAAAGATTTCCTTGTGTATTCCTACGCTATTATTGCTTTTAAATAGCAATACCAGACGACGAAGTATACTAGACGAGTAGAGAAACTAGAATAGGGAGGAGAAATGAGAACAGGAGCAGGAGAGAAGCAGGTAAGGTGGTGGTATTCGTCTTCACAGCACCACCAGTCGTGGAGTTGACGTTCAACCCTACGGACTAGTCGCGCGCCCTTCTCATTTTTCTGCTTATTGTGCATTTGTTTATTTAAACAATTACCAAATAATTTGATTGAATATCAAAAAAAAAAAAAAATTATCAGTACAAAAACAATAGAAGAATTTGATAGCTTGATTGAAAAAAAAATGATTTTTTTGGAAATGAATTTTTTAATGTAAACAATAGTGAAGAAGTGAAATTTACTTAAGATGAAGTATTTTGAAAGATCATACAACTAAACAAAAGGTCACGAGAGTGCGCGATAAAAAGGAGTTTGGTGATCAGCGGGACTCTAGGTCAAACACGAGCTAAATCATGACCCAAATGAATGTGTTGGATTCCGTAAAAGAAAATACAAGCTTTTCACATTATAAAATTAATGTTGGGGTGGCTTTTTATGACGTCGTTTTTCACTTTATGGAAAAGATATATTTATTTGAAAATTCTCTTGATAATAAAATAAGAATAAACATTGATACATATCAAAAAGATTGTGAAAGATTGATAGTTAATTAGAATTATCATTCACTATCATAAGAAATAAATCTTAAAAATCCAAGCAATAAATTTTATCATACTCTGAATTTAGATGCTTAAAGCAATTGTTATTTGTATAAATATTGTTTAATTAAAAAATAACATTAGTAAATGGATTCAATATTATATACCTTGGAAAAGAATCAACATTGAGGGTAAGTCAAACATAAACATAAATAATTATAGACATAAATTTACTTCTTTGTCATTTCTACTCCAATTCATATTTGCTCTAATTCCCTAATAGCAAGCAAGGAATTAAATTTTGGAGAAATTAATTAAATGAAACAGGTCTTGCGTCATCGCAATTTATTTGGAGATTTCCCTGTAGAGTAGTGATGAACTTGAGCTGAGATTCTTAATGAAAAATATTGCGGAAATAGTTATGAAATTCAAGCTATTTATAAAGTTAATAATAAATTACTTGTAAGATAAGATAACTTCCAATTTAAATTCAATGAATGAGATCAAAAAATGATACGAATTTGCCTCCTGTGAGGTTTGAACTCACGACCCCTGGTTTACGAGACCAGTGCTCTACCACTGAGCTAAAGAGGCCTTCAATAAATGTAGGATTAAATTCATTCCATGGTATTGATACGGTTTTTTTTCAGTATTTTAATAATTTTAAATCTTGTTGATAATCATTTGATAGATAAATGATGACAGAAAAAGTACTCAAACATAGGTAATTTATTCAATGATTAATTGAAACAATGATGATGATCAAGTGTGCTATAGTTATTTGCAAATATAATTAAGCATTTGATAATGTAAAATTATAGATGGAATTATTTATAAAACTGATGACTATTTTTTTTTACTCATTGTTCCAAGAATAAAGAAATAGCAATTGGAAAATATTAATAACGAAATTTTACAAGTCGGTAATATTATTTGTGATTACATAATTAATTTTTCAGTTACGTAATTAAATATTTCATAAATAATTTAGTTATGATATGAATTATAATGAAAACGTGAGATACAATCATAAAAATAATTTTAATATATTTATTTAAGCGAATTAAGAAATTTCTTTGATCAAAAAATATCTTAACAACTATTGATGTTTATTTATTGTTAAAACAAATTGTATGAATTTTAAAATATGCAAAGATATCTTTAAAAGCAAATTCAAGCATCAGTAAACAAATTGGAATAAATTATTAATTAGTTGTCATAACAATTGAATAAGAATATAGAACGGTATGTTTAAAAATAGAAATCAAAGAGATGATACTGAAGAAAAGCCATACGTTAACGAAGTAGCAATAATAAAAATCCACAATATAAATCTTTTTCTTGATATGATGGTCCTATGTGTAACATAAATATATGCTCCAAATAAAAGATAAACTTATAAACATAAAGATAAAATAATAGAAAAAATAACATGTGAAAAACTTGTACACAATTACACACGTAAGCACTTTAAAAGCATGCGCGTTTAAAGGTTAGGTACAGATTGTATTGTGAGAAACACACGCATGAAAATATGTGTGTAATGTGGGTGGTTTACTACTGGTTGCTACACAAAGACTACTCGTCAGAAGAGCTATGTGATATGTAGGCATATTGTTTTTTTTATCTTTTATCAAATTGTAGAATCTTGATTGACATTTATTTGTTATAAAAAATGTAAAAAACAAATTTAACTTGTTATGAATTATTTTTTTAATGTCAACTTGTGTTAAAAAAAGCTCAAATGCCACCAAAAGACAAGAAACCACGATCGCGATTTAAGGTATTCGGATTAAATAACCTGTGGGCTTGATGGGAGGTTAGGTAGTTTAATTCTAGATTACAGTTTTAATTAACATTGTTTTAATTAGAAAATTCTAACATTACGTAATTTATATAATTAGTTATTTTTTGTTTTATATCATTTGTTATACTGTGTTGTTAAACAATATTTTGTTTTATTTATTAGGTTATTACACCGTTTCGATCATTGGTATTGTGTGGAGAGAGCAGACAAGAGATGGAGGAGTGGCTAGGTGGTTTCCGAAATCCTGGTGATAATAAACCTCAGAGTGAACCTGGTACAGCTGAATTTCTTGGTGGAAATCATCGTTGGTATGCAACCAGTCATGCTAGACCAACTTATTGCAATGTTTGCAGAGATGCCCTTCATGGTAAATATTTATTTTTTAAACCCCGGTGAATCTTTACAGTAGTAGAAATTCAACAAAATTTGATATCGTCAGAATATTTTATTACATATTTCTGTGATAGGATTACTTTAGAAGATTTTCCTTTAAAGATCTTTGAAAACTTATTTACGATTAGCTGTTTATACTGATTGCTATAAAACTATTTAAAATTATCTCAACAGATTTTATATAATACATTTATTAAATCTTCAAATATCTATAAATTACGTAGAATATTTCAAAGCTTGTCAAAAGTCTTAGATAATTTTTTTTCTGATGAAATATTGATCTCCAAAGCTTTAATGAATGTTAGAAAAAAACAGAAAATCTCAGGTTGATGGATGAATTGCATGAAAGCTTATATATATTTTCTTAATTAAATGTTCGTTCAAACTTTAATTGAAATTCTAACTAAATCGTTTTCCAAGGTGTTACATCGCATGGTCTGAGTTGTGAAATATGTAAATATAAAGTACACAAAAGATGTAGCCAAAAAGCAATAAATAACTGCAAGTGGACCACATTAGCCTCTATTGGAAAAGATATCATAGAAGATCAAGATGGGATTATTCAAATGCCACATCAATGGATGGAAGGTAATTTACCCGTGGCATCAAAATGTGCCATCTGCGACAAAACTTGTGGATCGGTTTTAAGGTAAATTAATAACAAAATCAACAATTTATTTGATATATTATTCTTTCATGACATTGATTGATTAATTACTTTGATCAATTAACAGACTTCAAGATTGGAGATGTTTGTGGTGTAGAGCAACGGTTCATACAGCATGTAGACCTTCTATGAACATTGTATGTCCACTTGGACCAGCTAAATTAAGTGTAGTTCCTCCCATAGCATTACATAGTATAGGTAATTTAATTATCGGAAAAATTATTTTATCTGATAAATAAGCAATAAGCACTTAAGTATATTTGTTTCCAGTATTTTTAACATTCACTTAAGACAATGATTTTCCTTTAATTAATTTCTTTATGATTTACTTATTGATTATTGATTGACCTATTTTTATTTCATTTAATAGGAAATGATGAGGCCTGGGAAGCTGTTAGGCCAGTTGGATGTAGTCCTCTTTTAGTTTTCGTTAATAGTAAATCCGGTGACAATCAAGGCATTAAATTTCTTAAGAGATTTAAGCAGTTATTAAATCCTGCACAAGTTTTTGATCTTATTAAAGGTGGACCTGGTCCAGGGTAAGTTTTTCAATTATTTTTAGAAAGTATCCATTATTTAATAAAACAACTAAAAATAGATTTTTCCACAGATTAAGGTTATTTCGTCATTTCGACCCATTTCGGATTTTAGTTTGTAGTGGAGATGGTTCTGTAGGTTGGGTTCTTTCAGAAATCGATCGATTAGGAATGCACGTAAATAAAACTAATATTATATTATATATAAATTATATTAATAGTTGTTCAGATACTTTTTGACATTTTTTTTTATTTCGATAGATAGAAACTGGAAGTTGTAAATAAAATTAATTGTTGTTCGTGTAGTTTTTGTATAACTTATGATTCATTTGAACCATGATTTGCTTCAATTTATTTTAATCTGTTCATAGAAACAATGTCAAGTGGGGGTATTGCCATTAGGAACCGGAAATGATCTGGCAAGAGTATTAGGATGGGGTGCGTCATGTGATGATGATACACATTTGCCACAATTATTAGAAAAATATGAAAAAGCAGGAACTAAAATGTTGGATCGATGGAGTATCATGACATTTCAACGTAGTATATCACTTCCATGTTCTAAGTTATCTCCGAATCAATCTGACTTGAATATTAGCTTGTCTATGGTTCAACAGTATGAAGATAACGTCATCTCACACATCACTAATATCTTGCAGGCTGATGAGAATACAATCATTGTTTCTAGTGCAAAGTAAATCAATACAAATGAAATATTTCTATTTTTATATGAGGAACAAATTATTTTGAAGTATTTATTTTTACAGGATTCTCTGTGAAACTATTAAAGAGTTTGCATCACGAATTTTAGAAGCAAGTTCAAATATCGGGGACCAAATTTTAGGAGAAAAGTGTGTAGTCCTTGAACAAAAGTTGGATTCACTATTGCAAACATTAAATAATGATTTCGTTGAGATTGTTGACACGGAAACAAAACTATTTGAATCGGAAAATTATTCATGTATGAAAGACTTTGAAAAAGGTGTGCTTGAGAAACCGGAGAAAGATATTACAAATTTAAAACGTGTTAGGAAAAATAAAACTTTTATAGAAAAAGACTCCGTAATGGCACGAGCAAATAGTTTGAAAAGAGCCATACGTCAGTTGGTTGAACAAACAGAGCTTTTGATTGACGAACAAAAAAACACATCGAAAAAATTCTCAACTAAAATGCCAAATATTATGAGTGTTTCTCAGGATAGTCAGATATCGAGTTTGTCCGAAAGAAGTGAAGAAACATTAGAAAAAAATCTAAGTCTTGAGCAAGCAGAACATTATCAAATTAATATGATTGGCGAAGAATTATTAATGCCACCTAACTGCAATAGTATCCTCTATTGTCCAAGCCCAACGCCAAATTTAGCGTGTTTAAGTCCAATTCCAGATATCAGAAGAGACTCTCAATCACCAGATGATTTATTGACGCTTCCGGCACCAGATGGATTTGCTGATAGCCGTAGAAACAGTTCGAACATCGGACAAGAGTAAGTACTTTATAAAACTAGAACTTTGTATGTGGATAGGTTTACGCTCACTTGGAATTCAATTCAATAATTTTCTTGTCATCTACCATGTGGAAAATTTTTACTAAATGACACCTACATGTGAAAGCTCGAAGCAATTTTATTACAAAAGATATTTTTAGAGGATATAAAAACTGTCATAACACGCTCTAGTTGGACTATTATTTCTGGACCTTTTATAGACAAATCGAATGATTAGTTTTTTAATTGAGCAATTATTTTTTTAATTGAATACAAGTCTTTTACTAAACTAGTTACATATTTAAAAAAACAATTTTATTTTTTTAGTCTATTGAAAAAGAAATTTAATTACAATATTAACTATTTACATTTTATAGAACTTTTAATTTCTGTCATCAAGTGGAAAGTAAATCTTTGGAATGTGCGATATTTAAATTGAGTGAGCAACAATCTTCAGAAACGGTTAAATTGGAAACTGAAGCGGATATTCAAGTCACTATTACAAGTACTAGCATTGATTCAAGCACAAGATCTGATGATACGACAATACAGGATATTATGATATCTCCGGATTCAGAAACCAATAATTTTAGCGCCATTGTTCATAAGACAGATTGCGGAATAAAGAATGAAGTATCTAAGAGTAGTTGTAGCAATAGTATTGTTAGTTCTGATAGTATCATTTCTGATACACTGGATTCAAAAAGTCTTGTGATGAAGCACAGCGAGAGTGAAATTGGTAAGAAATATATTTTTTTACAATTGAAATAATTAAGTAGTAAAATAATAATTTAGCTAGATAAATTATTATTTATTTTAATTTTTATTTGCGTGAACAATTGAACTAACATATTTTAGGCCATGTAGACAGTGATATTCTCGATTCGACGAAGCAATCGGAGAGCTCGGAAATAGGTCATATTGATTCAGCGGAGAATTCCGAAATTCAAAATTCTGAAAGTATTATTGATGATCTGAGTTCACTTGGCCAAGACTTAATGAGTACAATGCTTGGAGAGAAATACGATTCAGTTCGAGAATGCATTGAAACTGATCAAAGTGATAAACCAAAGAAGTATTGCAGTTTAGCACATTTTGTTGAAGGCAACGATATTTCAAGAAAGTCATTTAAAAGACCTCCCAAATATCTTTCAACACTTATGAAAGAGGTAAATAATTAATGAATAATATTATTGATTGATTTTACTATATTTTGAAAAGAAATAATAACTTTATTTTTATGATATAGTCTGAAGATAAACAAGAAGAAAAAAAAGGAATAACACCCGAAGATGAAGATAAAAAAACGGATTTATTGTCCCCTGTTTGTTGTTTCACTGTGGCGTCAGAGGTAATAAAGAAGGGAGAAAATCCTCCTGTTAATTTCCCACCAACGATTAGTGTCATTGTTGATCCTCCAAGTCCATCAATGTCTATAGATAGTTGTTATGTAGAACCGGAAAATAAATCAAATCTCCTAAATAGGGGAAGTATGGAACGATTAAGTGTAGAATTACCTGAACTAGGATTTTCTCCTCAAGCAACACGTCGAATTAGCAGTGGAAGTCTTTTAAAAGCATCTGAAGTAGTTACTTTAGCTGCCAGTGCAAATAAATTTTCTGGATTTGGTGGATCCAGTGTCAGTTTAAGACACGACCGTGCCAAATCAGTAGATAAAACAGAAGATGTAAAAAAATTGCCAATTATAAATCCTCTAGTACAATTACCAATGTGGCCAAATGTGAGTGGAGCTGGTGGATTAATTAGTCAGGCATTGCTAGCGAATGCAGATGCGCTATGTGCTGCTGTATCTCCATTGATGGACCCAGATGAAACTTTGATGGAAGGATATTTTGAACGCTGTGTCATGAATAATTATTTTGGAATAGGAATTGATGCTAAAATAAGCCTTGATTTCCATCAAAAACGTGAAGAACATCCCGAAAAGTGTCGGTCTAGAGCTAAAAATTACATGTGGTATGGTGTGCTTGGATCAAAGCAATGGCTTCAAAAGACTTATAAAAATTTAGAGCAAAGGGTTCAACTTGAATGTGATGGACAAAGAATACCGTTGCCTTCTCTTCAGGGTATCGTTGTTTTAAACATACCGAGTTTTATGGGTGGAACAAACTTCTGGGGTGGAACCAAAGAAGGAGATTTATTCTTAGCTCCCTCTTTTGATGATCGAATTTTAGAAGTTGTTGCTGTATTCGGATCAGTGCAGATGGCTGCGTCAAGATTGATCAATTTGCAACATCATCGAATTGCTCAGTGTCAAACAGTACAGATAAATATTCTGGGAGACGAAGGTGTACCTATTCAAGTTGATGGAGAAGCGTGGATTCAGCCACCTGGAATTATTCGAATTATTCACAAGAATCGAATGCAAATGCTTTATCGTAATCGGGTGAGTATTTTTTTGTTCCTGAATAATTTTCAAATAAAATTTTAGTTTTTAAGTCAAATAAATTATTTAAATGATATCAAACTTTATGTTGATTTATTAAGGCCTTGGAAACTTCACTCAAAACTTGGGAAGAAAAACAGCGAAGTAGTGGCATGTCTTCTATGGTTAATCAAATGACTTCCTCGAGTTTAAGTAGTACTACTATACGGTCTCGATCTGCCAGCCAATGTGATACTAAACCAATTCAATTGTATGAAGAAGAGATGAATATTCTCCTTGGTTTTATCGAAGTTGTTACAACACTTGTAAAATGGGTCAAATTACTTATAATATCCCATCCTAGTCTTGAACCAGATCTTTACCAAATTGCTGGTAGAACTGCAAGTAACTTGGAAAAAGTTCATCCGGATGGTAAAATTATTCAAGGAGTAAGTTAATTATTTAATTAATTTTTCACAGATTAATTAATTCAATCATTTTCAATTTAATAGCCAAGTTTAAGACCAGTTGTTACTGAATTGGTATCCAGTGCTAGACAATTGTATGAAGAATCTTGTGAGTTACTTCGTGACAAAGGACAAAGCCTGGTTCGTACCAATGTACTGTGAATAAAGTATATTTATTTTTATTATTATATTAATAGAAAATTAAATTGTTTATAAACTTCAATACTTTAGAAATTACGTGAAGATCTAGAGAGTAAACTGTCACTATCACTAGCGTCAATGGAACAAGAACTGAAAAAATGTATATTCGATGAAGCCGGAACTGGTATGGTTTATCTACAGAATATATCATCCGATGACCAGGTATATTTATTTTTATCTATCAGTTGCCCTACTAACATTTACAATTTTATCTATATTTTTTTTTATCTGATTGGTAGAATATTTTAATGCTTATCAAATATTATTATATACTTGATACTTTTCAATCTTTTTATGAATGCATGAATCATAAATGATATTTGTTGAATAAAATAAAGATTATTTTTCAAGAATTATTTATATAATCAGCTCTAAATCTAGTTTTATTAAAATAAGATTTATTAGTTTTAATTTATACATTTGATAAATATTTTATTACATAATCATTAGCTTTTTGCAAAAATAGGTTTAATTAATAAAAATATAAAAGAAAATCAATTTTGATAAATATGGAATATATTATATATAATTAATTGGAATTATTCTATGCTATGGTTTGGATTATCTGAGTACTCGATTCCATTACTGGTAAAATACGCTTTTTGTAAGTCAAATAATGCTTTAGCCTTTTAGTAGTAGCACATAGATTATTAGATATTAAATATCGACCATTACAACAGTCATTTGGTTATCATTTATAATTATAACTGATTCAAATTCAATGCATCAATAGTTTTATAAACTTCACAATACTGCGTGAAGTTACAGTTCATGGAATAGCATGGTTTTTTAAAAATAAAATCTAATTTAAAATACTCAGTCACCTATTTTTTAGAATTTACATTTTATTTTTAAAACTTTTTTTTATTGTATCCCATATTTTGTTTTTAATGAAATATTTAAAGTGGCACAGTTTACTCAATCCAAAAGACACTATTATATTTTCCATTTTTTTATTTTATTTATCAACAAATTTTATTTCCAAACCAGTGCTTTAAATAATAAAAGTATAAAGTAATACTTTACACGTATCTAGCATCTATGAAAAAAAATTAACAGCGAAAATAAAGCATGTTTTATTGTTATTTATACCATAGAAGTGGTTATAAAAAAAACTATTAGCCTTACTGATAATAAATATTATTATGATTCAAAATATCTGATTTATTTCAACAGACGGATAAAAAAAATCGTCATCGTGGATTATTTTGGTTAAAGTTTCGTCGCTCTGGAGCAGGAAATTCATCGTCAAGTCATCCTCATCTATGTAGAGATCAAGTTACACACTGGGGAGTTGAAGATGTATGTCTTTGGTTGGAGAATCTTCAGCTTGGCGAGTACACTGAGCAATTTGTATCTCATGACATACGAGGCCGAGAATTGTTAACACTTGCAAGACGAGATTTGAAAGAACTTGGTATCGTTAAAGTCGGTCATGTCAAACGTATACTTCAAGCTATTAATGATCTCAATAATTAATTAATCAATCTATTAATTGACAATTGACCTATTTGATTCTATTTACGTCATTTAAAATCTATTATCGAATAATTTTACTTATTGATTGTCAATTCAACTAAATAATTGTTTAATTATCTAATTATTCAGTTATTGATCTAAGAAATTTGATTCAAGTTTTCAATTTTTTATGTAGTTAATTAGCATGTAATAGTCGATTAATATTTGATTGATTTATTATTTATAAATGTCTTTCTTCGGGTTTCTATTTCTTAAAATTTTATATTAATCTCAAGAATGTCTTATGACTCTAACCACATAAGCTATAAGATCAAGGCTGTGCTTAAATGATGCTGGCGATAATTATATATCATTCAAGCATTTATAAAATGTTTGAATTAAGACATTTCTAAAATATACTCATGGTATTTATGACGAACATAATAACAGTATTACTAGACATAGTTTAAATATTGACGAATCTACAGATCAACTTCTAAATAATTGATGCTATTCAATTTTAACACAATTTTTTAACAACTCTATAACTTTCAATTGTACATAAAATGGCCTTAGATGGATTTCATTAAGTTGATTATGCTGATCTATTTTTATATGATCTCATTTATTATTTATATGACATCATGAAAGAGAGTATGTTACGTTAGGTAACTGATTTCCTACAATTTTTTGTATTTATTTATTTTTATTGCTATTTTTAATCGCGTGCTTCCTCTTTCATTACCTCCTATATATTTATTTATTATACTTTTTCAATATAACTTATATATTTACCTTGGATACTTTTTTTTGATCCTTTTAAAATCTATTATTATTTATATACAAAAAGGAAACATTTTACTTACAATCAACATAATCGTGCACAAATCAACATTGGTAAAGAATAATAATAATAAACGAGAAAACAGTGTCTTAAATATTCAAAATAATTTGAGTAGTCAAAATAAATCTCTTTTCTTTGTTTTATTGAAACAAAATTTACAAATTAAAAAACAACGAAAAAATATTACTTAATTTAGTTGAAAAAAAGACGAGAAAATTTGAAATTAATTAATAAAACTTCGGGGGAAAAAAAAAATGTAATTACAGAATGAAACAAAATATATTTGTGTTCAAATCTTATCGGTTATTAAATGAATAAGGATTGAAAATTCTTAACACTTGTACCAACAAATAACTTGTTCAACAATTTTTTACAACTTAATCATACAAGTTTAGTAATTTATAAGTGCTCTTATTTTTCGTCGTGGACGGAATAATGCAATTGGGGAAGCACTTTTTCGAATTAAATTATAAATACTGTTCATTTTTTAACGACTAGTTGCTACATGTTCTTCTTCTTCGAGAAAAAATTATCAATAAAAAAATTAACAATCAATTAAAAATTATTAAATAAAAATACTAATTAGTGTCAGTTAATTGTTTAAAAAGAGGAAAAAAATAATTAGAACTATCAGTAATTTAACAGAAAAAATACAAATACTAGTAACAATTCCTAAAAAAAGACTATTTAAATATACTACTAAATTAATAACTTAAGTTAAAGTAAAGATACAAACTGAAACAGTTAATATTTAGAAATAATATAGTAAATAATTGCGGAAGCTTCTCTAATTGCTCGTAAAATGAAAAAAGAATGTACGAAATAGTTGTTAATTATTGCACAAACATCCTGAAAGAACAAAAATACTAAACAAAATATTTATTACAAGTAATATTTCATCGATATTGAAATTCATTCTCACTCGTTGTCATTTATAAAAAAAAAAAAAAAATACCATTAAAAATATTGACCAACTGATTGTTAACCCAAGTAAAATCAAATTTTAAGGGTCACCTTTTACAATTCTTTACCTGTAAACATGAAGTACTCTTGCCTTTTATTAATCATATTGACTTAATATTAAATATTGGAAAAACCTATTGATTATAATTAAGTGAATAATATGAGTAATAATATTAATTGTGATTAATAATAAACAAAAGTAAAAGACACACTTTTCTGATATAAAATTCATTAAAAAAAAAAAGCAAAAAAATTAATCGAATATGATGATACTGTAAATTATAACGACTATTGTTAATAATTTTTCTAATTGTAATATTTTTCAAAAGGAGAAATAATTGTATTATCCTTGTAAACGAGTGTATACTTTCTTAAGAAAAAATATTGTAAGACATGGAGTTAAATTCTAAACTAATACAAATAAGCAATCGCTTATAATTAACTACAAAGTATTCAAACTGAAATCTCAACTGAACGGTTAATAATTGTTAATTATTATTTAATATTTTCTCTTGTTATTAGTCATGCATGCATGCTCAAAAGGGAATTATAGTTTCTCTAAATATACTAAATTTATTTCAAATTTAATGGTAATAGTTATTGTTACTATTCATATTAATAGTTATTTATTATTTACTACGACAAAACTATTATTAAATATTTTAGATATTTTTTTTTACAACTTCTTAAGTGTTACCACATTGAAAAACATTGTTAAATGTGTATAGAACAAGACAAGTTTATTGAAAGTTGTGTTCAAGTAGAGACGCAATTAGAATGTAAACAATGATGAAACAAATGATAATTAAAAAAATTACGCAATATATAACGTCATATTTTGCTTAGTCAAGTTTCGATGTGTTGGTTAGTGGTGCTTTTTAAGGAAAAAAAATTTTTCAATATTTTTAAAGTTTCTAGTTTCTAATTCTATACTAGACTGATAAACTTTTCAATATGGTTATAATTTGTAAAACTTACTTATATCTGTAAATTCTGTGATAACTACTATTTACTAATGCAAATATTATTCTACAAAATCTTTGTATACTTTATAATTATTATCAGTTGATCAATTTTTCTATTTATTGATTGATTATTGTCAACAATTTGTTTAATTAAATAAAAATATTCAACCATTTCTATATTTATTATCATAAATAAATGACTCGAACACATTTCACTGTAAATAATAGAGTTGGAATAGTGAAAATAGTTATTTTTAACTCAACTTTAGTCTTTATCTTTTTTACAGAGACTTCTAAATAAATATTACAAGTTGTTTGAATATTTGTCTATAAAAACTATTAATTTGACTAAAGTATTGTTAATTATTAAATAAACTCTTACAAACTTTAACATGCTGTTTTTTTTTAATTTCCTATTATACACGGATAATTTTTATTCAATTATAATCCTTATTTTATTCTTACTATCACAACGTATCAACATTTTTATTTAGACGAGTAAGCGTTTCTTTTTTTCCTAAAATTTCCATCATTTCTGCTACACTTGGACCTTGCTAAAATATAATTAACAAACGAGATAAAATTTTAGATTTATTAAATTTTAAAATTTACTAATTTAAAATCAATCAATACAAATAAACTTGACTTGCCTCCAGTCCACTTAGACTTTTCCTAAGTAGTTTCATAAAATTAGAGAATTTTATTCCATTACTTTTAGTAAAATCTTTTAAATAATCTTTCAAAGTATTTTGATTAAAATCGGTTGGATTCATTTCCATAAGTTTATTTGATAGCATTTTTAGTGACTCTGCAAATGATTTACCAAATAAAAAAGTAAATTAATTTGTTAAAATATCAATCAATAAAAATTGTAATAATGGAATGTAATCCAGTTACCTAATTCATTCGAGTCAGAAGCCACAGATTTATCTTGAGCTAAAATCCAAATAAAAGCAAAATTAGGAGTAACTAGATCATTTAAATTATGTATCCTATTCCGTGCCCAGTTTAATACCGTTAATATATGATCTTCATCTAATTGCAAACTTCCATCTTTGATTCTATAAACATGATTAAATATATATTATAAATAAAAAATCATCAGATAACCTCATCGATAATATTAATTTTTATTGTAAATACCGTTCTGGAAATGCTTCAGTAACTAATTTTCGTACTTTCTCAACTAAGTACTTTGAGTTGACTTTATCAGCAAGTAACTTGCATAACTCTAGCCTGTTCAAATCCAACAGTAAGTCAGGATTTAACTTTGAAGAATTTTCATTTACAGTAGTTATATCAAACTGAAAATGAAGCAATTAAACTAATAATATAGTCGATTAACATATTTCATAGGTACTCACTTGTTTGATAAGTTCTTCATAATTATAACAAGTTAGAACATTTGTATCTCTCTGGAATCCACTTCCCGCAAGAGTAATATAATTTATTAGAGCTAATGGAAAAATGCCATTCTTCTTGAAAGATTCAACAGAGATATCTCCTTGTCTTTTGGACAATTTAGAGCCATCAGTATTAAGAATTAATGGTAAATGAGCATAATGAGGTGGTGTCCAACCAAAAGCATTATAAAGTTCTAAGTGTTTTGGAGTTGATAATAACCATTCAACACCTCTTAAAACATGTGAGATTTCCATAAAATGATCATCAACAACATTAGCAAAATGATAAGTCGGGAATCCATCGGTTTTTATAATAACAGGATCTCCTTCTTGTAGAGTTAATGATACGTCTCTATAAACGATATCTTTGAATGAAACCGGATTCGATGACAATTTAAATCTAATGCAATAAGGAATTTCTTGTTCCATTTTTTGTTTAATCTCATTTTTCTCAAGATGACGACATCGATTGTCATATTTTGGTATTTGTCGAGTTTTTAGAGCTTCTTTTTTTAACAACTCTAGCCTCCGGTCAGAACAAAAACAATAATAGGCTGAACCATTATCCAGAAGAACTTTAACTTGTTCTTTATAAAGATCTAAACGTTCTGACTGCAGATAAGGGCCTTTTGGCCCACCTCTGATAGGATCTTCATCAGGAATAATTCCTGTCCATATCAAATTCTCATGCAATTTTTCTTGAGCTCCAATTTGTAACCTTGTTTGATCTGTATCCTCAATTCTCAATATGAAACTACCATTATTTTTACGAGCAAATAGATAATTATATAAAGCAGTTCTTAATCCTCCTAAATGCAGTTGACCTGAAAAAATGTTAATTTACTAATGTGTTAATTTTAATATAAATTAATTGCAAAATGTGTTACTAACCAGTAGGGCTTGGAGCAAATCTTACACGTACAGCATCTCTTGTATATAATTTTTTATGAATTAATTGAAGATTAACTATGCTTAATAGTTTATTTCTCGTCATAGTGATAATTTTTAGTGATTAATCAATAAAAATTAAATAGTTAAAACATTTTTATTGGTTATGAAAAGGTTACACTACATTTAATTATCAAATATTTTATATTGTCGTTGATTATTTTTAAGTTTCACAACAAAAAAAACTTTTTTGAATAATCTTCTTGTTATAAATTAATATAAATAATATATCACTCTAATTATTTAAAAAACATTACTGTATACATTAGTTGTTAGAAAAATTATAACCTGAAAGGTTACTGAGATCTGTTTACTCACATAATTACAACAGAATAAAAATAATATCTTTAACCTCTAAATAAGTATAAAAATGAATATTTTAAAAATATTAAATTTGAAATGATAGATTGACATGCAATACATTACGAATTAGCGAATTAACTTTTCTAATACCAAAAAAAAATTTTGTTATATTTAAAATTCCCGCAGATATATTGCGAAATTAGTCGATTATCACCGAAATTATACGATCATCATCGATCAGTTATTTAGCCTCCTGCTCAATTGCTTTTTAATAATATTATTACTAAAAATTAATTTAAACAAGTTATTTTTGTTGAAAACATGTGAGTGGAGTAATTGATGATTTTACTATGAAGTTCATTTCAAATGACGTTCAATCAAATTTTTAAAATTAAGAAATAAATATTCTCTTACAAATGTAAGGTTAGAAATCGTGCACACTTCAGATTTTTATTCATTAATATTAATAAATTAATTAAATAACAATCACCAAAACGCTTAGATTATTTTTATTTATTAATAAACTCTGTAAAATATATAAAAATGGCAGTGTCATTTTGCGCAAATCGAATTAAATTTTTGGCAAGTAATATTTTATCCAAAACATGGAAGAGACACACTTCCGGGTACATTGTTCTGTAAGTATTTAATTGAAAATAATATTTCAATTTTTATTTAATGTTATAATGGATTAGAAAGAAGTAAAAAATTTTTAAAATACTTTCTTTTTCATAGCGTTCCTGAAATTGGTGAAGATATGCGAGATAAAGATCCATTAACGAAGGATGATGGATTTCCAGAATTTAATACTTTTACTGTTGAAAAAGTTATGGCTGTTATTGGAAAACAAACGATATTATATGAACAAGAAATTAATAATATGGTTGAAATAATTAAAAGTAAATTCTATTTGAAACTGTAAATGAATTATTTCATTCATAAAATTCTATATTTAAATAATTTATCAATCAATTTTCAGATAAAAAAGATCTTGATATTGTTAATGATGTGATCAACAGATTAGAGTCGTCCGATGTACGGCTACATTCAATTTGGGGGATTGCTAATGTTCTGTACTTTGGCAATCAAAGTATCATGCCAAATAGATATTATGAAACAGTTTCCTTAAATTTATCGAAAACGAGAGGACACAAATATTTAAATCGTACTTTACACAAAGTTTGGCAAGAAGCTTTAGAAGATGATGATAAAAATTTGACTGCTGAACAGAAAAGAATAATTGAAAAAAATGCTCGAGAAGGTAGATTAAACGGTTTAGAGTTATCTAATTCTGGATACATGCGTTATTACATGGATCAATCAAAAATTTTCAAGAAAACTGATGAATTTCGACGAAAAGTCGGTGTTGCTACTCTTATATTCAAAACAAAAATAATAGATCCAAATGTTGTAAAAGATTTTCCTGAAGAATTTTTAAAAATGACTGCTGAAGACCCAAATAATTGTCAGAAAGGACCTTGGAATATAACTTTAGAACCTATTATTGTAGAAAAATTTTTAGAACTTTGTCCAAGTCGTGAATTGAGATGGAACGTTTGGCAAGCTAATGTTGGGAGATGTTCGATGCTTTCAGACAGTTCGATCCATACAAGTTCTCTTTTAGAAGATATTCGTACTTACCGAATAGAACAGGCCAAGCTTCTTGGGTACAAGTCTTATTCTCATATGAGCATGGAAACTAAAATCGCTCCTAGTTTAGAGAATGTATATCAAGTTATGAATAGTCTATTAAAAATTGCACGACCGGCTCAGGAGAAAGAATTGGCAGCCTTAACAGCATTTGCAAAAGATGAGGGATGGAATATTGAAATACGTCCGTGGGATCTTGATTATTGGAGCAGAAGATATTTGAGAACTGTTCACAATTTTAAAGACGAAATATTTAACGAATATTTTCCTCTTCCTCATGTTTTGACAAATGTATTTCGATTTGTTGAAAAACTATTCAATATTCGTATTACTGAAGAAACAAAAACAGACGTTTGGCATTCAGATGTACGATTTTTTGATGTATATGATTTGAAAGAATCATCTAATGAACCAATAGCTCATTTTTATTTGGATCCTTATGCAAGAGGCCGGAATAAACTGAATAAATCTAAAAGTCGTGCATGGACAATTCCAATACAAAATAGAAGTAAATTAATGAAGAAAAAACCATTAATAGCAATGATATTTAATTTTTCACCTCCAAAAGGTGAAATTCCATCATTATTAAGTTTTAATGATGTGGTAGTTCTATTTGGAGAAATGGGTCTTGCTTTGCAGAGTCTTTTAACGAAAGTAGAATATAGTGATTTAGCTGGATCATCAAATGTAGAATGGGATGCAGTTGGAATTAGTTATCATCTACTGTCTTATTGGGCGTATGATCCAGATGTCATTAAAAGTATTTCCAAACATTATAAAACTGAAGAACCAATAACTTCAGATATGCTTAACGCCATTGAAAAGTCAAAAACTCATATGGCGGGCTACAAATTATGTGAACGGCTTTACTTCAGTAAGCTTGATTTAAAATTATTCGAATTAGATGAATTCTGGAAGCCTATAACAGATCGTTTATATAAAGAGCATTTTGTATTCCCAAAAGATCCAAAGGATTCTCACATTACTTCTTGGGAAGATATATTCGTTAATAATTATTGTGCTGCTTACTACAGTATTTTATGGGCAAAAATGTTAGGAGCTGATGTCCACAGTGCCTTTCAAGAAATTCCTAAAGATCATGATGATGAAATAAAAAAATTAGCAGAACGATTCCGTGATACTTTCCTCGCCAAAGGTGGTAGTGTATCTGCACGAGAACTTTTCAGACGATTTAGAGGTAGAGATCCTAATACTATGGCTTATCTTAAAAGTTTAGGATTCCAAACAAATATAGAGATGTGTGAGAATTTGTAAATCATTATAGAAATACCTGTTTATATTGTCAATGTATTTGATTAAATTTTTTTTTGTATATATTATACCAAGAGCAATTTTTTCCTGTTAATTAAGAAATTTTTTATTTTATTATCTATTAATAATTATGAGATTGGTTGTCTTATATACAATAAATGATATCTTAAACTCATAATGGTAAAATATTAAAAATGCCCAGAAAACATAAAAATATTATTAATTATCGATGACCTATTATTATAAATAAGCTCAAACAAGAGCTGCGATCATAATACTTATAAATAATAGAATTATTATAATCCAGTAGCCACAAGTTCGATCTTTTCTGCCAATTGTTCGAATTTGTTGAGTTCCACTCACTAATCGTTCATCTACTCTTTCCATATGATCTGCTAAGTCATCAATAATTTCTAAAAAGAGAAATAAAAATTAAAATTCATGGTCATCGTTATGATTTATGTTCTTCATTATGACAAAAAGTGCAAGTATAATTTAAACAATACCATTTTGATGATCAACTTCATTATTTATGGTCTGGGCAATTGTTTTTTGTCTTGTAATTACTTTATAAAGCTCATCTAGGCCTCGTTCTTGTTCTAAGAAACAACATAATATTAGTTGAGTTACTTATAAGGAAAAAAAATTGTGCCTTTATTTGGTTAAATTACCTGCCAAAGTTGTTTCATTTTGATTCTTTAAATCAACCACACTGACAGTTATATCTAAAGGAGGATCGTCATCAGCCTGATCTTGCCAACCTACTGTTCCACCATCGGCAAAAGCTGATGTACTGGATCTTATCAAACTTGGTCTTTCAATAGCTGCAGGGTTCATCTTAAGATCATATAACTGTTTCATCTTAACTATATTACTCTGTAGCTGTTCAACTTGTCTTGTTCTTCTTTCAGCTTCATCAACTGTACTGTATAGCTTTTATCAATTAAGAAATATATATATATATATAAATAGAAATAGTCAATTATTTCGTATAATTTTTAAATTTAAAAATATTAAAAGATTAATCAATTCACTTTTAATATTACTAGTTAAACTCTCAGTTGTCATTAATAATTCATTACTGATTTTTTTATGTAAATCTATATAGTAAAAAGGATACATAATTTTAAATTTCAAGGCCTCGTCAACTTTCCTTTTCAATTTTAAAGTTTGGTCTGAATATTGGTTTAATTTTAATCGAATGTTGGCAGAAAGACTTGCAAAAGCTGATGAAGTTTTTGGTTTACTTTCCCGCTGAGTAAGTTCTTCCATAATTTCTCGAAACAGTTTCTGACAAGCATCATGCTTTGCAATCCTGATAAAATAATAAAAAAGTATTTTCATTAACTACAGTTTGAGCTAATCAAATAGGTGATTTTTAAAATGTGAATATATTTAACAAAAAAAAATAGAATTTGAAGTCATTTATTGACTATGAATAAATTTATAATAGTTTTTCTTAATGCTTACCAGGGATCATTATCATCGAGGTATATTAGAGCCATGATTCAGTTGAATAATCTTATCTCTCCTTTGTTATTGAATAATTGGCTGCGATTGTTATCACTTTTTATGTATCAGATATTTGTTGAGAAATAATTCTAGTGGTATTCAGTGATATTTCGGGAAAGATCTAGTATTATTTTTGTATCATAAAAAATTGTGTAAAGATTAATAATTGATTCATGGTAAAATCATCAATTCTTTTTGTTTCCTAATGAAAAATTTCCTACTCAGTAAACATACCAGTTTTTCCCTTCTCTAAATCCACACTAGCTCATACGTGCTTCAATCCCTACCAGTTTACTAAATTTCTTGGTAATTTCACAATGTATTCTGTCATAAATTGTAACTCTAGTCCGCCATTGATAGAGTTAATTTATTTAAAAAGTTTTTACGGTTTCTAAAAAAATTAAAAAATACAATTATAGTGCTTGTTTAACTATAACTCCACTTTTTGTATTTTAACTTTAATGGTGATCAGTTGAATTATTTATAATGTTTTAAAGTCTTTTATTATAAATATTGTTGATAAACACCTGTTCCAATGTGTTTGAAAATACCAATAGATTATTACTCTTACGTTAATGAAATAAACTTTTTCAAACTCCTAACCTCTTCAAGTATTCAGTGATTCTGAAATTAAAAAAAATCATGTGCATTTCGGAGTATAAATATGATGGAAATTAATATTAAATAGTTTTTTGTTTAATTTTAAAATTTGCATAAAACAGCTCATCGAATTATGATCTCATTAATGAAGTTTTTAAAATTAAAATTATGATCTAATGCTGAAATTAATTAATCACCTTGAGTAAAACAAATTTGACATAAAAATGTTTCTTGTAATATTAATATGTCAAAATCCGCCATTAACGAATTTAATGTTAATAAAAAGTACTGATTAAACGTTCTCCAACAAATTACACTAGTGAATCCATTAAAGAACTTATTAATCCAATTTTCAATGTATTTTATAATAATTAATCACTTTTATAGGACTCAGTTTATATTTATTTGTGTTTATTTTGCCATCAGGACTTTAAATACTCCAATTACAACACCTACATACTGACAAAATTGTGAAGTGTAACTCAGACGTAACCATCACACTTAAATCAACACAGCCAAACACAACGAATTCATTTGCGCATGCGTTTTATGTAATTTGTTGTATGCACATTCATTTCTGAGGTTTGTTCTGGCCTCCATTGGCATCGATGAACAGTGATGATTATGAACGGTGAGTGAAGGGACGCGTGCGTAAAAGCAACTATGAAAAAAACAGCCTCGGAGGATTAAAAAAAACGATAGCCATAATTTAGTAAGTGTAAAAAAATACAACATATTACATTGAGTTGAAATACATATAGTGTAATTATTTCTGTACGTATTCCTTTCAAAGCTACCTTGAAGCACCGTGAGACCTTTCGTTGCTCTCAGCAAGCACACGTCCATACGTGACCACAAATAAAAGTATGGAAAATGTCGGGAGAAAGCGAAATACTCTGGTGCAATCGTTAATAATAAACAATCAACTTAATTAAAAAAAGTAAATAAGTTAATATATTAATTAAAAGTGATTAAAGCCATCATTGACGTGTTGGTTAGTTGGTTTGTTAAAAATTTTATAAAGAATTACTCGAGTCTTCCTCAAATCTGAGTATTTGTAGCATCTGCAGGTCAGTGTATCTATAGTTTTGACGTCTTATGGAATAAATAGTGCTATAATAGTGTTTTTAGAATTCCAAAAGAACTTTTTTTTAAGTAATCACCATTATTCGATTGCTTATTCCTTTGAAATAGTGACTATAGCTCATCATTAGTGACGTCAGGGTCAACCTGTTTGTGATCCTTGAAGAAAATTCAGAGCAGTGTTATGATGATATCCATATTGATTTTTAAAACATTTTCATCGCAAGCATATAAATATCATTCATTTCCGATTATTATCATCGTTAACTACGCTCTGTTAATATCATTATACTTTCATATTATTGATTAATTTATATTTTTTCTCTCTATTTTTTAACAGATTGACATTCATCATGAGCAACACAACAATGACTGACGTAGTGTCGTCTGCTATATCCACTGCTGCAGAAAGTGTCACTCCAACGACAGTTCTTGAGACAGTTGCTGGTACAATTGCTAATGATAGCATTGAACCAAGACCAATTTTTTTGCAAACCCGAGCAGCACAAGGAATATCTGGAGCTTTTGTTTCACTTGCACTGTTCCTGACTTGCCAACAGGTTATTGAATGTTTTTATCTATTTAGAAAGAAAATAAATGATAAGAATACATGGGTATGGGTTTTAAACAAAATATCTGAAAAAAAGTAATTAAGAATTTATCAAAAATCAATCAAATTATTAAAATCAGACAGTTATAAATATAGCAGTAAAGTATTCCATTTATTAGTGACTATTTGATTGTAAAAAAAACTATTAATGAATAAAAATTTAATTTTAAAATATCATAGTAATGTTGAGTCTGTGTTGAGTTATCGAACCAGAACATCAGGAAGTTTATTTCTATTGAAAATAATATACTATGATGATATAAAATCATATGTTGTATTCGATGTTGTAGTAATGTAAATTATTTTTAATTTTTCTAGATTTACCAACACCTAAGGTGGTACACAAATCCTGCAGAGCAACGATGGATTGTTCGAATTTTATTTATCGTTCCTATATATGCCACATATTCATGGATATCTTTACTATTTTTCAACAATGAAAGCTATTACGTATACTTTTTCACAGTGCGTGATTGTTACGAAGCTTTTGTAATTTACAACTTCTTGTCACTTTGCTACGAGTACCTGGGAGGTGAAGGAAACATCATGTCAGAGATTCGGGGGAAGCCAATACGTTCTAATTGTCTTTATGGCACATGGTGTCTAGTAGAAAAGACATATACTATTGGATTTCTACGATTTTGTAAACAAGCAACCTTACAATTTTGCTTAGTAAAGCCAGTCATGGCATTTGTCATAATATTTCTTCAAGCTTTTGGACACTATCGCGATGGCGATTGGTCTCCTGATGGCGGATACATTTATATTACAGTTATTTACAATATCAGCGTTTCACTTGCCCTTTATGGGCTGGTTTTGTTCTACTTTGCTACACGAGATTTACTCACACCCTTTGAACCAGTTCTCAAGTTCTTTACTGTTAAAAGTGTCATCTTTCTGTCATTCTGGCAAGGTAATTTTTTGTATTTATTATCCATTATTTTACTTAACACATTGAAATACAATATTTGTGATGAAGACTAGAAAATATTCCCATGACTGTACTTTTTTTTATTTACTGAACATTCTTAAAAGTGAAATTATCCGGTTCTATGTAGCATTGCCTAAATAAACAAGGTAACTTCGGCATGACTAAGTGACTTCTAGCACTCATTAATTTGACCATTTATATATTATCATATAAACAGTTATTTTTCAAGTTACTTTTTATTTTATTAGTCAATATTTATCTGTAATACATTCATTTTCTATACAATTAGTAATCATCAATGAATAATAAATAATGTATTTTAATTAAATTTGTTATAGGTGTATTATTGGCTGTTTTGGAGAAAGCAAGTGTTATTCCGCCTGTTATTGACAGCCTAGGACATGCAACAAGCGCTGGAACAGTTTCAGCTGGCTACCAGAACTTCTTAATTTGTATAGAGATGCTCTTCGCTGCAATAGCTCTTCGTTATGCTTTCCCCTATCAAGTGTACGCAGCTGGCTGTGTTACAGATTCGAGAGGCCGCAGTGTCACTATGCAAAGTATCAGCAGTAGTTTAAAGGTCAGCTATAAAGATTAATAACAGAATTTTTAACTGAACTTTTTTTACTGTTTGAAAAAGAAAAAGAATTAAATCTTATTAAAAAATTTCCTTTTTTCAGGAAACCATGAATCCCAAGGATATCATGACTGATGCCATCCACAATTTCCACCCTCAATATCAACAATATACGCAGTATAGCTCTGGTATGTTGAAAATAGTTTATTGTTATTATTTATTTAATAATATAGTAAGCATATGACACAATTTACATTTCTATTGCATGAATCGCTTTTGAGTTGTGCTTAATCAATTATTATTAGAACCTTGATATAATTTATTGAATATTTTAAAACTTTTTGCAAAGCTTCCTGTTAATTGTTCGCTTCTTCTTAAATGTTTATTTATTTTTATCTTATGCAATCTTCATGATTTGGGCTTATTTCTTTGTGCAATTTTGTAGAATATGTCGTATTTTTATATTTATATTATCAATTGACGTATATGTGTTTTTATTTATAAAAACTTTTGTTTTGGGTATTTCTGCTTGTTTTAATTGAGTTCATCATTTATCATCATATAAATAAATTGATATTTTTTCAACTGAACGCATACAGTTTTAAAAATATACAGTTATTAATTAATCGTTATTTTAATATGGTTTTATTTTAATCACAATTAACTTGTAAAAATTTGCAAGCACACTTTTATCTTTTGGTGGTGGTCATTGTAAACAAATAACTATTAATAAACCGTTTCTAAATTTAAATATAAGACTTTTACCAATTTAATATTAGATACATGAAATCGAAATGGCAAAATCTTTTACAATAAATAATTAAGTAAAAATTAGGTAAAGATACTTTGACGAGCAATTTGTTTGCTGTTTTTTCAGACGTCAATACCAACTTGCCGTATGAAAAGCTGTGAGTGTGTGAGTCAACGCGATTTTTTTTAATAAACAAAATACATTCAAGTTTGGAACTTGAATTTCAATATAATGATTAAAGAAAAAATCAAATTCAACATCAAAACAATAAATTAGGAGAATTAATGGACACAAATGACGATAATTTGGCATAAAAAATAAATAAATAATTTTAATTCATAATCAATTTAATCGATAAATCACCTAATCATATTAAAACATTGACTTCATTTTTAAAAAAAAGGTATTAGTGTGTATACAAATACACTTGATTCTCAGAGATTTATATTTTTATTAAAATAAACAAAAATAAGAGTAGCTAATAGGTATTAATTATTATTGGATGTACGGTTTTCGCGACTATCGACAATATTGTAAAATAGTATTTATATTTTTAAGCTCTGATATTATTCAAGTAATTAAAGTAATTGTATATTGTTCAAATCTACTGCATTTTCAATAAATAATGATTGATTTTTGGTGATTGTGAAATTTTTGATGTTAATTTGAATAAATTATCATGTATAATTGAATATATCATAATTTTCACTACTTTTAATAATTTATCTTACTGTTTTAACTTTATTTTACTCACTATAATTTTATTTTTTTTATTTTACTTCCTTTATTAAACATAATTTAGCATGCTAACTTTAGCATATTATGAATTTTGCACATCGGAATAAGAATAGAAATTAAATTAGGGAATTATTTTTAAAATATATTAAAACATATTGCATGATTTTAAATGGCTTCATATCATATATTATATATTACATATATTTATTATTTATATTTATTTGCATGATTTCATTAATAATAATAATAATAAATTATGATTTTTTAATTGATTTATTATTAACTTTTTGTATTACGATAATTTTTGAACGAAATAATCTAAAAATAAATAAGCACGTGAGTATTATGTGAATGATAATACGTCATGTAATAATCAGGTGGTACGAAAAATCAACGCGGCATGAGAGTGTCAAGTTTTGATCCTGATGATCCACAAAATATGCCAGTTCCACCTCCACAAAGACGCAATACTTCTAATCAACGTGTGGCTACTATTTCGCAAAATTATAATGAAAAAACGATGTTGTTAAGTAGTGACGATGAATTTCAGTAAAAATAATTTTATTTATTTTTACTTAATGATTTATACAACAAATTTGATTATCGAAAACTTAAGTTTTCATACGAAAAATTTATTAAATTAACATTTACAGTATTTAATTTAATTATGTTCATGTTTATAAATACTTAAAAATTTATAAGTCAAAAACAAAAGCCAAAATATATAAGATCGAATTATCAATATAATTTATTTATTGAGAAAATTAATTAATATTAAATAATGAATATGAATATATTTTATAAAATATGATGGACATAATTTGTGTTAAAAAACATTGTTAAGTATTTATGTTGATGCATTTCTCGTAGTATTTAAATTACACAATTTATTAATTTTTATTCTTTGAGTGAATATTTTAAATATGTTATATCGTATAAGAATATTTGTATTATACAGAAATGATTAATTTCATTAGTTAATATACTTTGTAAGTGACTTACTCATTTTACATCTTTTAAGCTTTTCAATAATTACTTGTAAACATCTTCATTAATCCGCAATAGTATCTAATTATTCATTTTTATCATCTTCTTAATTTTAAAGCAGCTATTAAAATTGATTGTACAGATATACACAATACTTGTATTAATATAATAATTTTCTATATTCATTAATTAATTATTCTATTGATTAAATACGTAACTAATGTGTTTATAACATTCGCAATAACAAGTATAATACAAGTTCATTTTAACGGGTTCGAAAATATAGATTTTTTTAAATATTTAAGCAACTTATTTAAATGATTTTGTGTATTTAAAATTTTTATGTGTCACGTATTGTTAAAAAATAAATCTTTTCATTTTGTAAATTGAAGATTCAAAGACGCTTAGAATAAATATTTAATCTGTAAATACAAAAAAATTAAAAAAAAAAGTAATAAATAAATTGATCGTTAAAAAAACGAGAAGCCCAACATTTACGATAAAAATTAACTAAACAATAAAACAAATTATCATAACGTCCGAAAAAAATATTCATGTATATATCGTTAATACATTAATTGTATTTAGCCTAATGATAGTAATAATAATTATAACAATAATGAAAAATGAATAATGATAATGAATAAGAATCATACAATCCTAAAATTTTTCCATAACTATCGAACTGAAATGGAGAATAATAATAACATTTATTGAAAAAAATATATATATGTCTATAAGTAAAAGAAAAGAAATTTATAGATTTAGTATATTGATACTTAATATGCATTACTTAAATATTTTCAAAATCTATAAATTGAAAAAAAAAAAAATATTAATAAAATATCTAAATCTGTTCTATTTGGTTATCAATAGTACAAATAATAGATATGAAAAAAATATTTTTTTTCTGCTACAATATTCTGTAAAATATACCAATTATTAATTAGTCAACTTATGTCCAAAATTATATTAATTATACGATAAGATGTGTGGTGATCATTCAGATTTGAAAAAAAATGTACTAGATATCTCAAATTAATATTTGCAACTGAAACTTGTTAGAAAAGTGAATAAGCATCCAATAAATATTTTTATCTTGACGTTTAAAATATAAACAAAGTCATATATATATATAAATAACGAATACAAGAATATAAAAATGGAAGAATTTAATTTATTAAAAAAAAATCACCGTTTTGTTTTGACTAATCTATTCCAACCAAGCCAAGGAAGATTTTCCTCATCATCTTCATTATTTTCCTCTATTTCTATTTCTTCTTCATCTTCTTCCTGTTCCATGGACGATGAACTTCGTTTCCGTTTCTTCATATAACCATCATATATCACTTCATTACCTGTATTCTTCGGAATAATTAATTCTTTATCATCTTTCATTTCCACTTCTATCTCTACATCATCTTCTTCTTCCTCTTCATCTTCTTCATATTCGTCATCTTCATCAACATCTTCATCTTCAATATCTTGGTAATGCAATTCATTATCCATATATTCAACAGTACTATTCTCCTCGCTCGTGTATTTATTGTACTGTTCATTAACCTCACGTGTCACAACAGCAGGTTCCACATCAGTGTTTGTATAATAATTTGCATAACACGGATTATTAGTAGCCTCACATGTTTCAATTGGTTTAAAACCAATCGATCGAAGTTTCACTACTCTTACATCTCTATCAGATAGATTTACAGGTACGAATGCTGATCTGCAATCATTAGAATTAGGTTTAACATCGGAACTATCATCTGAGATATAAGTTGAGTGATATAATTCATTTTTATTTGAAACTGAATAATCTTGAGACGTTTGTACTTGTTTATCACGGTAAAATATTGTAGAAAGCGATCGATGGTTACTTTCATTCAACTCAGCTTTCATGTCATCAACAAGATCAATCCATTCAACCTTAACTAGATCATTTCTTTCATAAAATAGCTGTCTTTCCATGTTAACTAACGTCGATGCATCTTTCCTAGAAAGGCATTGTGTTGATGCATCTTTCATTTCTATATTGACATCAACAGCTTTTTCTACTTTATTTCTAGCTGCAAAAAGTTTATTTTGTTTCAAGTTTAACTTTTTCTTTGTATTTTTATTTCTACTTTCATTGTTATTATTATTACATTTTATTTGATTGTTTTGTGCTTGTTGGATTTTAGATTCATTTTTGACAACTTCTTTACGTTTACTGTTTGCCAAATTTTTTCTCATTTTCGTTAAAACATGACTTTTCTTCGTTATTCTTGATTTTTTATTTTTTTTTGTTAAATCGACACAAGAAAAATTTGTAACAAATCCAGGGAATTCTTTTTTTTTATTTAAAAGTATTTTTGGACACCTCAACCGTCTATTACTCATTGTTCTAGTTTGGATAGATTGCCCACGCAAATTGGTCATGAAATTAGCATTAATGGTAAGTTTAGCAAGTTCATTTCTTCGTCTTTTGATCAATGAAGATTTAGACAATGATTCAGTATTTTTTTTCGACCTCCCATTTTTATTTTTCTGTTCTACTTTCATTGCAGATGTAGCCTTTGATGTGGATTTATAATATTTATTATTTTTTTCTTTCGTTGCATTTTTATTTTCAATTTTTTTCAATGGACCATTAAAATTTAGAAGACTTGAATCATTTGCTGGCAGACCAATTATACTTCCCATTAATAATTTTCCTGTGGGATTAAACCTTTTTTTCACAATTAAATTTAACATTTGTTCTGGTGTCATTGATTCAATCTCCACAAATGCTTCTGGAAGATTCGATTTTTTATTTACAGATTCATTACACCCATTTACTTCCACATTCGGATTTTTTGAATTCGTATTAAAGTTACAACTCACTGAATTGGTTTGATTGGTCAAATTAATATTATCACTTATTTCTTCTTTAACATTTGAATTAATATTTATCACTTTTTCTACTGAAATATCACTTTTTATTTTTTTATCTATATTTGAAGAACCATTATTAATTAAACACTCTTGATGATTCATTGCTTTGAAATTTTGATTTAGCGTATTTTTACCGAAAGATTTAATAGTTGATGAAGATTCTTGACTTAAATTATCAGTTGAACCAAATATATTCAAATTAATTGCATCTGGTGAGTTGGTGCGGATGATATTTTTATTAATCAATTTATTATCTCCTCTGTGAACTTTATAGAATGTCATTGGTGTCGATTTTTTAAAATCTTCTTGAGGATTTGGTGTGGAATCATAGAGTTCAGTTCTTATGGATATATTCATATTTTGAAAATCACAAGATGGTGGCATTGAAGAATATGTTGTATTCAGTGGTTGAATTGGAGAAGCAGATTCATATTTTTTAGAAACATGCCTCATGACAATTGTACTTTCTTTATTATCTTTTTGACTGACTGCAGAGCTGGAATTAACGTTGTTATGTATTAATTTGATCATATTTACATTCGACGATTTTTCCAAGTTAATTTTCTTGAGTGTTCCTTCTGATTTTTGTACTTGGCAACAATCCATATGACACTTCAACGATCCACAAGAACTTTTAGAATTTGTTTTTTGCATAGAGGATGATAATCTCGTTGAAGTTCTTGTTGGCATGCTCCAAACTGGAGGTTCTTGATGATTTAATCTTGCTAAAGCGTACTTATAATATCTTTTTGAATTAGAACAAACTCCAATCCAGAAAGAAACTACTATATAAAGTCCATCGTATCTATACCCAGTTTTTGGAGCAAATTCATTAGCGAGGTTGTAACTTCGGACAAGCCTTAATGGTATATGACTTTTAAAGTTATCAAGAAGTGGATCGTTAAGTTTACGAGATGTTTTAGGTTGATATTCTCCACCAGTGTAAGTCAGTAATGTTCCTAAATCTATATCATTGGTAGTATTTATATTAGAAGTACATATAGACGTTACTCCAAAATCCCCTTCTTCAATATCACTATCAAACGGAGTGTGGACCTGGTCTCTAGAGCAGTCCATCCGTATCCCCCACCAAGAGCCTGATGGAAAACCCGGAATTGGACCGTAAATTGGTTTATTTACCTTCAAAAACAACAGTAAATGATTGTTAACTACGATAAAATTAAAAACTTCTGGAAATATATGAGTAAAAAATTAATATACATACAGAGTTATTCTGACCAACAGTATTAGAAGATTGTCGGATAGCTTTTAAGTCTTTGGATTTTTCATTTTCTGCCAAACTGTTTAGTTTAGTAAATACCTTTTTCCATTCTAATGCTGATTTATTATCAATCTGTAATCATAAGTTACTCAATAAATATTATTTATGTAAAATATTTCTGAAAATATGTATATAATCTGATAAGTTACATAATTGATGTATAAACATAAGAAATGTAAAAATAGTTATTAGTATGAAGATAATAACCTTGCTACGAGAGCGCAATTTTTGTAGAATATTTTCATGTTCGGCGGAAGTATTTGGATGGAAACTTATTTTTAGATCAGATTTTCCCATTTTTCACATTGTTTTTTATCACTTTGCGAGAATTTTTGTTATATTTGCACAATAATATTGATACTTTTTCACACATAAATTAGTATTTTTATACACTATAGAAACATAACATAATCTGAATACTTGAATAAGGTATAAATGATTTATCAAAACTTGGGTTACGAATTTAAAAAAAAATAAATTTAACTAATTATCCAACTTAAAAACACGATAAAAACAATAATTATTATCTCACAATATTTGAAATTGATCAACAATTCATTTAGTTTTTGAGGTTAATTTATACTAACGCCACGTTCGGTCATAAAATGAAATGCGACTGGAACTGAACTATCGATAAAACAGTTTTAAAGAGGGCACCACTTGGAGTTTATCGATTTATCTATATTCTCGTAACCAAAACAACGACACGAAACTATACATAATTCTTTTTAACGCCAATTTTCAGATCCGCTAGTGGTATGTAATTGAAGGTTATTTTTTTCAATAAAATAATCCATTATATAAAGAAAAATCAGATATTTCTTAAAGAAAAAAATATTTTCAAAGTAAATAATGTTATTCTAAAAATATTAATTTAGTTATATCTATCGAAATAAATCATTAGCAATGTTTTGAAATAACATAACCTCTATTAAATATTCTTTATTATTCTGAAATTATTTATTTTTTTAGGTTTAGAAATAATATAAAAAAATGGCAAAGTCAAAGAATCACACAAATCATAATCAAAGTAAGTAAAGCGTTATTTTTTATATTTGTCAAATTGTATCTACTACTTAGATAATGAACATTCAGTTTACAAAACATACCATTTTTAATTTTACAGACAGAAAGGCTCATAGAAATGGTATTAAAAAACCTAAAAAATACAGGCACGAATCTACCTTGGGTGTAAGTTACTTCATTTTATAATGTTTATAATAAAATAGAAAGAATTTTAATTATTCATATGAAAATTATAGATGGATTTGAAGTTTCTCCGCAATCAACGGTTTGCTAAAAAACATAATCTGAAGCCTAAACAACAATTAAAGAGAGCATTAGAAAGAAAAGCTCTCCGAAATGCTAAAAAATAAATACGTTTTGGTGATGATAAAAATTAAATAAATTTTTTAAAAACCCAAACTATGATCATTTTAGTTTTAAGAAAATATTTTTTCAACATCACTTGCTCCGATCCTACTAGATTTTAATTGAAGAATTCTTTTCTTTGTAATAATTTTGATTTCATAGAAAAGTCAGAGTATATTTTTATTTTTAAAAAATACTATTCACTTTTTCATCAATATTTCATTTTAGTTGTTTTGATATATTTCTTTATTAACAAAAGTTGATAATATAACATTTGATTATATCGACGAACAAGTACGTCCATCTATAAAATAGAATTGAAGAACACAACTAAAAATTTTGGAGTATTCGCCCATAGAAATTGCTGGAATCTTGGAAGACGTAGTAAATCCGTGCTGAGTAAACTAGAATAAATAGAAACTGTACAACATCGATTTAAAACCCGAAAGTTAATAATATTTTGATATTTTAACATAAGCTTTTGCCAAAAATTGTTAATACACCATGTCTGATTGGGATACTGTTCCGATTACTCTTAGAAAACGTGTTCCTAAAGGATCAGCTATGAAATCTGAAAAGGTAATTTTTTGTGTGATGTTTGATAAATGAAGTTGAAAAAAAATTAAAAAGTAACAAAATATAATATGAGTCTGAATTAATGTCATTCTTGAATTATAGGCTGTCAACAATGCTCGTCGTCAAGGTGTAGCAGTTGATACTCAAGTGAAATGTACGTTTCTGGTAAATTCGGCTCTGTAGATAAATGTTTGTTTTCATTCACTCTTTCTCATTACTCAGGGGGTGGTGGTTCTAATAAGCAACATGTCAACACAAAAAATACTGCTAAATTAGATCGTGAGACTGAAGAATTAAAACATGAAACTGTCCCCCTGGATTTGGGTAAATTAATTCAACAAGGAAGACAAAGTAAAGGCCTATCACAGAAAGATCTTGCTACGGTAAGAAATAGTTCTGATATGTAAAAAATAATCACTTAAAAAATGCTCGTGACTGTTAATCATAAATTTAATTTTATTCTGATGTAATCTTTGCTCCAAAAAACTGGGGCTTTTTAATTTTTTGATATCAGTATACGTAAAATCAACACTAATTAACATAACTCCATGATGACAATTTGTGCTATTGTGGTTATTTTAATATTTAGAGCAAAAGACATTTCAATAATTCATTGCATTAAAATAATAATAATAATGTTAACATTGAAAATTATATCATTTTTATTATTTATTTCATTCTACAGAAAGTCAATGAAAAAGCCCAAGTGATAAATGACTACGAAGCTGGTCGTGGTATTCCTAATCAAATGGTTATTGGCAAAATCGAAAAAGTCCTTGGAATAAAACTTCGTGGAAAAGATCGAGGCAAACCTTTAGTGCCCCCGGGATCAAAGAAATGAATCTCGGGGGAATGTGAGAAATCGTAATTCTTGTCTATGGTTCTAAAAGAATTAAAACAAAATACGTACATAAAAAGCAAAAAAAAAAATCTTAAATTTAACTGAAAGGGAAAAAAAAAGAATTAAAAATCATAAGTGATAAGTCAATATTTAAGTAGCAAAACTTTAAGTTTGTTATTAGCCATTATTTTTATGCAGTTTTTCAGGTACATGTGTGAATCTTGATCATGGTTATGTGTTTTAGGGTTTTTTTTTGAGAAAATAAATAATATAGAAGGAATATTTTGTATGAACTTTATGAATGTATACATTTTACAAAATATCCATATAATTCATCATTGTGATTTTTGATAGATTTCTTTATTGTAATTAATTAAGTTTAATAGTTTATTGTAATGATTTCAATAATAATAAATAATTTATAAATAATAGAACGAAATAATTAAATCACTAAAATCCTTATTATTATTACTTTAAAAGGGAAAAGGTCATGAAAAAATTAAACAATTTTATTTATATTCAGTCGAACATTTATTATTGTAAATAATAGTTTTTAGAAATTACAACATTTTTAGTGCCAGATCATGTGGACAATTCTCTAGCATATCTTTTAACTCGGATGATTTCTAAATTTTTATTGTGTCATATTTACATTAATTTTCAATTACAACTTAGTTACTAAAAAACAACTAAATTATAATTTCATTATCTAGCTGCGCACATATCTTTCTTTGGTAGAATTATATTGGAATTCGTGCGTTTCTCGATAATAATAATTCATTAATGAATAATGAATAAATCAATAATTATTCATTATTGATTGAACTAACATAGTAATGTGCCACGGTGGCGTAATATACAATGTTAAATATTCAAATGATGAATTTATTTATAAAATGACTTAAAAATAATTCATTAATACATAGCTTGAAGTTCATCTAAAACTTCAACTTAATATTATACAATTATGAATTAATCGTATTATTCTTGTAAATATAAATCACGAAATGTATCAAAATATCAATTATTTAACATCCAAGAAACTTTTATTCCCTTCTTGGTACCAGTTGTATACGAAATTAATCAAAATAGTTATGAATTATCTGTTAATAATATAATAATACCATTTACAGCAATAAATTTTCGGATGGAATTAGATTATTTATGGAATTATGAAATTCTTAACGTATTCAAGGCATTTAATTCACTTTTTTTTTATGATTATCAAATAAATTCATTAAACAGCACCCATTATTTCATGTTATTTCAATAAGGCGATGATAGTATTGTTAATTATTAGCCACTTTATGAAGAAACATGGCAACATGATGTATAAATTCAATAACTACTCCACCATCTAACAATATTTATAATTTGACAATTTTTCTTTTGAATTATTTTGTTAACAATTTTTAATCTAAAAGTATTGACGTGAAAAAAAAAAATTCATTATGAAAGTGGTTGAAACGAAACCTAAGAAAAATGATAATTACAGTTGAGCATTTAATTACATTAGTATCTCAATAACAAGGAATATATTTTAATTAACAAAAAAATAAATTAGTTTACTTAAAACAGAAAGAACTGTTGAAATTTAAATGGAACAAAATAATAATTAGAGTGAAATATTTATTTTGAAATTACTTAAGAAGAAATGGCTAAATCTGTGCAATACTTATTTTCCTTTGATGAATCATAATTTTTTTCAGTGTAGCTCTCAATCGTAAGAGAGCGGAATGTAATTCAATCCTAAACAGTGCACAGTAAAGGAGCACAATAAACGTATGGTCATACAGACGTCGATTTTGAATCAATATTAACCAACATATGGCAACGTTCTCCAAGACGATCAACTTTAGCTTTTAAATGTGTATTTTCTACATATAAATCTTTCAAAAGTAGATCCGACTTAACGAGTTTTTCCATATTTATTGTATTTATCTGAACTTGTTGAGCAAGAGATTCTTGAGTTTCATTCAACATGTGCTTTAAATTTGATACCTCACTAGCACGTTGTTTCCAGATGTATTCAATTATTTTATTTGTATGCTCTTCCAAACGTTTTAAACTAATTCGAAGACTTTTCTGCCTTTTTTCTAGTGTCTTGATATTCGCTCTTAATCCTTGTTGATTAGTTGAAAAATTAGTTGCATTCAATAATTCTTTGATCAAACGTTCCTTTTTCTCCATGAGAGAATTACACTCAAGACTACTCTCAACTCTTTTTTCAACAAGCCGTTGAGCAATATCTTGCATTCTTGAAAGTTCTTTTGGTGAAGTATAAGAACCACATATATGACAGATAACGCTATGGAAAGCATTAGCTAACAATATATCATCATTGGAAGTAGAGTGTTCAGCAATTTTGTTAAGCTTTCCTCTTTGAGGAAACTGGTAAACTGGTTGGTAAGCTGTTCTTTTACATTTGTGGTCTTCAGAAAATAGAACGCTTAAATCAGCTTTTTCTTTTTGGAACTTTTTTAACTCCTCTTCTAAATTATTTAATCTTTTATCTTTTTCTGCTATTACTTCTTGCATATGTTTTTTATATTCATCAAACTCCTTCTCAAGATCCACATATTGCTGTTCAAGACTGAATTTTTCTTCAATTGGAGACAGTCTACCGTTGGTACGGCTCTTATCACCAGCACTAAACTGTTCTTCATATTCAGCAATTTTTGAAATCAATTCCGAGAGCTTTTCGTCTGTCACTTTCTGTTCTTGTTCAATTATTTGTCTCTCTTCTTCAAGTTTTCCAGCCCAATAATCTTCACACTGATAATATTCATTCTTCAATAATTCTAAATCATTTTCAAGTTTTTGGCATTGTTCCTGAAGCATTTTTTTCTCATTATTATGTTTTGTTTCTTGTTCTTGAAGAAGAGCAGATAATCGATCTCTATCTTTTTTAATTACTTCAATATCATAACTATCAGAATTATGTGGACTATCAACAACATCACTTTCTGTATTATTTATATTAACGTTAGTTTTATCTTCAACCTTGACCTGCTCGATTTGATTTTCTTCTCTTCTCGGTGGATAGTCTCTCAACCGTGAAGTTTTATTTTTTGAATTAAAAATATCAAGATTATTTATAACATCATTACTATGAGAAGACATAATTAAAATCCTCGATTTTTCGTTTCTATTTACAACAAAATCTCGAAGTGATTCACTTGCTCTTTCTTCACATTCTTCTTCTTCATTCTTTTCGATTGTTTCTGAATCTTCTTTTTTTTCTGCAATTATTTCTTTGCCATGTGTTTCTAACTCACTAATTATCTCAGAAATGTTACGCCTTAATGCGCAATCTAATGTACAAATTTTGTTATCTACAGTAAGCGTCTTAAGATCACTAATAATTGAAGCTAGAGTTTGAGAAATATTTGAAATTTTTTTCTCATCGAGTTCGTTGGAACTTTGATACCATGAATTAACTGATAAAGATAACTGATCTTGAAGATTAGATTTTTCTAAATTTTTAAACTCAGGAACTTGTTTTGCAAGTGGTTCATAATCAGTAACACTATTAGACTCTTCACTATCTGAAAATGAAATTATTGTTGAAGATTTTCTGTTATCTCCCGTTCTAGATTTTAATAATTCTAACTCTGACGTTAATTCATCATTTTGGTCTCTTAATAACGCACATTCACTCTGAAGTCTTTTAATTCGATCTACTAATGATATCACCTGTTCATTTTCTCTTTCATCATTTGCTTCAGCTTCATCACATTCAGCAGCTAATGCTTGAACCTGCATTAACAATTGATTATTCGATATCTTGAGCTTAGTCACTTGATCTGAAAGATTTTGATTATCAGCTTCAAGAGTTTGATTATCATTCAAAGCATCAGCTAATTTATTTTTAATCTGCTGCTCCTCATGCTGAGACACTTGGAGTTGGTCATTTAATAATTTAAGTGTAGCCATTTGAGCATCCCTTTCGCAGCTATGTTGTAAAGTTAAGTCTTTAATTAACTCTGCATGTTTATTCTCAAGAATCTTTATTTGCTCCAATCGAGATTTCTCAAGTTTTGCGTGATTTTCATCTATTTCTGCTGCAAGAATATCAGCTCTTTCATTGGCTTCCATAACATCAACCTTCAATTTATCTCTTTCTTTTGTTAACTGATCTATTAAACCATTCACTGATTTAACTTCTTCTTGATAAAGCACTACGGTTGCTCGTAAAAGATCTACATGTGTTTTTATTACAATAGAATCTTTTGGCTCATGTTGTAAACTCTTTAATTCTTCATTTAATACATGCAGGAGATCTGAAAGATTGATATGATCCGTATTAAAACTGAGATCCCTTAATAACGCTTTTCCATCAGCAACTCCTGCCATTTGCCATAGATTTATAATACTGCGACTATCAATATAACCAGTATGATCAGGTCCAAGTATATTAAGGCTATTTTTCCCGCATGTCGATTCATCGGGAGAGTTATCTTCCCATTCAGCATGAATTGAGTGATTTTCATGATTCTGAGCGTCTTGAAATAATAACATAAATTCATTAAATGAAATCAATCCATCACAATCAACATCAAGTTTCTGAAATATCTGACCGAGCATTTGTTTTTCCGACTCATCAATATGGTTTAACACCCCTCCATTGATTATCAGCGTGTTAGCATCTCTGTTACCATTTCTAGTATAAAATTGCCCGATTTTTCTGTGAATAGGAGATAGTATAGTTGGTTCTTCATACTTTAGCGTAGTCATTATTGATGAGTCATCAATAACTTTATCGTGAAAACTGTTCTCATCCTCTCGTGATTCGTCTAACAAACTGACCAAACCATTTCGAAACTCTTCAAAGGTAATAGTATATTTTGTTGGAGTTTGCTTTAAAAGATTAGAAATTAATTCAGTCCCACGCTCTTCAAGTTGAAGCTTTTCACAGAGAATTCTCAGACCTTTTTCTCCCAACTGTGATTCTCCTTTCTCTAAACAGCTTTCGTAAACGGATAATAATCTCTGCTCATATGGATTACAGTTTTTCGACTCCATTGCATGTTTTTTTTTCATAAATGTTGAAATCACTAATTGTAGCTTTTCTTCTCCATTAAGAATACTAAATCTGAAAAGAAATGTTTGAAAAATATATAATATTTAGGTTGACAATGATATGTTACTAATACTAAGTAGGAAGCCTTAATAAATAGAAATGTCCTTGATAAGTGAAATAAAATTGATTTTGACATATATACATTAGACCAACGCACATTCGAATAAGAGAATACACTTATTTAGTTTAGACAATAATATCCAAGTCAGAAAAATATAATTATTTAACTTAATTATTAGAAAAATATATTTTTTATATAACATTCAAATGCATGTTACCTGATTTAACTGAGATAATGTCACATAACCATTCTAATCAACTCCGTAGAAAGGGTCATAACGTTAGAGATTGTTGTACAAACTTTTTACACATAAATTATTCGATAGTAATTCATAGAATCTAATGAAGTTCATGTTTACAATGAGGTTATTTATAGAAATATCGAAATGACATTGAACACACAAAAAATTACATTCAATTCGTGTAATTCTTTAAATGTAAAGTATATATTATTTTTAATTCACTGATAATCACAATTTATAAGTAAACTACTTATTTATTAGAATAATTTGAAGTAAATTGAGTATTTATATGCGTCACACAACATGGGAATGAAAAATACATACTCTTTTTCCTCTTACACATTTTGGAGTAAAGAGAGAGCTGCGTTGACCTTCCAAACTTCCTAGGTTATCGACTGCTTTAAATATCTGTATTATCGACCGTGCAATATGGTTCCTAGGTTGTGATTATAATCATTTAATCTCTTATTTTTATTAATCAAATCAGTAAGATTTATCAGGATTTTTGTTTATTTACATTTATTTTTATTTAGAGTCATATATTAAGTTTATATGAATGATACTTTATTGGGAAAAAATGCTTTAAAAAGTGACAAATAGACCTGGGAAACGTATTTTTGTGTTTGTTTAGTGATGGCTAATCATTACGAAGTCCCAAACTGGTTAGTTATATTTTCGAATGTACATTGTTAATTATAGATAAACAAATAAATTCATTAGCTTATATTGCTTTAGAAGTACACCTACTTTTTTATTCTATTATTATGTTCATAATAATTGGAATATTATTTACAGGGCTGGAAAGCCACCGGTAGGTTTGCACTTAGATGTGTTGAAGAATGACAAGTTGATCCAGGTAAATAGAAAAAATACCATCCAAAATCGTAGAATTTGTATAAATACTTATTTTACATGTTACAGAAATTGATGGTTGATGAGAAAAAATGCTATCTTTTTGGAAGAAATCAACAATTGAATGACTTTTGTATTGATCACGCTTCATGTTCTCGTGTTCATGCTGCGTTGGTTTATCACAAACATCTAAATCGAGCATTTCTGGTGGATCTAGGGAGCAGTAAATGTCATCATCGTATATTTTGTGTTAAAAATTCGAATATTTGTATATTTACTGAACATTATCATAAATGTTACAGCACATGGGACATTTATAGGAAGTATGAGATTAGAAGCACAGAAACCTACACAACTACCAATAGATAGTACATTTCATTTTGGTGCTTCTACTCGGTATTATATTATTAGAGAGAGACCACAAACTGGTGCAAGGACAATAATGGAAGAATTGGAAAAATCATCTGATGATATTGATGCAGGTGGTTTATTAGGATTACCAGAGACTGAAACAGAGCTTGATGTAGGTATATTCCAAATTTTACTTATCATTGAAATAATTGATAAACAAAATCAGTATATTTTCTATTTTATTCGTTAGAATTTGACGGAATTCAATACAGCTCACAATCGAAGGATATCTATGCTCGGAATTACAGATGATGACGTCCATAAATCAAACAGAAAAAGAAAGAAAAAAGGAATAACATTCAATGACGATGAAGAAGTAATAAATCCTGAAGATGTTGATCCTTCTGTCGGAAGGTTTCGTAATCTTGTTCAAACTACTGTTGTTCCTAGCAAAGTAAATAATCTAGTTTTTCATTATATCAGCTTATGAATATCTGTTTGAATCAAATTAAATATATTAAAATTTTTTCTAGCGAATGAGATTAGAAGGAGGACTTATATCTCTCTCAGATGATACAAACCACCATTTGAAACATCTTCAACCTACCCTAACTTCAAACCACTTATATCATGATCTACCTCCTGAACAATTTACAAGTTCTTCAATGATCAGTAATAATCCTTTCTCAGCAGCTATAACCTCAGTAACTTCTCGTCTCGGAATTGCTTTACCTAATCCAGCTCCTGATGTCGAAATGGCTCCGAATCAAATGCAAACCGATGTGCCTCCAATTCCTGAAATTCCAGTACCTACAGAATCACATTCACTAGAACCGAAGAAGAAAAAATACGCCAAAGAAGCGTGGCCAGGGAAAAAACCATTACCAACTCTATTAGTATAAATTTAAGGATGCAAGAATTTTACATTTTTTCTCGAAATGAATTAACTGTAAATGAATCATATGTAAATATTATCATTTGAATTTAATAATAAAATAATGCATTATTATAACAGAAGCATAGTTAAATTACGTTTATTGTTATAAAAAAATAAGTCTATAAGTTATTATCATAATCAAAAATTTTTTTCCAATAATAAAAATATGCATATTATTATTTAAAATATAACTTTAATAAATTATGGCATCGTTTGCGTAGCTACGGCGATAGGCCAAGTAACAGGTCCTTTTACAATCACATCTTCCAAGGCTTCTTTTATATTCACAAAACGTCGTTTGAACTCTAAACCATCTCCTTTAGACAGTCTAAAGTCTACTAAGATTTTATTGTCCATATCGACGATCATCGCCTTGAATACTAATGGCATCTTTCGACGATCCACAGTAGATATTGTCACCTATAACATGAATTAATTAACTTATTTAATTTGAATTCATATTATTAGAATCAATTAGAGTGAATTACAACACTTACAATTCCAACATTAACACGGTAATTATATTTTTGTTTCTTCAGAACGTCAACTAATCTATTAACGGTATCTTCACAATTGGTTTTAACGAAGAATCTAGTCATACGCCGGACTAATTTCTGGAAAGTATTCTGAGTGGATTGGGTATTTTGAACGGGTTGAGTCAACAACAGTAAATCTTCCAACGCAGCAGGTTGTGAGAATGAGAATCCTTGACGTTCTTCAAGATTTATGTGTAAAGAATTTTCAATTCCTGGGAATTCTGGCTGTGAGAGTCCTAATCTCATTAGAGGCTCATCACTATATCTTTTCATTTTGATTTTTCTTCCATCAACATGATCCTCACTCTCTTCAGCATCTGTAATTCATCATGTCATCATTGCTAAAATTGAATGATTAGTTTGCACTAAGTGAAACATTGAATGTATCATCAATATAATTAACGATAATTAAAGATCGAATATATTTTTAGTTTTTTAATTTCATCAACCCAACGATGTAGTAAATAATCTAACTGATAATTTTATTTTTTATTGAAACATCAGGTTCATTAAATAAATGAATTATTAATAAAATTATGTTTAAGTAGATAGGGTTGAGGTATCATTAGTTAATTTCACAATTAAAGTTGAAGATGCTGTCAGAGTGATATTGCTGCCTTCCTCGCTTCGGTATTCTAGCTTTATGAATTGAATAAAATCATACAGCTAGACGACCAAAGAAGGAACGACAGAAAATTTTTAATTCCTACTTCCAATTGTTTAACGGTAGATTTATTTATTAATTTATTTCTCTCATAAAATTTAAAATTTATTTTAATATAAGATGCCCTAGCCAATGTTCTTTGCTTTGGTAATCTAGCTTTATGAATCTTAATTGCAATCATAGAGCTGTATTACCAAAGAAAAGACAAGAGCTCCTTCCATTACCTTACTTTATCATAAATAAATAAAAATACTCTATTTTAATAATTGATAAATATTTGCAATTATGTTTATTACTATTAATTAATTAATTAATTATAGATGTTAAATGGTGAACGCAGAGTTGAGTACTAAGTTGCTTTGAGTAATCAATTACTTCTCAGAGTCACTTAGTACCTGACACTGAAGACACCAAGATATATAGCCTTGAAATTCCAAAAGTTTATTCAACAATAAAGCAATACCTTGTCGTAAATTTTTCAGGTACCAACGATGAGATTTAATATCTGGAATAGTGTATCTAGAAGTTGGCGAATGGGTGAGAATCTTGCGAATTAACCCCAAAGCTATGCAGTCTATCTTCTTCCAAGGAGTTAAATATTCGTATTTTCCTTCCCTCCATGCCTTGTACTCCGGACACATGGGATCTGCCTCGTCCCAAGGCAGCTCTGTTCACATACCGACGATTAGACTGGAGCATGCAAAGTCGCAGAATTTAAATTTAACATATTGAGATAAAAGTATCAGTGTTTAACAAAAAAAAAACACTAATACTTGAAGAGTTTGATACACGAGATGAAAGAATTCAGTTTGCAAATTTTGTGATTAATAATTAATACAGCAATGCAAGAAAAATTCTATTATAAAATCAATGTCTTTCTAATATTTTATGTTTTTAAGGTATGAGAATAGATTTCAAACAAATTGTGAGTAGTGAGTGATAAAAGCCTAAAATTTGATAAGGTTGTTATACTGTACACTCCATCTATATTTTCCCCTTTTGCTTGGAACTTAATTTTCAACCAGTCCGGAAATAATATTCAATTTCAGATTTTACGAATAACCTTTGAATTATTTTGCCCGTTCGATAGAGGGCATTTCTCTAAAAACTAACTCTATGTACGCTATTTTATACACCAAATTTTTATTGATTATGCAAAATAAAAATACGGAATGAATTTAAACGCAATAGAACTCTAAATGAATTAATCATTTAAGTTAGGACATAGCATAAAAAATGTCGAATAAATAATAATTTTATAATAATTAGCTTCAACTTGAATCTAATCAAAAATAATCTTACCTCCAGCCAGAAGAGCAACGAGGATTATTCCACATGACCAAATGTCAGCAGGTTCTGCATGATAAGGCCTCACCAAGACCTCTGGTGCTACATAAGGAAGGGTACCGCATCTTTTTTCCAAACATCTTTCTTTTCCTTGCAAACGATAAACTGTAGCCAATCCAAAGTCTGAGACCTTGAGGTTGTCTTTATCATCCAGAAGAAGATTTTCAGGTTTCAAATCTCTGTGTGCTACTCCTCGGCAATGAAGATATTCAACAGCAGATAATAGCTGCTTAAAATATTTTTGAGCTTCCCATGCAGGCATGCCGACATCTGGCTCAATCCTATCAAATAGTTCCCCACCAGAGGCATACTCTAAGAAAATATATTCCATATTTGGTTCACTTCTCTGACCAAAATATCGAATAATATGAGGATTAGAGAGCATTCGATGTACTGTTGTTTCCTTCTTGATATTTTGTCGTGCATCTGGATGCTTTATCAAGTCAATCATCTTCATAGCAACTGCCTCGCCTGTGGCTTTGTTGATTACCAGTTTGACTCTATCAAAATAAATTTCAATTTATAAACCCACTAATCAAGGATCAAAAATGAATAATATTGATATTGAATGTTTACGTACTCGCCGTAAGCACCTTCTCCCAAGGTATGACCGAGATACCATCCTTCTACAAACTCTGTCATGATGTATCAGCATGCCTTTGTCTACAGAAAGAAAAAAAGAAAAAAAAATAATTAATGGTTATTTTTAATTGTATTTCTATTTGATACTTGAAAATATAAAAATTTTATTTATTAAATAAATATTAACGACAAATAAACGAAATTACGTCGTTAAAATTAAAGAGGAAGTGAAACGAAATGGAACAAAGAATCGATATCACACCCGGCTACAATACTTTTCTGATGATTAAGTTGGTGAAAAGAGAATAATTGTTAACATATAGCTATTTTTAATGAACATAAATTAATTGACAAAATAATTGAAATGTGAAAACATTAAAAAATTAATAAGAAAGTGATTTACCTCGTTATCATTGATAAAAAATGTCAGGCAAGACGAGAAACACGTGGCTTCGAGCAGAAATTATATTTGATGGATGAAAAAACTCAATTAAATAGATAAAAATGGATATTTTTTTAGGTAAATCAGCTATTTGAACTTCAGCTTTAGCATTGTATGCTTTAGATACGAATTCTTCGTATGAAATCTCATATTTTAACGACAATTTACTAGAGATCGATCGAAAAACGGCATAACCGTTGCCGCTAACAACGAAAAGAGGTAGAAGAGAGAACAGCGGAAATGGACGAAAATTCGGGAGAAAAAAATTCTTGAGCATGCGCGTATCTTATAATACCATTCACGAATGGCGTGTTTGCTTAATAAATACATGTTTTTTATTTTAAAAAATCAATCTTATATAAAGTAAATTATACGTACCATGAAATTATAAATAATTATTACGTTTAGATAATATTAGACGTTTTATTTTATTTTATATCACACCTTTTCACTTCCAGAAATGTTCTGAATGAGAGTCCGCCAATTTTTTACGTTGTAATGATATTTGGCGGTAAAATAACGGGAGTCTGTTGAAGAATTGACATTCATTGCCATCTATTGAATAGAAGATAACCTAAAAGATTACTTATGAAATTATTGAAGTATGATAAGTTATCGATAGTTCTTAAAATTTTGGTTTATAAACAAGCTTGCAAATTTCGTCATGCATAAATTGATCACGTCATGATCATGATTAATAAAAATCGACATTATTAAGATAAATTAATTATTCAATTAAGTGCGTAAAAACTAGAAAGAGTTCGAATTTATGAAGAATTTCTAGTAAACTCCCCCTGTGATTTTTTTTCTGAATTGTATTGTTGACAGGAGGTTTTTGTGATTATGTCAGATGATGAGTCAAACGTCGCAAGAGATTATTTGATAATTCTTAAAAATAAGTAACTATAACTGTGTAAAATGGCAACTGACTTTTCAATAACATGTCTTTTTAGTGAAACAATTGAGTATATTTTACAAAATGATTGCCTTGAGTTTAGTGATGTTTTGAATTTTAGTTTAACATGCAAGTACTTCTACAAAGCTGTTATGACAAATAATGCTTTGTGGAAAAGGAAATTCTTTCAAAGGTAAAAACTATTTCCAAAGTTATAAATATTTCACAATATTGTGATATATTAAAAATGATTTATTTGTTTAAAAATATTTTTATGTTTATTAAGATGGCCTCATCTTTCTGAAATATATGAAAACAATGAAAAAGATGGACTACGAATACACAGCTGGATAGACACAATACGATCAAGGATCCAATGCCGGAAAAAATTGATCAGTACCTTATCTCTCATGTCTCAGAAAAATTATAGAAAACAAGAGCTGGCATATGCTGATATGGAAGAATTTAGTCTTTTAGTACGTCCTGAAGTACACCCTTTTGCCTATCATTTTGTTGTTGATGAATTGACAACTCTTGTAAATAATTCTAGCACGTAAGTTATTTTATTGCAAATCAACGGTTAAAGATCAATTCTCATAAAATACTGTTTTTTATTTAATAGTTTACAATAAAGAGTTTGTTCATTACAATAATATTTTTCAGAGATGTAAATTTAACTCATCAATATTATGCACGGAAAGTGCTTAGATATTTAAAACAAAAACATTTAGCAAAAATATGGAGTTATTTTACATATCTTCCTCTGGAGAAGCGAATATTAGAGAAAGGTGCTATATTAATATCTCAATGGAGTCAACCTGATCAACGTGTATCTGAATCTCAAATTACTGCTACTCTTGATGAAATAGCAGAAACAACAAAGCAAGTTATAAAAGCACGTTATCCTAATCATCCATTATTATTTGCATCAAGACAAGACCTTGATGAATGGAGAACCACAAACATTCCTGATAACAAATGGGATAAAGAGGGTACAAGACAAGTCATGAATGTTTTATGCGAAGTACTGTTTGAAAATTTAAAATTTCATGGTAATAGTGAAACGTATTACTCATCAGAAAATTCTCTTATTGACAAGGTAAATTTTTAATCCAAAAAATTTCGAACAATAATAATACATTTTCATTTAAAAGAATCACATGTAAATATTTATGTTTTTAATTTTCAGGTTCTCGAAAATAGGCGTGGTACTCCAGTCACTTTAGCTATTGTTTTTGAAAGTGTAGCCAGACGATTAGGAGTACGATGTGAACCAGCTTGTTTTCCAGCACATTTCTTACTACATTTTAAAGAAAAATAGTAAGAATAAAAATTTTTATATTTAAGAGAGATCGTTATACAGTTTTTGTGTTAACTTCTGACTTCATCTTTGCAGTTGCTATCCTGAAACTGAAGAAGTGGAGAGTTTTTATATTGATGTATTAAATGGAGGAAAGTTTTTAACAAAAAAGAGTTGCCCTCGTATGACAGGTGCTTCAAAGTGTCCTATTGCTAAATTTAATGTTGACCAAGCAGCAACAGCCGTAAAGGTAAAATTTCACTGAAATTTTTTAATTAATAAATATTTTATTGAGTGAAAATGCAAATTATAAAGTTGAATTTTAGGTTTTACATCATATAGCTAATAATTTGGTGATAGCTGCAAGGAGAATAACACAGCTAAATGGACGAACAGCCCGATTCAGGTCTGCTTTAGAACTGGCCCTTTTGATTGATCCTAATGACATACATAAGATGTACGATTTGGCTCAATTTTATATGCAACATCAAATGAGCATGAATGATATACTTGATATTTTGACTCAATGCCCTCTAACCACAGATCAAGTGGAAGCTGTTTTTCAGATATTCGAAAATTATGAAAAAGTCAACGAGGTAATTATTTTTTTTCTTATTAATAATGAAATGTAGATATTTCTTTGTCATGCCGATGAACCGGAATAAAATTTTATTTCAGATGATTGCACCAATAAAATTACGATGCCCTACTGTAAAATATGCCATTGGAATGATAATGAAACACCGAATTCATGGATATTTCTGTGTAATAACAGGATGGGATCCTCAATGTAATGCAACATCAGATTGGATGTTTGAAATGAATGTTCTTGATGAGCAAGCTGATAAACCGTTTTATAATGTACTAGTTGAAGATGGATCATGTAGATACGCAGCTCAAGGTACACTCTATCTATTATGAATTCAAGTTTTATTTATTTAATATTAATTTTTTTGTCTTGTGTGTGTAGAAAATCTAATTATAAGTCCAATACATCTGTGCATAAATCACGATGAAATAGGGAAATATTTTTATAAATATTGTGGTAACTATTACCTTCCAAATGAAGAAAAAGAACGAGAGTATCCAGAAGATGCTAATATTCGAAATCAACTGTTAACTCAAAATTCTGATACATAAAATACAACCGGAAAATTGATAATCAGTATGTAGGTGAAAAGAGGAATGCAACAGGTAATGATATTGATCTTATTAAATTAAACTCCAGATAATTTATTGATAAGTTTATCATTAAAACGATCAAATTACTAATAAACAATTTAAGTATTTTTAATATAATTAATCAAGGTATTACAAGCGTTACGATTTTCATTATTACTATCATTGTTACTATTACAATTGTTATTATTAGATCGCTAGAAGTAATTCTAATAATAGTATAAAATCTCTCAAATTATTTTTTTAAACATATTTATCATAAGATATTGTTTTTACTTACAAAACTTTTACACAGTACAAAATAAGAAATATTAGAACCGAAATTATTAATCTATTCTTGTATTCTATTCTATTGTTTATATATACAATATAATAAATCAGTATTTAATAGTCACTTATAATCCAAAATTTACTAATCTAATAGCTAATACTTAGTGAAGTCAAACTACTTTCTTTGTGTTAGTAACAATTGTATTTATTTATATAATAAATGACTGTAATGTAATGCAAAAAATAAACATTAAGTGTTGTGTACAGTAATTAAAATTTTTATTTAAATAAAATAAGTTCATATCATAAAGAGAATTTTTTTCACAAAACATTTATGATAATGAATATTGAATATTCGATACCAATCATTATTGACAAAAATTGCTAACAAGAATTATTTTGACAATTAATTTATCGTAAAAATATTATCCATTTGTTTATTAATTCATAATTTTATTATTGTTTATGTGACTTCTTAGAATGATTGTATCTTGATATTCTGATAATAAATTAATGAATTTTACGTTTTAAAGATAAAAATGTTACTTTAGCGTGAGTGCTTATGAATATCTTTACTAATATAGAATGCGATTTTTGTGCCATTTTGTAGCTGAATGTTTTAATGCAAGATTCCTGATCATGAGACTCAGATACAAGAGTAGGAGATACTCTTGGGGACCAGTATATAAGGTATGCTGAGTTTGGAATCTGTCAGAGTCGAATGTACCATATTCTCGTTGATATAATTGCTTAACGTTTGATAGATTAATTTTTATAAAATAATTGAAAACAAATTAATTACTCATTGACTAACGATTTTAAAAATTATTATATATATTGTAAATAATTATCATTTACGTGAAACTTAGTACTTATTTTTTTTACTACAGATTATTACTTTCTGTATATATATACCAAAAGAAGTAAATAAAAACTTACTGTGATAACAAAGAAAACAAGAAGAAGACTAATGCAAATTTGAACAAAATGGAAGTGTGTTCAAGTGAAAGACTGTTAAAGAACAATCAAAAATTAGATAAACGAAAGTTAGAATTATTCAAAGATAAAGGACTGACCTTTGAGGAACTTATTCGTGAATTGTACGAAGTATTTGAGTCTAATTTAGTGGATATTGATTATGTGAAGACATTGATGTCATTATATCGAAGCAATCCACAAGATTGGAAAAAATTCGCTAAGTTTGATCGTCATCGGTAATTAAAAATTTATCTAATTCTATTCTATAATTATTTTAATTAGTAATTAAATTTTTATATTGATTCTTGAAGCTGAAAAATTGTTCAAATCATTTTTTCAAAGCTTTTCCAGTTAAAAAAAATTAAAGAATTCAAACTAAATGAAAAACAAATGCTTCAAAATAATATAATGATTTACTTTCACTAGAACTTTCATCTTAGATTGATTTGTTCATTAATTTTACGATGTTGAAAGGTTATCAATGTGGGGCAAATAATTATCTTCACAGAAAAAACCTCTATATAATAACAACAACAATGAAGAAGAATTTACATCAAGTTATTAGAATCAATAGTAAAAAATGTAATATTGGTGGAAAAAAAATTTCATAATCACTTATTTTTACTTATCATCATTCGTAATTATGGTAAAAATAAAAATTATAAGTCGATTCACTCATTGGAAAATACCATTGAAAACATACAAATATTATTAATTTGTCCTATTGACTAGAATGCTATCATTTATTAGCATAAAAACTAGTTTTCATATTCTAGAATAATAAATTTACAAACAACATTATAAAAAATAATAATTTCCCAACATATTGTAACATAATAATCAACTTTAATTATTATCATCTGTAACTAGTTGATGATAGTCTATTATTTTTGTTAAACCTTATAGGTATTTAGGTAAATTATTAAATTACTAGTTGAGTTTAGTAAAATATTGCACAAGATAGCTCATATAGCAGTTACAATGTAGTGAATTACTTTCATTTTTGTGTGAAGTATTTAAGAAAAATAAATCGTTGTGAGGTCGATGATAGAACACTATCAACTAGTGAATGGAATATTTTAGACGTAAATAAGAGATTCGTTGACTCTTGCTTAACTTTATTAGATCTGTATTGAAATTTTTCAAGGAATTATTTATCAGACCTCTTGCTATTAAATTAAACCAACTTTTTTTTTCATTGATGAAATTATTGATTAACTTCAGTTTAAGTGCTTGATTGATATATAATTATTAGTTACGTTAATAACTAGGTACACAAGAAATCTAGTGGATGAAGGAAATGGAAAATTTAATCTGATGATACTGTGCTGGGGTGAAGGACATGGATCTGCAATCCACGACCATGCTGATGCTCATTGCTTCATGAAAATTCTTCAAGGACAACTTTGTGAAGTATATTTATATTTTATATAACTTATAAAAACTTTTTTATTCTGTTTGGAGATCTTTAAAAAATTTAATTATCCTGTTTTCTAGACAAAATATGAGTGGCCATCACTAGAATGCTCAAATTCCGAATCAGACGAAGACGTTTTAAAGGAGATGGAAAAAAATATGCTGCATCTTAATGATGTTTGTTATATTAACGACTCTATTGGACTTCACAGAGTTGAAAATCCAAGCACAATTAATCCTGCCGTATCTCTGCATCTTTATTCTCCACCATTTTCTTCTTGTTCTGTTTTTAACAAACGAACTGGTCAGAAAATGCCTGTTAAAGTCACCTTCTGGTCTAAATATGGAGAACGCCGTAATCGGGTAAGTGGCCAAACTTGAATTAAGGATAACGAGAAAAAAAATAATTGACGTCTTTTTATAGTATTTTTGTTTACAATAATAATGTATTGATTTTTATTTTGTTTTATTCAGGAAATTCAAGAAAACAGGTGTCCGGAAGATAATTAAGAATTTATTCAGTGCTGTTGTTGCTCAAGGTTTACAATTTTACCTTTTTTAAAATATTTATTATCTGATAAAAAGTAATTAAAATTTTTTTATATATTTTTTATATAAAGATAAACCAATTAAATCTGGATATGAATATTCCGTAAACATAAATAATTACGATAATTTTAATTATAGTAGTAAATAAATAAAATAATATTTACGATGACATTATTGATACGTTAAACAAACGAAAAATAATCGACTGCTTGGGTCATTGGCGTTATCACAAGTTCTTATGGGTCAGTAAAACATATTTCTAAATCTACATATGACTGTTATAACATATCTTACTACTCATTAAAATAATTTGCATACACTAGTACAACTAAAGAGTAGAGAACTTTATATTTTCTCTAAGTAATTAAAATAAAACTGCCGACATTTAGGTCTTTTAGGATTTTATTAAATTTTGCCAACATATTTAAAATCATGAAGATAAATAAAGTTCACCAAAACTGCAATAATAAATCATTGTACAAAGTTTTGATTCAACCATGATATAAGTTATCCAAAGTAAAATTACCTCGAGATAATTTATTAGGGAATTTAGAAACCAATTAATTAAAAGCGATACAATTAATGACTGTTATTAGGAATAATTTAAGGTTGAGTTTGTTCATTAGTCTATTTATGTTATAAAATTACTGCTATATTGTAATCAATTGGAATATTTTGTTAACTAGCTTGATCGTTATCTGTATGATATAAATAGAATGTACTCTGTTAAACAGAATCACTATCCATTTCAAAATTATCTGTACTGTCTACTCTTATTAATCTTTTTGTCTTGTCATCAGAAATAGTTTTTAGTTGTAACAAGTTCAAGGAACTACATTCATTAATTTCATAACATCTTGTCTGGTGTTCTAAGCTTTTAAAAAATGAATCTTGTACTTGATATCTATCTGCACCACCACGTTCTCGTTTATTTTTCTCTTTATTTGACAAACTTTCGTTCCTTCCCTCTTCAATTAAGAGCTCAGACGATGATGAATGATGAATTAATTCTTTGCTGTTATACTTTAATTTTTTCCTCGGCCATGGAAATTTATTCAAAACATCTTTAAAGCCTTTCCTTTTACCGCGCTGTTTCCTTTTCACTTTTTCTGATCTCCACACTCCTTTTAAGCTTTTATGAACATTTTCTTGATCCGCTGATGAAGATAAGTTAGAATATGATGGAGATTTTCTTCTCCAGCACGTTGTACATTTTCTTTTAATACTTGAGCTCAATTTTTTATGAGCTCTTTTGAAGAAACAAAATGTTGGATTTTCATCACTACTATCATTTATATCATCATCTTTTTCCTCTTGTTTAGGTAATTCTTTAAATATCTTAAAAAAATTTTAATGTTTAGCAATTGATCAAAAGTTAAAGAATCTTTTCGTTTTTATTTACTTGCATAGTAACGTCATCACGTTGAGTTTGAGCTCCAACATTTTTGTAAAGTGAACTATGTTTTTGTAATCTTTTCTCTTCATCAGGCATTACTTGATAGACCTACATAAAAAAAAAAAATAACAAAGTTAATTTATGAACAATAAATAGAATTGTCACTTTTTCGTTTGTATTTACTTGTACGTTGTCTTGTTTATTTTCAGTTTCATCGTCCCAAAAAAATTGTGTTAGCCACTCTAAACCATCATAAATCATATCTAGATAAGCTATAAAAATAAATTCAACTTTTTCTATTTTTTTTATTGATATATTTTTTGTCACCTCAGACAACTTTCTTACTTGTATTACTTGCCACAAGAGGTTCGTTAAGTTCATCAAGATTCTCTTCTCTGTACTCTAACTCTTCTTGCTTCTTTTCGTTCGGATTCTTTTCAATTGACTTTATTCTTGTCTTGTCTGATTTTATTTTCCGTTCCATTGTCGAAGAAAGTTTGGCAAATTCGTCTTCTGATGAGTCTCTGAAATTTCAACCCAATTATTAACAAAAAAAAAATAAGAAACTACAAGTAGATATTCTTCAAATGGTTAGTTATTATACTTTTCTTCACTAAAATCAGACAAATCTCCATATTCCAGAGGTACTTTACAAATTGTACAGAGGTTTTGTAGATCAGCGTAGCATAAAATACAGAAAAGACCAGCACAATCAGGAGTAGGACATTTAATATGCGGTGGATCTCTAGTTCTCTCAACAGAACCACATAATAGGCACATCTTTTGATGCAGCGGAAAAAAGAAATTTAAAATAGGACATGTGGCCCACATCCGTTCCTTGCAAGTAACTTTTTCAATACTTTTATCACCGATTATTCCGTATTTTCGTCGCAATTGTCGTCTTGCGTACTTCAAGAAATTTCCTCTTGACCTGGATGGAAACAATAACATTAAGTAAGCATCCAAAATATATCAACAATTATTAATAACAGTGATTTAACAATGACGACAGTCATAATAGTAAATGAACTAATAATTATTGTTGGAATAATTTATTTTGAAACAAGTAATTTTATTTTATGACTAGAGTTCTAAGAATTATAAGAACTACTCGGTGATTTGAATAGATTCATTTTACCCTACCTCATAATATGATTATATAACCAAACAGCACGTTGCTTTGCTCTCTCTGGATAATAATAACCCATAACAATTTGACGTAATCGCAATCCATAAGGTTCAAAAATAGCCATGATCCAGCAAAACACTATAAGAGTAATGATACGTATATATAAATCATAATCTGGTGGCATGGGATCTGGTAGACAAGGCAGACTATCTATCTCGCTGTCACTATCAGAAGGTGAGAATGCTTTTATAATACTCTTGTAAAGCTGGGCAAGATATCCATCACCAGCAACATGAACTCCCACAGAATTGACTTGCTCAGTTTTTGTTTGAAATCTTCCATGATAACGAATTGTACTTAAAATCCAGTATAGGCTGTAATCTATGAACATATGAGTAGAAAGCTTGAATGATGTGAGTCCAAGGAAAACTATCGATCGCATTAATCGAGTTCGTTCATTTCCAATTAACTTAATGGAGGTAAGAGAAATATATTTTCTTCTTTCTCTTCTATTTAATGGTAATGCTGTTTCTTTTTCTTGTTTTGTTCTAACCAGATCAATATCCAGAAAATAACTTGTTAAATATTTGTTATCAAAACGATCTTTGATTAACCATTTACGACGATAGTTAAGAACTCTGAAAAATAAAAACATCACTTTTTAGTAATATTTAAGTATTTAATTAATTTAATTAATTTTGTCGTACTTTAAAACCATAAAAAGAAAGAAGAAACTCATCATAAAACTCATCCAATCAAATATTATCAAAAAAGTATTGGTCTTGGCTTTAATATCAGACACAATTTTTTTAGCGACATCCTCATAACTTTGACTTTTATTCGTTTGAAAGTGAAATGAGTGGTCAAAGTTTACTTTAACGTAGAACATTGTTTTCATTTGCATAGTAAATTTTTTTATTTCTAAAAATAAAGTGTAATTTATAGAGCAAATAAATTACTGAGTGTTGTAAAGACAAAAAAAAAAAGAAATACTTCTTCTCACTGCTCCAACAATTACATCACTAAGTACAGCTGTCAGAATGCAAATGAAATCCAGAGGTTTGACTATATAACACAATTGTTCAGTAGCAGTGGCAACATTACAAAGAGAGCTGAGGGGACCAAGTTGAGCTTGACAATCAGTTACAGCATCATCAAAAACTTTTCGACATCTTTCATAAGGCGTTCCAAGTTTTTTATTGCACATTTGAACAATACTCCCAAGCCAATTATATACTGATTTAATTACTTTAACTTTAAAAGATTATAAATTCTTTAGAACAATCAAATAAATTATTTATATTGCGTTAGTAAGATTTAATCTAAATAGCAGTAACATAAAATAGTAGAGATAAGAATGATATAAAAGTAAAAGGAATAAATGTAAAAAGGTCATTTACGGATACTGAGGACGATTCGTTTGATAGCAACTAAAGTCTCTTCAATTTTCTTTACGATATCCTTAATGCTCTGTATAATCTTTCCAAGTGTGTGTCGTAGAGCATAAAAGGGCTGCTTGATTAGATCTATTAAGGCTCGTATAGCTTCTTTTAATTGTTCCTAATGGCCGTGTTAAAAGAGTTATCAAGCGAAAGTGAGTTTTTATAAGGATTATAAAAGAATAAAATAATCTTGTTAAAAGGTGTCATAAGAAATAATTAGATATATACTTGTCCACAAGTCAGAGACTCCGATAACACTCCTACATTGTATAGAGTATTTCTTGCAGGACCAGTTAAAGTGAGAATGAAAGCGTATGCGATCATAGCTTGACGTCCTCGTTTAGAAAAAAATTGTGGAAGAAGTAAAAAAACAATACACCTAGAAAAGTAAGGGAAAAAATTATTTTATTATTTTCAAATTGATTAGTTTGGATAAAAAAGTTTAATTATTGATTCATATTTTACAACTTACCGGACTCGATATGAATATGCAAGTCCTAATGTCAATATCACTCCAAATATTGAGCATAAGAAAGTTGCTGAGTATAAAGTGAAGTTCAACTGGACCATAAAAAATGTGAAAAACATGTAGGTTAAAAAAACACCACCCAAGAAACCAATCATACTTTTAAAAATAAAATTTTCAAAAGTTCCATCTGTTTTTAATAAAGTAGCTGTCTTATAAATCCATGATCCTTTAGGCACAGACAATATCAGTCTTTTGAACCATCTTCTTATTTTCAATCTACACCTTTGAACAGAATAAATTTATTAATAATAAATACATTAGTGATCATTGACAGATTGTGATACTTTATTTTCTGAATACGAATTCGTTGAAATAGGTTATAGTGGACTTTTTTCCCTTTGGATATTTCAATAGACTGTAATTTTTCATCGTAATATAATTTCCTTGCTTTTTCTAATTTCCGAGCTTTTAGCACTAATTGGAAAAATGCCATTTCTTAAAGTAACTATGATATTTCACTTGAAACCAACGAGCATTTGATGCTTAAATCCATGACAATGATTAATGTCCATTAAAACAATTAAGATTTCTATTATTATTGTATCATGTATGATGCTTTGAAGTGCTAAGCTAACAAGAAGTGACGATATTCACATGCCTTATATGTTAAATGTATGGTTTATGACTGATGTATTAAAGTTAATCAACAGTTTATTTTCATTTGATTGAATTAAAAATTTCTGAATGTTTATTTCATTCAGGGTATCAGCTATAAATTGTAATATTTAACTGACAATTATAGTAAAGTGTAGGATGAATGATAGTGCGAACCCGTAGGGTGTTTTTAAAATTTCTTAAAACATTTTAGAGAGTGACGAAGTGAAAACGGTATGTCTAGTTTAATAAATAGCACAACAGTCTATAACAGTATCAGAACACTTAATTAGCTAAATGAAAAGTCATCTGTCTTAGTTCAACAAAAATTTATTTTACAAGAAACTGGCCATTATAAATTCTAAAAAAAAACACTTATTCGTCTGTAATATGATAAATACTGTTTTATAATTTATCTTATTAATATTATAGTACATTTTTCTGCTTAAACTGATAATTTAAATAATAAATTATAACAATATTTTAACTCATGACTCTAAAGATTCTTTAGAATTAAATGTCTTTGAATCTAAAACGAAAATTTGACTATTTTTCACCTCCTTTTCAAGCCTTCGTTTAATCCTAGCAGCCACCAGAGGTGTAAAGAGATTAGGATTAAGAACTCTCTGGGGTATTTTTGAACACTTTTGAGCTATGACACTTACTACATAACCGATTATTATCACAAAACTCATACCCAGTGGCGTAAACCACAAATAGGAGAGTCGATTGATGTAAAGATAGGATGAAACGTCATCGCTGATACTAAAAATACATATTGGATTATACAATGAAAAAAAAATAACAACAAAAATAAATCAATGAACTGATAAAATAAGTCTTGTCATCTCTATCTGTATTGATTCCCCTTTTACAAATATTTACCAGCTCTTGAAGATTTTTTATTATATCGAATTATTATATGAATGAACTTAAAAATTACTCAATAACAATAGAACCAAATATAAATAGCTACCGTTCAAAATGAGTAAGTTAAAAGTAAACAATTCTTTGTAGTGAAATGAATACAGACAATCGATAAATTTAGTAGTATAAAAATAAAAGTTTACCTAGAGTTTGAAGGATGAGTAAATGTAGAATTAGGACATTGATCAATTTTCATATCAAGAAAAGGTTCTTTAGGTTTTGGAGCAAATGCAATCCATACCATGAGTAATATAGAAATGACGGTACCAATAACTGCTCCAATTTCATTAGCAGCTTCTGTAAACATTCCCAAAGAAAATAGTCCTAAAACTGGACCACCAAATGCTCCATTAACCGCTAGAACAGCCTGAATCAGTGCTCCTAACCGTGTTGCCAAGAAAGCTATTGCAATGCTGGCAAAGCCTATCATAGTTCCTAGAATTTTGCCGTACATTGCTGCTTTGTCACTTGGAAACTCACGGTCGAATCTTTTATACAATGGTTTGATATAATCAGCTAAAGCTATTGCAGCCAGTGAATTCAGCATTGCTGACACTGTGCTCAAACTTGCACTGAATACTCCAGCAATGAAGATTCCAGTGAGCGTTGGAATTCGTGTCAATCGTTCCTTGGCGAAGAATGGCATAATCATATCATATGATTTAATTTTTCCTGAAGTCACTGGATCACAATATTGGTAATGTGAGTATAGAACGAGTCCTGAGAACGAAATCGTCAATGCCAACATCATAGTCATTGGTACATTTAACCAAAGGGCCTTTCGGGCATCGCCAATTGTTCTGAAGAAATTCAATTTAAATTCATGAGTAAGAAGAAATATTTTTCTCGATTTCAATTTACTGTTAACTCACTTTGCTGTTAACATCCGTTGAACTTGAACTTGGTTGCACGCGAAAAGTGAGAGGAAAAAAAAGGTACCGCCAATTGTTAAAGACCACCAAGTGTGTCGAACCGTAGGGTCGAAATCGAAGCTGAAAAAGAAATGAAATATAGCTACTCATTATTTTTGCTTTCGTTTATTGTTAAAAAAATAGCCTGGTCATTATTTATTTACATTTCAATATACCTGAATAATTTTCAATAAATATTTTCTTTCATCGATTCAATGTAATAGAATTAATTATTTAAAACTTCTTTTGAAGAAAATCTCTTCTTGATCAATAGGAAAAGCGATTTTAGAATGATGATAATTATAATTATAACATACTTGAAGAAGTTTAATCGTCCTCCTTCTTGTGCATTAATGAAAATACCCCAGACGCCACTGTCGATATCTCTTAATGCTATACCGATTACACAGTAGACACAAATAAACATCAGAGCACCTTGCAAGATATCAGTTATGATGATGGCCTTAATTCCACCGATGCTGGAGTAAAAAGTACAAATTAATCCTATGAGAATGATGCTCATATTTCCACTTAATCCCGTCGTTGATTCTAAAGCAAGTGATGGAGCATATATTACTATTCCAGTGTACAAACAAATTTGTGAAAAATTCACTATGCTTGCCAATAATCTTGTTGTCTTTCCAAATCTCCTTTCTAAATACTAGAAAAATAATTTTTTAATATCTTTAAATAATATTTAGAATGTTGTCAATTTATTATGAAAACAGAATATTTTTTTTTAATATAAAAAAAGAAAAAAGTTACCTCGAATACACTCATCATCTTGAGCTCATAAAAAACCGGAAGATAAAAATAAGAAACGATTGGCGTTCCCAAAATAAGACCAATATAAATGAGATTGAATTGTGCACCATAACTATAATTTTCACCACTGATTCCAAGTAGTGAAATTGCTGAAAGATATGCAATCATCATCGTAAAGGCAAGCATAACAGTTCCAACAGATTGATCAGCAGAAAAATATTCCTGTATTATAAAGACGAGAAAAAGATTTTTTATTCAATCAATGAAGAAAGATTATAATAACACAATTATTATCCATATCAAAAATGATCAAATCAATAACAGTCTATGAATCAATTATATAATTAAATAAACCATCAACATTATAATCCTGGGATATACATTACCTCAGCTGTTTTCTGTCGACCACCAGTAAATCTGTAATAAACTCCTATCGCAGCTGATGCAAGAAGAGTTAAACCAACTGCTACCCAATCCGGCCATTGGAGTGTTGGTTCAGCTTCTGGAGATGATAAATTATCCTGAAATTTTTTTATTCTTATTTTATGTGTAAAAGTAACATTGATGGATATTTCTTTTCAATATTTATCAGCCTCATTATATAATATAATAAATAACCTTTTTAACTCAACTAGGTTTTCCTGTTGATTCTGAATAGCCTAGTATCAGCTGAGTCTAAAGTCTCAAATTAATAGAAGCAAAAAGAGACCAAGATAAAATGTTAAAGAAAAATAGCGAATAAGTATATACCAGTTGGGATAGGCTGATTCCTTTATCATGAATGGAAAGAAAGTTAAGATGGTATTGATAAGTTTATAAAGTGAATACAAATTAAACTTAAATAAAACAAAAAATTAAATTGTTTTTGATGCATTAGCAGTTTATCAATATCGTTTGGTTTTAATTCATGTAATCTTGATATTTAATGACAACATAATTTTTAAATACTCACATCCATAGTGATGCCGATTAAATAATTGAGAAGTGCTTAGTCAAGACAGTGTTACAGTTAAATAATTATAGTAATCTTCAAGGAAACATTAGTGATGTTCTTTTATTCTTGAATGATGTCTCCACTTCTGATCTTAGAATTTTGATATCAAGTTAAGGAAATTACTTCCAACTGAACAAGTTGTCACTGCTGACTCGATTATATAAATCCAGTGTAAGCACGTGATGATAATAATACACAGAAGCATACCTGCCCTCCAATCTTTCCTTCTCTTCTCTTTTTTTATACATATTGCCAGGTTTCATGTTCAATAAATCTCCACTCGTTGCTCATGATACTCTCACTCTTGTTGTGAACTTGAATGAATTATCGTCAAAATTCTAGATTAATTAATACCAAACGATAAAAATATTGGTACACTTGCTAAAATACAGCTGTGGTATTATATTACATATTTCTTCATATTTTTACATTTAGTCATAACTTTATATCAGAAAAAAAGTACTGAATGCTATTTGTTTATGGATGACAATAAACCTACATATTTTTATTCTGCACGTGCTGTATCACTAAATCATGCTGAAGAATCTGTAGAAAAATATAAAAGAGATTAGTACATTGTATTACTTCACATTTCTGTAAGTTTTTAGTGATTACATTTGGTAACGACCTGAGCATTATTGTCAATAATCTCAAGTAGCTGTTGAAGTTACACTCTGCTGCTTTGAACAATAACGTCAAGTTATTTGTGGACAGCAATAGGAAGTTGTCAAGGTGATTAACGGTTTGTGAAAAATGCCAGTAGAGTTATGTAATTTTTTTTCTATCCAATAGAATGGGCTTGATATTTTTTCTAATTAATATACAAACTGACGTTATTTATTATTCACAAATAGAGTAATAATTGTCTGGGCGTCAGATAAGAGACGTCAGAGAGAAAAATTATCGGTTGAAACTGCACTGTGTCAACATTATTAATTATTTGGTTGTTTGTTGTTAAAACAAAATCTCAATTGGTATTAAAAAATTCAGAGATTATTTTTCAGTCATGGTTATTAAATCAAATAATTTGTGAAAGAAAACATAAGATAATTATTGCATGATTTGCTACTTTTTATTAAAAAGTGAATATTTTGAAGAGATAAAAAATACTTTTGAATGCATTTGATGAGTGTAATTATTTATTTCAGATATCCTTGTGATAAATAATAATTATTAAAATATTTCAAACTATGTAATTTTCATCAGCAAAATGAAAAAAATTATTTAAGAAGACAAAAAATATTTATTAAATGTTGAATTTAAAAACAATAAATCATGAAGTATCTGTAGTATTATAAGTAGAGACATATTTTTTCATCTTTCTAGCAGCATTCGCAAGAGCTCTTCATCTTTTGAAGCCATCCACGAATCAACCCAATTTTTAGTATCTTCATATGATGTAAAGTGCTGCTCAGACAGGTGATAATCAGAAGGGGCAATGTCTGATGAATATAATGGGTGGGGTAGGACTACCCAATTATCTTGAAAATATTTTATTTCTACCTAAATATCTAAGTATCTTATTTTTATGGGGTAACTTGAGAATGAAAATTTTTCAATTTAACATTTGAATTTTATATTCCACATAGATAGCCAACTACCGTTCCCTGTCAATTTCATACATACATATTTTATGGACCGCAATTCATAGAAATCACCGAGTTTGCATGATAAATCAAACGTGCTGAAAACGTTCGATTAGAGAATAATAATCAGAGCGTGAGTAAAAGACCAACGGCCAACCCATGCTCAATATGTCCTCCTTTCTTCTTCGATTTCTCATGTGCTCTCAAAGACGTACATGCAAATTTGGCTTATCACTACAGAAGTTTTAGAGAAAGTCATTTTTTATTCAACAATCGGAATTCCAAAAAGGGGCTATGAGTTATAATACTTCTATTTACTTACTCAAGCTTGAAAAATTTTATTTTTAAATCACACTTTCTATTGCATGCAAATCTTAGTATTTATAAATCTGCGGAAAAGAACACAATTATTTTGTAGGCACATGAATTTAACTTTTTCATTTTCTTTTTATTATTCCATTCATTTCTTTCCAACCACGAGCTGCAAAATTTTCTCATAATGGCACGTCACACCTCTATTATGTCCCATGTATTATAGCCTCAACACCTTTTGTACTTTTCTTTTTTTCGAGTATTCAACAAGCAGTTTGCTAGCAAGTACATGTATGGATTGGAATTATAACTCTAACAAGTTAGAGTTGTAGAATTTATTTGATTTGTTTATTTTTATTGCTTACGATTATCTATTTTAATTGGCTTCTTTTATGTGTGGATAAATAAACTTCTAGGTAACAAGATACATCTATTTTAAATTCGTTTGAAGGTTTTATGACAGGATAATTAAAAGACATAATAACAATAGAGAATAAAAAAAAAAAAAAGGAAACAAGAGAGAATTATTTTATCATCAAAAATATTTTTGTTAGATATTTATTAAAAATGATATGAATTTCATAATCTTAAATATCTTCTGCTATTGATCTGATAGAATTCCAAAGAATATTGAAATATTTTCAATCAAAAATAGGGCTTCTTAACTGGCTCAATAAATTATCAAATTACTTTATAGTTCTGAATTTTTGATTTCATCCCAAGATTTTTAAAATTCCATAGGGAAAGAAAATAAATAAAAATCCAATCTCTGAATTATTGGGTTCTGCTATGCAGTAGCACAAACCATCCACTAAATCTTGTCAAAAGGTTAAGCATTCACAGACTCTGATACCTGTACTGACTGGAAATTACATGTTACTCCAAAAAACTGAACATAAATTCACATCGAACAAATACCCTGCAAAAAAAGAAACATTTTAAAATAATTGCAAATAATCTTTCGCAATTTCTAAAATTTATTACTTACCTTAGTACATATTTTAATTATTTTAACATAGTTTATTTAATAAAGAAAAATATTAAACAAGTTATTTGCTAACAAATAATCATTGTAACAAGTAGAAGTGGTAGAATTTATTTAACATACGAGAAATGAAAGCTTATATTATCACAACCTGATAATATCGAACTCATTACATCACGAACAATTAAGTAATAAATATTCAATTCCCATAGTGCTAACTTCCTTCCTTATTCCTCCGTTCATCAGTTATCTGTCAACCTTATCATCAAGTTAAGTCATAAAGTAACTATTTATTGGCCAACTTTTGTTTAAAAATTATTCAAATTGTCTAGAACTACATTTTATCTGCATGGAAATAATAAAATATATTATGGTTAAAGCTCGAGCAGTTATTTGCTCAAACAATATTTGTCGGTGTGACCAAAGAGCCACAAATTCAAGGCTGTCTTGTAAAACGTGATGAGTTTGTAGTGATGTACATATGTAGGTGCGTATCCTATATATGCTTATACATATATATAACAACGTCAGATGGAGAATACCCGCATATATGTTACTTTTTACAGTCAGACTTAATATTTTAACTAGTATGAATAAAAGAGAAAAATCCTTTTAACCCTTTCATTTTTAAAAATACCAGGAAAAAAAAATTCAATATCAGCAAATAATATTCTGATGGTTATTTAAAATAATTAAAAAATAATTCATTTAAACAAATGCATTTTTCGTTAAATTCAATAAAATATTTTATTGCAAATATTTTAAATTATTTTTATTGATTAAAATATTAAATGATAAAGTGTTAAGTGTTTATGTATTAATTCAAGTGATAATTACGTTCAAAAAACGATGAAATTAAAGACGAAGTAATATTTAAGATAAATTATGTACATCCGAAGATGATTCACGCGATCCACTTAACATTCTTTACAAGTTTTCTCACATACTCCTATTAATTGCATAATAGTCATTATCATCTCAAGTCCTGAATGAATTTGTAATCTTAAACTGATTTGTTTTAAACAAATACTTTGTTGTTTTTTCTTTTTAATAAACACTTTATTTATTTTAATTAATTATTTAAACTAAATTTTTTAAATTATTTATGTCTTAATGATTTTTTTAAAAAAGTGCAATTGAATAACGTGAAATGATATTCAAGTTGTAGTAATGATTACTACGAAGATTATTTTACTCATTTTAATTATGAAGAAAGATGATTAAATAAAATGAGGTTCTTTATTTTTCTATGCACACATGTTTATGAAGTAAATCATTTGTGATTCTAATCTGCGTGAATAAACAGCAACATGAAAAGTATTTGAGTTACTCATATCATCAACAACATAATTCCTTTGATCAAATAACTTGTCCCGCAATGTGGTATCTTTTTTATTTTGTTTTATATTGCTAGAATGTATCTACTGATGTCGTCAACTGTACTGTCTGTTTCTAGTGTTTCTACAAATGTCTTGTCATCCTTCTAACATCCTTCTCTGTTTGTTCCTTCTTATTCTTTTACTTCTATCTTTCTACGTATATATTCCTTTAGCTACTCTTATATTTTATTTTTCATTCAATCCAAGTATGCAACAAAAACGTCTGACAATACTTCTAACATTTCTTTGTTTGAACATTATCCTTTAGAACCATTTTATCTGATAAAAGTTTACAACAAATCTCTTGAATTTCAATCAATTGAAGGAAGAATCTCAATAAATACTATTCAATAGAATTTTTTTGACTCGACTACTCACAATTATTTTATAACAATAAAAATATTTTTTTATCTCAAGGGTTTATAATCCTTTTTTTTTTATTTTAAGTAGGCTATGAAAAAGAATAAAATAAAATTTTTCTAACAAAGAATACTAGGCAATATTTAAATTATTATGTATTTTTATTAAAGTCTATGGGCCAGTCATAAAAGCTGTATGCAAATCAAAAAAAAAAAAAGATAGACGTGATTACTTAGGCAATTTTTATAAACTATATTTTATAATTGTCAAGTGGATGATTGATTTCCTTCTAATGACTCTATTAATTTTTTTTCATTTATATAACAATTAACAGGAGTATTTTATACATACCAAGGACATTTGGTATATGTACACTATCTGTTCATACGACGATAAGACTTACCTAGTGTTCATAGTACTCGACCTAAAGAGATCTGGCGTGGCTTCTATCCTTAAGGTCTTCTAAACCAGTATCTTCTTCTCTTCAGCTTGTTGTCTCTGTTCTCCACACACATATGATGTTCAGCCGATAAACACATTATCCCCTTAAGCTTTTCTCGCTTTGTTGGGAACTCAAGTACGCAATAACTGTTGAGCTTTAAGTGGTAGTGGTGTGTGTTCATGAGGAGACTGTAGGCAATGAACACTCCAACATGCTTCAACAGTCGCTTCGGGCACGTTCGTACGCTCGTACTCTCGAGCTAGAAGTGTTTGTCGTCGTAGGTTAATTTTTCATTTAATCTCTCGTATTCAAATATTTAATATTTCACGTAATCGCTCGTTAATTGAGATTAAAACGATTAAACATTGATTATTGAAGACTAAGTTATTGAGTATGGTTTTTAGTTTTATTTTGAAGTTATGTTAGAAGTTGGCTATTCATGTTTTATCACAATTGTGAATTCATGAGGTAGAGTAAATCGCTATTCTACTGGAGAATATGCTACCAAAGTGATATGTGGATTCACCACGTTACTAATTTTATTCTGTTACAACTTCGTCATATTCCACATCTGGATAATAATCTAATCGTTTGATACCATTTATCGTGATTAAATAACAGACGACTGTGGATTATAATTCATTACCATCATAATTTGCACTGTTTTTATATCAAATCTGATTCTACGTATTTCTTTTAAACTTTTATCAGCTGTTTATTATTAATTTCATTCTTTCCTAAATTTAACGTTTAAAATCATCAACTGTCAGTTGTAATAATTATTAATTGACTGTCAATAAATTAAAATTGTTGGTAAAATTTTTGTAGCAACTAAATGACAGTAGTTGTTAATTTTTTTATTTCAACCAATGAATTGTATTAAGATCCGGTTTAATAAAAAAAAATGTTAATTATGATAATAAATGAGATAATTTTCTTTACACTGAGAAATGAATTTGCAAATTATTGTGAAATAATAAAATAATGAATTTAAATTATTTTTAAAAATATTTAATGAAATCAAAAAAATTTGCAAGTGTTGAATAACTCACTTCAAATTGTCGCAATATTTTGGCTGGTTTAAAATAAGTTTTGCATCAACACAATAAAATTAGTAAACAATTGGAATGACATTGAACAATAATTGACACAATAATAAATATTATGATTGTTAAATAATAATATGCAAATTATTTTCTCAGTGCAAAAAAAAAAAAAATTTAATCAAATCTCTTTGATGAATGTGTAATCAAAAATATATTTATATTATCGTAGATTGAAAAGTCAAAAGAGAAGAATATAAAAGTGAAGTGAAAAGCAATTAGCATCGAGCTGCAAAAAAAAAACAAACGAATTGAATTTATCAATGTAACGGGTATTGGAGTTTAAATCATTGGAAGCATTGTTACGTCGTGTCGTGCTACTGATTATTTATAAGGCTATTCCAAAAAAAAAAAAATTCTCAACACGATATTATTGAATATGTAATGTTTTTAAACTAAACGTCATCGTCAGCAGATTCTTACGTTGCATTACTCTCGACGAGACATAATAAAGACACAAAAGTTTTAATGAAAATATATATATGAATATTTTTAAATAAAAGCAACACATCTGGAATTTTTTAGTGACGACAGAGTTTATTATTTAATATAATTGTTTACTTTTATCTTCTTTGTGCAAAAAAAATTTTTTATTTGAAATGCTGGCATGAGGACAAAGGCTTTTTCAAAGTACAACGATCCTTTTGATGAGGTATTTAATTTTTTTTTCCTTTGGTTTTAATTAAAACTAAATAATTTCATTTATTTTAAGATCTTAATCTTTTTATCTCTACAAAAAAGTAATTCCTTTAAAAAAAAAAACTAACTTTGTTAAATTGCAATTTTTTTTCTAACTTTAATTATCATTTGTTTACTTAAAAAAATTTTTTTTTCTCAATTACTCTAGTGCTTTATTACATGATGAATGTAAAAATAAACAATCACTGGTATGAGTAGTATTTTTTATGAATGGATAAATATAAAACAGGGGCTTTTAGTTGAGTGATTGAATAATTAGTTAGACATCAGAAATAAATTAATATTGATAAATAAATGAATAAACAAATAGTTAAATACACATAATCACATGTTCTAAACATAGTCTGATCCAGAGTTATCATTTAAATTCCATGTGTACCGAAAAAATGTTGCAGTATCGTACAGTGCCAGAGAAAAGATACTTTATCTTTAATGCTCTCTTAAAAGCTAAATGGATGTGGTATCAGTCCTTTTTTCAGTCAGAATAATCTGTCTTTACTTTGCATACAAGAGTCTCCGAGTAGTCTAAAAATAATTCTATGTGAACGATGCACTCGAATCTGCTTAAAAAGTTTATGACAAAATCCAGATCATTCGATTATAATATTATGTAGGATAATTGCATTTATAATTCAACAGTTTACAGATTAAATATTTAATCTCAATTTATTTCGTATCTAAAGAACCTGTATGAATTATTTATTTTAGTATCACAGATATTGTATATTAGAAATGAGACAATTAGAGTTATGAATAATTAATTAAACGTGAAATATAATAAAGAGAATTATTCATTATATTTCAATATAATCTATTTAATGAATTTTATTATTAATATTTTAAAAAATTATTATATTCTATTTGATAATGAATATAAATGTTAATTTAACCCATTAAAACCCACGCCATATCTACAGCAGATGTCATCGAACTATTGGATTCATAGCATAGCTAGAAAGTTTGATGACTTTTTTTTTGTTTACCAATTGCATTTGTTCAAATAAAAGTGTTTAAAAAAATTAATAGAAAAGTTAGATTTTTTAAAAACAATACTGCTATTCGTTTCTACTGGAAAAATTACTCTTTGCACCCTTGATTAACAATCTACTATTAATTTTATTAATTGGAAAAAATATGACTTGTTTACAGTCAATTATTTTTTTAGCGTAGTAATGAAGAAAATAATATAGAAAGGAATATTTACACATAATTAAGCGATATTTTATTGGCGGAAATGTATGTAAATTTTTCAGAGAAAGAATTCCGGTATTGACATTGACTATTTACTTAGTATTTTATGTTGATATATAGAGCACGAGATTTCGGGATACATCCCAGCAGATTCACAAACAATGGCAAACAGATCCTGCAAGAGCATTTCCGACAATTGGCAATACTAACATCAATTCATCTCTTGTCCTTGTCAGAGATGGTACAGCTTTTGAATCGACGCCAAATCCATCTTCCAGTCCCTCAGACGAGTTCCAAGTCACGGTGAGTTATTACCAACACTTTTTCACCTTACAGCCACTTTGTTTATTTACTTTCCCCGGTCAGCATTAAACATACAACCTTTTGTATAAATTCTAAAGTCACCTCATAATCTTTGCGGGTTATGCTGTGATGTTGCTTGTTAACTGAATTCTAACATCCAAGGATTTTTCGTGGAATAAAAATAAAGGAAACCAGTAGTAGGACTCGATTGCGATGAAAAAATATCCAATAACGTCGATAGAAAATAAACGAGAGGGTGAATCGTTGGTATAGAATTTCAAGACCATTTGACTGTTCAACATCACAAGCTGCTTACTCTATCCCGTCTGCTTCTCGTTTAGTTGCCTTATGCTACATACACATAATACTCTCGTACTGTACTCTTTGTTTGTAACGTAACGAATATGTATGAGAAAAATTTCTAAGTTTACATTACTACCGCGGTTAATTGGGTGATGTTAGAAAGTCGAGAACCAGGAAAAGTAAACCCGACTCGTCCCACGAATGAAAATATAAAGAATATTACACCTCAGTTCTCGCACGCAAATGCTAAAAGTTGGACTAAAAATTACTGCTATTTAAATGAACTTTTTATCGTTGACTTTTTGAATATGCTAATTATACTCAGGCAAATTATTTTAATTATCTTCCAACTATGATAGTTAATTTTTAAGCATAAATAAAAATTAATTCATTATTAATGAAATTTAATTTAAATAAATCAGAATTTTTTTCTAATGTTTTCAATAAGAAGTTCCTTTGTTATTATTTATAATAATTATTTGAAATAATACAAGATTAATTACTTCAAAAAATTTTTCATACGTAAATAGACTTTTTGGAGTAGTCATTAATTAATGATTACTCCAAAAAGCCTACGACCTATAATAAAATTATTATTTATTAAAGTCATTAAATTTTTATGATCATTACAATGAATATTTTTATCAGTTATTACGAAAATCAAAATGTAAATATATTATTAGAATTTTTTATCTCAACATTAATTAACTCTTCAATTAATGTACAGTCATAATGGTTGATTAAGACATAGAAAACTGCAGAAAAAAAATATCTGATAAGCTATTATTAATAGTAAATAAATAACAATTAATTGAAAAATAAAAATTAACCTACTTCATATGTCTTTTAACAACTATATCTGAACTCGATTAAAATGACTCAGACTTATTCAGAAATCTACAAATATCATTAAAAAAATGAATTATTGATATCATTCTAATATGATAAAAAATTTTTCACACTAAAATGATAAACTAATACCAGACAAACTAGAAACAAATAAAGCCATATAACAAGTTTATTCTCTATTTATGAATTCAAACAAACTAGAGCAAATATAAAAATTTTCCTCTATCCAAAGTTTTTCATTAAATATTTCTGCTTATTGTCAATAAACACTTGTATACGTAATCTACTTTTTGTTCTCATCTACTTTTTGTCTCATGCATTCTTGTGCAGTAATTAAAAAAAAAAAAAAAAATGTACAAATGAGGAGGATATAAATGAAATTGTTAAAGATACATTTATATCGATGAAATAAAATAAGGCATCATCACTTCCTGTGAGATCATGTTAATTGTTTATACGCTCGTGTAAGACTCATATGAGTACTTACGTAATCTTTTGACAACACTTAACTCTGCCGGAGAAAGATTAAGTAAAGGATTACATTTATACATACCAATGTGCATGTACACGTAATATTTATAGTTATATTAGACTTTGTAATATATATATATACATATATGTGCAAACACATATTCATATCTCAAGATAATTGTTACTATATTATCATTATGCCTATTATTATTTAAGAAGTTAAAAAAAAAATAGTAATTAAACAAGAAAAAAAAAAAAATGAGAAAACCTATTTTAGTAAAAAATATATAAATGTCAAGGATATAATAAACTCACGCTAATATATAGCATATTAATTTTTTTGATGTTTCTACGAGAATTAATTGCTAAATACGTCAGTCAGCTGGCATAAAACATAGTTGATAAATGAACTGTTGTATTTAACTGTTAAAAAAAAATTCTAAGGTGTAGAACAAAAAATAAAAATAATCAGTGAAACTTAAGCAATTGCAATAAAATATTCTTCTCTTCCTTTTTATCACAAATGTTTAGAATAATATTCTTATTTTTATTTCAAGTGATGATTGATTGGATAAATTTATTTATTGACCATGCAAGTGTGACAGACGTGGAAGTGATCCACAAATAACTCGAGTAAAGTGGACTTCGACCTAAATTCGATTAAAATCAAATCAGCAATTTCGTTGATTACATTTTAAATATAAATTTTATGTTGAATTACTCAGCATAAATGACTTTAAATGTTACTTTAAAATGATATTAAATACCTTTTTCTATTCAGAGAAAGCCAGTAACATAAATCAAAGCCCACGTAAATTCACAATTTTGTTATAGGTAAATTTCTAAATCTTCTGAAAATTGAAACTCTACTTTTTATAACAGTATTTTTATTGCTGTGCCTTCTAAGAAAGGCTTTTCCTTTTTAGATCTTGCTTTTAATATTATTTTATCAATTCCTTTTACTCCCACTCACTTTCAAATGGTTAGAAACGGTCTGAAGATGTAAAATATATCAAATTATTACTCTGTCTTCATGGTGGCAAGAAAACATCAAGTCTTAAATAGAAAAAAATTGGTAATTTTTTTCAAATTAGTTGCAAGTGAAGTAGATTTTTATTCGTTTAAGAAAGAAAGAGAAGGAATGATTCATGTTGGGAAAAAAAAAAATTTTATAATTGATTTAAAGTAAATTATTGAAATGAAAATATCTAATGGGTGGGTGAGAATGATTCAGAGGAAAAAAAAAAAATAAATGAATATGTTCGACTATTGAAGTAATTACTTATTGTTAGAATCAAGTGGGGTAAGTGTAATAGGTGGGGCAAAAGTAATAGCCATTATTAAACCTTTTTTCTGTAATTATTTTTCATTCATTGCATGTTTAAAAATATCAATGCTTATTTTACTGAATTATTTTTAAAAAACTAAATTTATCATTACATGATTATTTTTATTTCAATCTTAAAATAAGATAACATTTTCTCTTTTTCAAAATTGGCAGTTATTTCTTTCATATTTATACACTGAGAATAAAAATTTACTGTAAACCAGTAATATTTTTTTTTAATTAATAAATTATTTACACTAAGACTGGACTAATAATATATTTTATTGCGAATATTTAAAATTCTATTTACTCATTAAATAAACATTTTGTCATACAGCAAAACTTTGAATAATTTAATTGAAATAACTTCCGATTTGTAATTCCGTACAAACAAAAATCCATAAAAAAAGCTCTTTGAGTAACTTACATCTAAAAATCATGTTTCCTCTGTTTAACATTCTCTTTGACACCATTATCCATGTCTAGAACTTTGCTTTATTTTAATTTGGCTGAAAGGATGAAGGGGATAAAGTAAGAGACGAGAATGACAAAATTTATGTGAGGTGAAAAAAGAGCCATTAATTAGCACTTACACATTCTTCATGGATATACAAACTTTTCAACAGTCCGCGAATTTAAGCTCAAATTCAAGCGACTCAGTTGCCATGACTACCACCAGTTCTTCCTCTCCCCACTTCCGAATGTTCTCACCCCGGACGTGGGGATTCATCCCTCAGAGCTATATCCCGAGTTGCAGTAGCGAGCCAGGGCGGCACCCAAGTGTGGCGCAGTCGTTTGCTTGAGTTGACCCAGGTCGTAAGCTCCTTCAAAGCTAATAAACCCTCTATCATTTGCCGATGTTTGTACTTGGGTACACTAATAACATTACTCTTGAATCGAACAAAAATTGTCTAGATCTCAGTATTAATAAAAACGAATCAGAGATCTATTTCACGCGTCAACAAATAAAAAAAGATAAAATGAAACAGTTTAAGAAGGATCAAGGATTAAAATTCCTCATAAATAACTGAAACAAGTATGAATAGTGAACAGTGACCAACAATGAGGTGTGTTCTCATTAGAAGTAATAAATTAAAAAATTCCAATCGACTTGTCATTTATCTGATTGTGAATCGACATCATCAGAAGGTTGCAAAGTACCACCCAAGTTGTATCTCTACGTGGGCGAGACGCGTGTTGCGAACAATATGTCCTGGAGACTGAATTGTTTGCGATTAAGATACACTAGATTAGTAGTGAGTGGAGAAAGTGCTATACAATTATAATAATATAATCATAGATCATTTGATTGTCATTTTCTTTTTAACTGGTATGAAAGTAAGCTTTCGGTCTAGACTAAACAATTAACGGCCAAGGAAAAATTCCAACCGTCGGAAGAAGCAAAGAAAGAAAGGAACGAATGAAAAGACGAAGGGTATGACGAATTCCAGTAGTAATTCCATGGCTCAGGCTTGGCGTGGTGCCCGAAACTGTCGCTACATCAACGACTACGACGCAAATAACAACGGGAATCTGCAGCATAATGTCGAACATCACCATCATGAGGACGAAGAGGTAGCCTTACGTAGAAGGACTGAGACACTTCTGCATCGTATCGCCTTTACCGTTTGGCACGCGGCACTTTATATTGAACGCGAGGTGCGTTACACGCACGTGCGTGTGCGCTCTCTTTTTCTCCACTTCCGTTTCTCGTAAACTTTGTTATTTTTATGTTTGAAACAATAATATTGAGAATCCTCGTCCCTACTTCTCCGTAAAATGACTATTTTTGTTTTTATTCTCATCATTTTGGGTTTGTCCTTGACAGTTTCATCTCATTTCCATTTGTCATTCAAACTAGACACCAACTAATATAACTGTTTAGTTGTTCTAAGTTCATTTCTACATATATGTCTAACTTGGTGAAAATTTTTTTATTGCCTGTTTCAGTACAATGGTAACTACGATCATACCAGGAACATTGAACACTTTAATTCCGCATTATACGAAAAAACGAAGGTATGTTTTTAGATTTTTGATTAATACTTTGTAGTCTTGTGATATTTCTGTTACAAATAAACAATAATGTCACAAAAACAATTAACTGCAGTAATATTAATAATTAATTATTGTTAATTAGTATAATATAATGATATCATTAATATAATTATTATTGATATTAATATTTTATCACATATATTAACATTTGACAGTCATTTTTATCAATCAATTTACCAACCAAAATAATTTTTATATGTATACTTGACTAAACAATTAAAATAATTTATTTCTTCAGTATGTCAAAGAAAAATTTTCTGCCTTGGTGAATCGAATGATTGAAAGTTATTATTATTGACGTTGACAGCTAACTAGTATTTATTTACATAGAAAAGAAAGTTGCATATTCAAGTATAAATTTATCAACTATGAAATTTTCCACTAAGTAAATATTACTAGAATTAATCATTTTAATGTTCAATTTAAGTTTAATTCATATGTTGATGTCAGTTGGAAGCCTGGGAAAATTTTCCTGTCCAATAAAAGCTATCATATTTTCGTTTCCTTTTGATATTAAACCCGTTGATTTACATGAAATTTTATCTACAGAATAAATTGATCTAGACATCTACTCTCCAACGTTCGAAAAAATTTATAGAGAAAATATTTTCTTTTCATTTCTCTTCAAGATCTCTAGATCCCGAAATTGAACTTGGAACACATATTTATCATTTCGTTCCCAGGAAACCACAACTTTTTCCACAATTTTTATGAATAAAATTATAAATTATTATCGCTATTAGTTGAAAAGAGAACTTGGTCGATGATAAAATGAAGAGATTCAAAAGCTTCCTATACCTAGATGTTATATCTTCCATTACATTGTACTTTAAGCGTAACTTCCGTAAGAGCTAAGCTTAATCTTAAATTATCATCTCTCATGCTCACAGCAGGATTATAGTAATTAAATGATAAAAATATCTGATTGGACATTCAGGTGCAAAAAACGCCATCGATGTCATCAAAGTCACCAAGCATTCGAGTGGATTCACCGTCGATTATGTTAACGGGAAAAGGAGGACGGGTTAGTGAGGTCATGGAGCTCTCCTACGTCACCGAGAGGATCATTGCACTATGGTATAGAGAAGACACACAGGGAGTTCTTGAGCACGCAACAAATTTACTTCGGGGCAAGCATGCCAATAATTACATGGTAATTTGAATCACGTTCTTTGCATGCATTTATATCTAAATTTTAACATATAATTTGTACAATGAATTTATTGACTTGCAGATATTTAACCTGTCGTCTATAAAAATAAGGAAACCCAACACTCGAGAGTGTGGCTGGCCTCAGGGATTATCGCCGAGTTTGGAAAAACTTTGTGCTCTTTGTAAAGAGCTAGACTCTTGGCTAAATGCCGCCCCCAATCATGTTGTCGTTCTTCACTCGATGTGAGTTGTAATTAAATTTCTCTTATTAAGAGAGCAACTGCTTTATAAGGATGCTCTTTTTTTTTTCATTCAACTTTAAACACAATAATAAGTGATATAATAACCCACTTATTTTATTATAATCATTCAAGTGACTTCAAAGAGAGAATTGGAGTTTGTGTATCAACATACCTGAACTACAGTTGTATCTGCGGGGGACAAGATCAAGCACTTGATACATTCGCTATGCAAAAATTTTTAGATGATAAAATTGGATCGATACGAGTACCTTCACATCGTCGGTAAGCATTAGAATTACTTCAATGGATAATTAGATTATTTGCATTCAGCAGATAAAGATAGCTCGAATGATGTTTTTCAAACAGTTTATTGCTGTAAAAAAATAAAGAAGATCTTTAGATTTTACTATGTGCTAAAAGTGACTACAAATGAGCTAATTAGCTAGGATGATTATAATTTACTCAACTACTTTTTGTTAGTTGAAAAAAAAAACCAATTACTTTAATCCAACGAATTATTGTCAGTTCAATTGGTTTTCATGAATTCAAAAACTAGTTCAATTTTCAAACAAATCGATACATGAAAGAAAAAAGAGTTATAAAATTGATGAAAAAAAAATTTTAATCTGCAGCTACATCGAGTATTTTACTGGTCTTTTATCTGGATCTTTGAGGATCAATCCCTCACCTCTGTACCTGACCCACATCACGGTTTTAGGCGTTCCACTATTCGAGCCAATCGGCTGCAGAGCTTTTCTTAAAATCTACGAAGGATTAACGCCAATCTATACGTCTGATCTGTACTCCGTAACGAATGCACGAGAATTCACTGTCAACCTTGGAAGTCTTCGACTCAGAGGAGACATCCTGATAAAATGCTATCACAGAATATATTCTAAACAAAGTCGAGAAGTCATGTTCTCCCTGCAGGTAAATTATTAACGTTAAATGCCAAGCTTGTATGGTTGATTTACATAATTGTACTGCTTCGTTGAAGCAATTATATTTAAAATGATTAAGTATTTTCTATGTAATTACATTTTTGTTGCAGTTCCATACATGTGTAATTACGGAAAATGTAATTTCTTTTCCTCGATCTGAACTTGACGTGGCTTGTGATGACAGAAGATGTCCGGCTGACAGCGTTGTAACGCTTTACTTTTCATCAGATGCTAAACGTCAAGATGGTCCAGTGCCTGCACCTACGCCTGCTGTCCCTCATGCATCTGCTCATCATGATCCAATCTTACACTGGGACAGTTACCTCAATTTAGATACCAGTGATGATGGTAAGTGTATTATTTTACGAGAGAATAATTAAGCTGGTAATTAATTCATATAATAGAATACTTAATGTCTTTCATCTACTAAAATTAATTGAGATAAAGAAGTGCTTCAATGACAAATTGATGTTTATTATGGGGAGATGCTAAATTATATTTTCAATTCCTTTTGAATGAACATGAAATAATTGATTTTTCTTTCATTGAGACATTAAGAGGATGAAAAAATAGCTGATGATATTGATTGAATTTATAAAAATAAATAATTAATTCGTCTTTGAATTTATAGTCTGGAACAAATGAACCAGATGTAGTCCATGTCCTTTCTCAGCAATCTAATTGAGAACTTTGCCATTCTTCTAGGGTCAAAAGGCAGATATTAATGTGCATCAGAGCTTAAATTACTCTCAATAAGTAATGATACCGTTAGAGTCTAGTTAAAGTCTAAATGCATGGCTGAGATTTTAATTGAAAGCTAACTGAAGGCTAGGTTGAAATTAATTAGTAATTAAAGCTGAATTTTTTTTTGGAGATTGATGATGAAAGTATGATTTTAATAAGCACCTAAATGTATTTTTAAATGAAAATAGATTATGGCTATATATAAAAATCATATATTTGTCAAGAAGAGAGAAAGAGAGAGTGGGGCATGTTACCGCAGTAGAAGGCTGAATCAACTGCACGGCAATACAAGTTAAGTAGGTAGTGGGGAATGTAAGAGTTATTCCTGGTACAACAGAGTGTCTTCGACAGAATCTCGACAGTAGTTATGAGTTTTCTCGCGACTTGGTCGCACTTTAGTCGTGCAAATAAGCTTTTCACCAGTTCTATTTATCACTTAACCATCTTATAAGTGCACTTATTGTCTTTGAACCACCGAACTTCTTATTAATTACATTGATTTGCCATAAACTTTACTACTTAATCATTTAATGTGGTGTATATATCTACATATATTTTAAGTTGGACTGCATTTAACAATTTTCCACACTGTGAATAAGAGGAATTCAATTAAGCAAATAGGCAAGAATATCTGAAATACGTAAGTTACAACATTTTACATCAAAGCTGCCGATTTTATGAGCTCTTAAGTTACCTTGAAGTCATAAAAAAAAAGAATAAAATGGTCTTAAAATAATGAGGATTGAGAAAAAAATTAAAGACACTTCTTTGTACACTAAAGTCTGCAAAGTTTTTCTAAATAATTTAGCACGGTTTTTTTTTTAATTCTTCAAGAAAAGGAAGAATTGTTTTATGTCATAAAATGGGAAAAAGTACTGGTTTGTGTGGGAATTGCGTAAATGGTGACTCCGGTACTTTAAATATCTTGTCACTGTTATCCAAGATATGGTTAGCGAGATCATCCGAGGCCACACGGTTCCAAGAGTTGCCGTAGAAGGACTGAGCATGAGTGGCCAGTCGAACAAGCTCCTTCTTTCTCTCTGCCCTTTTCATTTGTGGCTGATTGGGAACAAGAAGCATTTACTGCACATTGGAAAAAATTAGCAACAATCAAAGTTGATAGTTTAATTGATATAATTATTAAGTAGACATATATATCATCATTTTAACTGGGTAACTAGCTCAGAATATTTTTCTAAATTCAAATCCAATTCAATTCACTGAATGCTTTTACTTTTGACGATAAAATTTAATGACTTCAAAAAATATAAAATTTATTCACCAGTTGACAAAACTAAACCTTTTAATATTTTTATGACTTATTTTTCAAATAAATAAAATTGTTTTTTTTTTTTTTTTGGAATAAAAGATAATAATTTTTATCAAAATATGATGAATATGTAAATAAGAAAAATTAATTCTCATTGCCAGATTAAAAATTTCAAGGGAAAGATGATTTTGTTGATAAATTTGTTCATTATATCCTTGATGATTGATTATGATTCAAATGATCAAGTAATTTAAATGTATTAATGAGCAAGAAATACTAACGTTAAAAACATTAAGAGCGTAGGAAGTAATATTACTTAACTGATTACAATGAAACTTCAATGGAACAGTCATATATGATGGAGGTGGAAATACAAGAACGCTCTGTCTTTTAGATCTCATGACCATTCTCGCGAGTACAGTATCATTTATACGCTTTTGTTGAGTGCTCCTATTTCTTCAGCTTTAGTTGTTCTTTTTTTGTGATTTCACTTCGCACGAGAGAAGTACACTAGTAAGTTTATTCAATTTCATCTCGCATTTACTCAGAAGCATTTTTTGCACTGAGAAACTTTCTACTAAATAAAACAAGACGATTGGTTGTATTCATGTACCTATTCGCTGATTATTATCATCTTAAAGTCCTTGGAGAGCCAGTAGCTATATTTAAAATATATATTAGGCTTCTCAACGATGTCTCTATAAATTTCTTATGTATTTATTCTAGATATTTTACTATTTTTTAATTATATTCATTGATGGATAATTAGACCCTTTTTTTTTTAGGAATATAAATAAGTTGGGAACTTGGTATTTTTAGCTTCGTTCATTACTTCTTCAGCTTCTCTTCCTGGATTTCAAAAATTTTTTCAGTTTAACATGAGATACACTAAGTTGTCTAATTAAATTTGTAGTCATAATTTAGTACTTTTGAATAATTAATTTCTAGGATGTAAATGAAGTTTATGTTGAATTTCATGTAAACGTTAAAAAATATTATCGTTATTTAAAAGCTAAAATTAAATAGCTTTTAGAAAGAAGAGAAACATTTCTCCCAGTTTGTTTATCAACATTTCTTCGATTTCGTTTATTATTTTTACTGATTCCACTTAATTTTTTCTTCTAAATCTTTTATAAATTAATTTTAAGTGCATTTTAAATATTTATTTTTCAGATTTTGAATAATTTTTAGGCTAAAAAAAATATCAAACATTTCATTACTTCCAATTTAAAAAATTCCTCGAGTCTTTTCTATGAAAATATTTTTTTTTAAAAAAAAGAATATGATTGATAAAAGATTGCATTCAAACTAAAAACTCATCAATTTTTAAATAAAAAATTTCTCATTAAATGTTGGAATGAAATTGTTTTAGAGGGAAGAGAAACATCTCTATCATCTCCACCTCTTTCATCATCATCAATCCAACTATCTCCTCGGAGCTTGGGATACACCTGTGGTCCTATCGATGGCTCTCTTTATGCAGTTGTTCATCAAGGCACAAGTGGAGCTGCTCGCGGTTCTCCGTTGACAGTTTCCATGGACAGTGGTATCAGCAGTGCACCACCACAAAGACCAAGTCCACCAGAAATCGAATTGTCTGAAAGCCAAGTGCATGGAGATCTTGATAAATTGCTCTATGATATGATGATGACTGTTGAGGTATCTATTCCATTCAACATCATATTTAGCAATAATTGCCTCTAGTAGAAGTGATAAATAAAACCAATATAATTCTCCCCACATGTCATTGAACAAATATCGATTCATTTTGTGACAATAAGACCAACCTTTTGACCTTCCTAATTTTTTGGGGGAGCATGAGGCAGTAAATTGTGGCCATATGTTGCAGTTATTACTGAAGCAGTATGTTTTGTTCTGAGAATCGATACTAAAATGAATGACTAATGGTGACCACACAGTTTTTTCATGTAGTTAAGTAGTTTAAACGTCATTCAGTCACACCCAATTTTTCTAGTTGATTGACGGATGGATATATAATATAGATCTATAAGAAATGATATATGACATGATATATAGCACAAGTTAAATGTCAAATTTCTTGATTGCCGAGTTCATTCATTAATCTTTATAAACTGTTTTTTGCTTTGCAGTCAATGCCAGATCCAACAAACCTTAACGAATGTAATCGAGCAAACAATCGAGTCCAAAAGTTGTATGTTCATAACGGAGTAAGTTACGACAGTAGCAATTCTACATCAAATTATTCAACTCTACGAGATTCTTCACACCGGAGTTATAGCAATAGTGCTCGAGATTATCTTCACGGTCCATCAACTAATAATTACGAAACGATGAAAAGTGAATCGAAGAACAGTTTCACTGAGTCTAAGAAAACATTAACGCCTAAAGCAACTATTAGCTTTATGGATGAAGATATTCCTTATCATGCAAGACAAACCAGTCAACCGTTTAGTTACGGTGCTACGACAGATATGATTAAACATCAGAAACTTTCATCACCTTCCTTAGTAAGAAAGGCAACGATGAAAGGCTCAGCACCCATTGCACACTTTGATGATATTCTTGGAGAATATTCGAGATCTGTCAGCCCATTAAGTCCAAATACACCAGACCCTCCTCCAGAATTTGCCAATGGCTTTCAGAAGTCCAATTCTGACTCCACTGATGGGTATTTTTATTTTATTTAACATTCATTTTTTTATTAAAAACCCTGAGAATATATTATAAGAGCTAGTTTAACTTTAAATGTCATTGGAACTTATTTTATGCATTCATTCAATCAATTAATTGAGATAAATAAATTTATTCATTCTATTAAAATAATTATACTCGATCAATATTTATAAGCACCGATTTATTATAATTTATTATAATTTTCTCATTTTAGAGTGTCTTGGTTAAGACAACAGCAGCTAAAACTTGCAGCTCGACGTGATGAAAAAAGTCCAGGGAAACTATGGAGACAAGAGACGAGCAACCGTGTTATTGGTGAATTAAGAAGTTTACAGCGAAGCCGTTTAAGGCAGGATGGATATGCCAGCGATTCAGCTGTTCTAGATAATGACGATGAAATGTCAATGCACAGTCCAATTCACTCACAGGCAAGTTTATAAAACGAATTTATAAATAATAGTTGTATTTTAGTATCATTCAATTTCTCATTTCCTGACTTTAATTTGAATACCTTTTCTATAGCAGACTATGCGACTGGCACCACATACATCAGCCCCTGCAAGTCCTTTGTTACGTCAAAGATCCAAAACCCGGAAATCAAATGACATAATAATGAATGGAACTCATGGGCGACCACGAGCAGAAAGTGTTAATGAACGACCATTCACTTCTATCAAACGCTCCTATGAAACTCAGACATTTACTGATGGCCAGGTAAATAGTAGTTATTATTTATTGAAACTAGGGGTTGGGTGTTCAATTTATTGAGTTTATAATTTATCATACAAAATGAAACTTTACTATTATAATAAATTATAATATCATAGAACTCATGTTGATGGATGATTCTAATCTAAAATAATAACAAGTTAAGTTTTAAAAATTTTATAAAGCTAAAAAACTTTTCAATGAATTATCTAATATTTATTTTTAAATATTTTTTAATACTTTTATTAATAAAGCCATCAAAAAGCCTTTTCAAAGATAGATTTATTCGAAAAAAACCATCCAGTTTTTTAGCTTCTACAAAAAGAGTGATGTATGATATGTATGTCAATAGCCATTGGCAAAGAATCACTTCAATAATAAAAAAAGACATGATAATATAATTTATAACAGAATAAACATAAAATTTGATGGCAAAGCATTCAAGAAAAAAATGATCTGTGTAATTTTATAACCTAGCACAATGAATCTTCATCATCATGGCTCGATAGAAGTATTAGTCCAGGAAGCGCAGCAATCGGAACGGCCTCTAGACCACAAACACCCGCATTTCCAGTTTACCCACGCACACCTTACGTCAATAATTCATCTTCAACAGTGACATTCGCTTCAGATCGGAACTATATGGCTTCGAGTAATATCAATAATGCATATAACTATTCGGTTCAAAACAATAATATTCACGAACTGGATCATGGTTCTCATAATAACAACAACATCGATAGAGAGTATACAAACGGACATGTTTTTGTAGAAGAACGTCGACATGTATCTTCAGAGATGGGATTGCCGCCTAAGAGCCCACCAGCTCAACGGTTAGCTGATTTTTATTCATGAGTTGAACATAATTAAAAAAATTATATTGAAAATATTATTTATTGTTGATCATTTTTAATTACAGCAAGGAGTATCTCATTCAACCAACAAGCGAAACGATTTTAACGAGCTCTGTTAATCATAATGTTAACACTCCAACCCACGTTGAATTTCTTCAGAGCCCAAAGGTAAATATTACAGTCATAATTCATATTTCATCTATCAAAAAATTATCAACAATATTTGAAGTATTGGTAGCTATTTTTCTCTTCAATATTATTTGCATCTATTTTTATAAGCTATAAAGTAATATTCTCATCTTCTATCGATTAAATTTATGATTCTATTCTGACAACTCTAATTGCCAATGATTTATTGGCAAACAGAGATAAAACGAATTTTCCAACATTCTGTCAATAAATTATTGTTTAATGAATTTAAGACAAATCGAATGTAATCATAAATTATATTAACAACGTTTACTACTTCCTTAGTTCAAGTTAAAAATTACGGTCAGCATCTCATTAAAATATCTTATTATTTTAGAGTACAACATCCTTCTTTTCAATGAGCAGCAGTGGTCATTCATCACCTCAGGTTCCATTTTATGGAACGAGACGATCGAGCATTCACTCCAATACTGAGCCTCAAGAAGTATCTGATATTAATGTGAAATTTGTTCGAGATACTAGTAAAATTTGGTATAAACCTAATATTTCACGAGAACAAGCTATAGCTATGCTGAAAGACGCAGCACCAGGAACATTTGTTGTTCGTGACAGCAATTCATTCCCAGGAGCTTTTGGTCTTGCTCTAAAAGTAGCCACTCCACCTCCAGGGGCACCAAGTAGTCCGAAAGATCCATCAAGTGAATTGGTCAGACATTTCTTGATAGAACCAACTTCAAAAGGTGTCCGATTGAAGGGATGTGCTAATGAACCAGTATTCAGCTCACTTTCTGCGCTGGTTTATCAGCATAGTCTGATGACTATGGCTCTACCTTGTCAATTATTATTACCAGAGCCTGAAGCTGCTGCTAAAGTTCTTGATTCTCCGAATACAAGCAGTACTCAACAGCTATTAGCTCAAGGCGCAGGTAAATATGGCTCATTTTGTAATGCATTGTTTACGCTTTGCTAGTATAATTATTTGATTTATTCGACATTACTTGAGCTGAAAATAATAAATGTTTATTTGATGAATTTACAGCTTGCAATGTTTTATATCTATTTACTATGGACACTGAGTCTCTCACAGGCCCGCAAGCAATCAGAAAAACTATATCGACTCTTTTTAAGCAAAATCCTCTACCTACAGCAACGATAGTCCATTTCAAAGTTTCCACACAAGGTATTACTCTAACGGATAATGCGAGAAAGCTGTTTTTCAGAAGACACTATCCAACTACCAACATCAGCTATTGTGGGCTGGATACGGATGAACGAACGTGGAATTATTCCAGTAATGATAATGAAAAACATTCTAGTGCTCAGTAAGTATATATTATAGTCTTGTATCTGATTACTATTAGTTAATTAAACTACCTAAAAAATGTTATTTAATCAACTAGCCCTTTTATTGAACAATCGTTTAATTGTTTCAGCCGTTGCTTCGGGTTCGTTGCAAGAAAACCTGCCCACAAATCAGATAATCAATGCCACGTATTTGCTGAACTTGAACCCGGTCAACCGGCAACAGCGATCGTCAATTTTGTGAATAAAGTAATAATGGAAAGTTCAACAACCAAAGCAAACATTGTTTAAGCCTTAGAGTCAGCAATTAACAAACTGGATAAATATGAAATATTTATCCTTAGAAATGATCAAAAACAAAGAAAATATAAAAGACGAACGACAGAAATCAAAGTTCATATATTTTTCTCTCGAGAAAAATAATATGTGAAAATAATCAAAATTCTCATGTGCCCTATTCATACCTCGTAAACGAGGCCTTAATTATAAATATTAATGAACTAATATTGAAATTAATTGATTAAGTAATTGATAAAATTACTACGACTAAGGAGCTTAATTTACAAAGTATCCGTCGTTAAAAGTATCTTCCAAGATGATTTTTTTTTTTTAAAAAATAGATTTAAAATTTTATGTTTAATAAATGTAATATAAGTAATTAAGACAATTAAGGCCGCTAATAAATGATCGTAAATATAAAATATCTGCATCAAATAATATTTCGAGGTTAAAATAAATGTTAAATAATTCAAAGTATATTCAAAAGAGTTTATACAATGGGACTTTAATTTATTCATCAAAGTTAATTAATTAATCATCAAGATAAGAGATATTCATAAGATGTAATTACAGCAATTTAATCTTGAAGTTTATTTTTTCGTTAATATCTAATAAATTATTGAAAATGCCTTAAAATTATTCAATACAATAATAATAATAATAATTTTAATTAAAAGCCTCTTAATTATATTTTGTGAAATACTTGAAGAAAATATAAAATTGTTATCTATAGAATACGTAATGCAGTGAAACTTTTTTTTTATAAAAATGTTACGCTTGGAAATAACACTTTTACTTATTTCTTTATAAACTCATAAGTTCCGATGAATAATTTTGCGAGTATCATGATTTATTTTATATCTATTTACAGATCTATAATAATAATAAATAGTGAATATATGTCATGAATGTAAATAATATAATTTCTCATCAAAATAATAAGATTTAATTATTTAGATTATTATCATTTTGATGTTTTTAATTAGTAAATATTTTAGCTGTAACAAATTAAAATTAAATTATTTCATGGTTAAATTTTAGTTTAAAAAAATAATTTTAGTTATAATGAGCATTAAGAATGGTCTAAATACCCAGTTCTTTTCACCAAATAAAATCTACATTATTAATAGAGAGTGAAATTAACATTAATTATTGTTAATGAAAATTTGTAATTATTATTAGTTAGCGATAACTATCAGTGAACGATCCATATAGATAATAAATGTATGCAATAATGGTAGTAGAAAAAGAATTAATAGACTGCAAATTACAAGATATTTTCTTGTAATTATATATGAATGGTAGCTCATAACAAACACCAAGAAATAGAAAATGTTAATAAAATACAATGTTGAAAATTTAGAATTTACAAATAAAAAAAAACAATTGAAGAATAGTAGTTTAAAAATGAAAATAAAAATATAAACTCTAAATAATAATGATAATCTTATCAATAATAATGATGATGATAATAACATGATACATGCCACACATGTGCTAGTCAAAATTCAATCTACTACAAAGGGTACTAATTATCATGTGCATTAGATTATACAAAAGATAATCAAGTTAACAAGTTTATCAAATTCATTAATTTTTATTAATGATTATGATTAATTGAAGCATCTACACTTGTTTCTGATGCACTCTTTTCCATTGAATATTATTTATACACTAATGTATTTATAGTTAATTAGTACAATTATCTAATAATATCAATCATAAATACTTAAGAGTAATTTGGGATTTACGTATGAATTATCAGTGCCTATTTTAATAAGCCTAAAAAAAAATAACAAGAATTATTAATGCTATTTATTGGATAATTTTAATTTATCAAACATTATTTTTAAGTAAAATTATTGTAATACCGTAGATTTATTATTAATAACAAAAATAACTGAATTAAAATAAATTTATTCACGATTAATAATACTGTGTTCTTTCTTTATTATGTCAGTATTCATGAACCTTATGAATAATTATTAAATGTTGTTTATTCCTTAAATTTCTTAATTGATAATTCTAATAAATAATTAATTCGACTAATTAAGATATTTAAATTCTCCATTGATTATTGTAAATATGCAATGTCTGACTCCATCACCATCATCTCGAACAAACTTTCTACAGAAGAAATCAAACGAAGGTCAGTCAGTAAACATAAGCCTTTCATCACGGTTACATCGTCATTAAGTTCACGGTCAAGTTGAAAAATAAAAAATAAGAAATGTTCCAGTGCCAAAAATTAAAAAATAGTCAGTTGAAAATAAAAAGTAAACCTGCTCAATTTTTGCACGCTTATTTTTTTATAATATCATTTATAATTATTTCCCATGGAGCATGGATCGATTGCAATCCATTATCTATAATAAATATATCAGACAGTGAAGAACGTGGTGAAAAATCATGGATTAATAAATACTCAACAACAAATAATAGGTAAATGAAAAACCTTCTGAAATCCCACAGATATCAGAAAATAATATTTCTATTCTTGAATCGATAGTACTCTGATTTGCGATAGTCTTTTATTTTTTCTGATAAAGTTCAACAATAAATAGCCAATTGTCTAATTTATAAAAATTGGATAAGATAGATTCTTTTTTATTTGTCTTTTACTTCACCAGTGTATGATCAAATGATTTTTAAAAATTGTAAAAGTAATCATTGATACACTTTTTGCATTATTTTAATAAAAATATCAGATAAGGTGATCTCATTTCAGATAAGTCATTGATAAATAATTAATTTAATTCACCAATTATCATTCATAGAGTTTATTATTTTTTTTAAATTCGCAACGGTCAACAGGACGTATGGTAAACTGTCATTGGACGGCAATGACCTATCTAACGGGCTCAACGACCTTTCCGGAACTTCTCAGCAACGGCAAATGACCTGGATAACTCAATGGATGTCAGGCAAAAGAGAATTCTCATTATCAAATTTCGTTGATTCTGTAATGGACGTTATTTCTAATGGATTTAGTTCTATTGTAAATAACATCATGGAGCCTGATGCAGAAAATGATAAAGCAGTGGCTAGCAGAGTTAGCTATAAAGGATACCAGCTATTTCGAATTCACCCACTTACGCAGAAGCATACAAACGAGATAACGGAAGTTTTAGATAATTATCCTGATGACATCCAGTTCTGGACGCATCCTTTTGGTAACAAGTTTGTATATTGTTGCTACAAATTTATCATCATGATAAAATATGGATTATTCTGTTCAACAATTCTTATTTATTCCAATTGATGATCTTAAAATGTTTATCGAATAATTCTAGACAAGATAAGCAATTTTTTATTGACAATATGTATACGTTTTATTTAAAGAATGCGAAATAACACTTTAGTTGATCAACTGATAAAATAAATGAATACAAAATTATTCTGATGGCACGTCAAAATATACTGGTTGATTTCTTTGAAAACATAAAAGAAATTCGGTGAGATAAATATTTAAACAATAATTATTTAACATTAAAATGTTATGTTGCCAAATATTTTTGTTTTTAAACATTTTATTGCCAAATATTTTTTCGAATATTTTGTTGTTGTGATATATTAACATGCAACCATTTTCTTCAATGGGATTATTATTATATTTCATTCGATTGAAACAAATAAGAATTGTAAAGAGCTGTTATATTCAAGAAAATAATGATGTTTTAATTGATGATATTATTTCTTGATTATTAGATCAATAGACATCATCGTAGCTCCAAATGTTATCCAAGATGTCAAAGACTATCTTAAAGAGAATAAAATTGAATTTAAAGTTTTAATGCCTGATCTGCAGAGAATGATAAATCGGCAAAACCCTAAGGTTTCGAAAGAGCAACGAGACAGCTTTGTCTCAACTCAAGGCCATCCAATGTCATGGAAACGGTATTGCCGGTATGGAGGTGGGTTAAGGCCGTTCTCTTGGATAAGATGACTCATTGAGTCTTCAGAAAAATAGTTTCATTGATAAAAATTACCAAGTTAAATTTATTTCAATGTAATTTATAGAAATTATCAAGTTTCTGGACCATATAAAGGCCAGTCATCCTTCGATGGTAGAGATCGTGACGATTGGGTATAGTTATGAAGGGCTACCTCTTAAAGTTGTTAAAATATCTACAGGATTGGATAAGTTGAAAAATACAAAACCCACGGTTTGGATAGATGCTGGTATGATTTAATGAAGTATTCTTGGTATTGGAATACTTCATTTTATTTTTATGATGATAAATGTTTCAGGCATGCATGCACGCGAATGGATTGGAACAGCAGTAGCAACATATATAATAAACCAACTAGTGAAAAAAAATTCATCTCATGTTAAACTTCTGGATACTGTAGATTGGATGATTCTACCTATTGTCAATCCTGATGGATACGAGTTCACTCATACTAATGATAGGCTTTGGAGAAAGACTCGAAGCAATTATGATGATGATAGTGAAGAAAGGTATGTTGGTAATAAAAAAATATCAATTCTAGAAATTCTGTATGTTGTTATAAAAAAAAAAACTATTAATGATTAATAATTATTGTTATAATTATTTAAAAGTAGTAGGTATACTCCAACTGGACTATTCTACTTTGTCTATCATCATATCAAGTCTTTGTGGTCGAGATGTGATGGAGTAGACCCTAATAGAAATTTTGATTATCATTGGGGGCAGAACGAAAAAAGAAGAGGAGGTGCAAGTTCGAATCCTTGCCATGAAACGTACAAAGGCCCTTATGCATTTTCTGAACCAGAGACCAAAGCTATGGCTGATTACATCATGGCTAATCGAGATAAAATCAAGTATGTGGGTGCTCAAAATGATCTTGAAGATTTATTTATTGAATTCATCACTAATCATTAATCATTAAATCAATTTCCATTTGAAAATTTTTTATTAGATTATACCTAACACTTCACTCTTATAACCAAATGTGGCTTGTTCCATGGGGACATACTTATGAAAAACCTGCTGATTATGCTGACTTGGTCAGTATGGCTAAGAAGGCTACGAAAACTATTTCCAAAGTCTATGGAACCAAATACAAAGTTGGGTCATCGGCTGATTTATTATATCCAACAACAGGTTCGAATATTTAGTGTAGTAATTAATTAATTGAATGAGATAAATGATATTTGATGAATTGATTTATAAATAATATATTGGTTTAATTTACAGGAGCTTCTGATGATTGGGCTAAAGGAGTAGCAGGTATCAAATATTCTTATACGGTAGAATTAAGAGATCGTGGAGATTATGGATTTTTGCTACCAGCAGCACAGATTCTACCAACAGCGAGAGAAACTTGGGCAGGAATTCGAGCTATAGCACGTCTAGTTGCAGCCAAAACTTAATGATAAATTGAATTATAATTTATTTAATAATTAATTAGAGACAAAAAATATTTTTTGATTGATCTCAAAAATAATGTACTGAAATACGATTTTTTATTATGTAGATTTAAATATTAATGTAAATTATTTTTTCGTTGTTGATTTTTAAGTTAATTAAACGAAAAAAATTTAATTAAATTAATAAAAAGTATGACTATATGTTTTTATATTTTATCAATAATAATAGTAGCAATTGGACTATAATTTCAGTTCAATTACCACTGATATCATATCATGATCGCGACTAGAGGTATTAGTTTAGATGATAAGTGATAATAAATGAGCTTTGTATGATGTAGGAAATAAAATTGATTCTAAATAAATAGCAAAATTAATTAAGATATTTCATTACATTCTATTATGGTGATTTGTCATTCAATTATTTATTTTATTTCTATAAATAATCTCTTATGCAACCAGTTAATAAAAAAACGTATTCATCATTAATTAAAATTTTACAAATTCTCAATTCTGATTATAATATTACTTAATTATATGATAAATGATAAATCATATATCAAAAAAAAGATGAAATCATGAAAATATTTGAGATCGTATTAATGGATATAGATTTTAGCATCTTTAGCAAACTCTAGATCTTATCTATTGAAATTTGGAAAGGTCCAAATTTCTTATCTCCGTGATACTGATTATCAATAAAGTACGCCAGTATATAAACACCAAAATCAGTGCATCAGACAACAGCAGCTTGAAGATGTTCATTCAATACATATTTGCAACAATTCTCCTGGCTGAAGGTACGTAGAATGTTATTCAATCGATTTTTCAATCTATTATATAACTTATATTTACAATTATTATTTCAATTGTAAAAGTTACCTTGATAACAATTAATTTAATTATAAAAAATTCTCAAATTTAATTAAGTTAACATTTGATTTTTTTCATCTGTTTCAGCCTGTCTGGCAGGCTTCTCTAGAATCACTGATGGAGTCAGTGCAAAGCCACATGAATTCCCATATCAAGTGTCAATAGTTTGGGGAATTCCACCTCTCATTAAATACCGTCATGTCTGCGGCGGTTCCGTTCTCACAAAGGACTGGGTATTAACTGCTGGTCACTGTGTCACTGAATTGCCCAAAATTGGTCGTATGGGTGTTCAAGCTGGAAAGCATTATATCGATCGTCATGAACCTGGCCAAGAAAACCGTGAAGTATCATTACGTGTCGTACATCACAATTACCCTGGGTAAGTAAACTACACCGTTAACTGTACACACATACAGACTACCTCAATCAAAAAACTTGTTATTTCTTTCATGATTGTTTGAAATCAATTATCATTATTTTTTATAAATTGTTATTTTTCTAGAGGCGTTGCTCAACATGATATTGCTTTACTTCGATTGAAGACACCTTTAACATTCAATGACCATGTTCAACCCGTTGCATTACCTAAAGCTCATAAATTGCACAAGGGTAGTGTTGTTTTGAGTGGATGGGGTTCAACTTCTAAAGGTTGGCTTCCAATTATGCCAAAAGAACTCCAAAAAGCTAAGATTCCCATTGTGGACTACGACACTTGCTTTGAATCCTTCAACTCAATCAGTTCTGACTTCGAACTATTTGACACTCAAATTTGTACTGGACCTATTGGTGACTCAATTTCTGCTTGCTCTGGAGATTCTGGTGGTCCCCTTGTTCAATTTGATTCCCATGGAAAACCTGAACAAGTTGGTATTGTTTCCTGGGGCAATTATCCTTGTGGCAAAGCTGGTACTCCATCAGTTTACACCAGAGTTTCATCATACGTCGATTGGATTAATTCAAAACTTGAAGCTTCATAAGCTGCTGCCACATTATCATCGAAATAAATTTATCAACAAATCTTTCTTTTCAATATTAATTAAATATAAAATAATTTACTCGAAATTTGTACTAGCTCTCTTTGTGATATATTAAAATTATGGAATAGTAAATAAAATAAATTTTGAAAAATACAAAAAATCGCATCTTTTAGTTCATTCGTTTAAATAATAGTTTAAAATTTTTTTATGAGAAAGGAATAAATTATGATTAAATGGATTTTTATGATATAATATAAGAAATTATTTCATAATAACTAGAAGCAATGTAAAATCAGTAAATTAAGTGACACTTGAAAGTTATAAGATAGTAAGTATTGATTTGTGAAAAATACTTTAAAATAAAAGTAGGTAGAATGAAAAAAAAAAAGAGGATTAGCAGTAAAGACGATCATGCAAGATTACTCGATCATTCAAACAATTATCTGAGACATATCTATCTAAAAAGTTGATTCATGTATTTCGTGGTGTTATCCACCGATATCTTTAACTTGTCAAGGACAAGAAAATTATATAAATACAATAAATGGTTTACTGATAGGTACTATTCTAAAGAATATCAACATGAGTGGAAAACTTTTGATCTTGGCTCTTTGCCTTTTGGCTACACAGGCTGGTAAATATATAAAAGCTTTTATTAAAATTTAAAATATGAATGAAGATGTTACTAAGCAAGAAATCACAATGAAATTCATTAAAAAATCATTCAATCAAGTAAACAATCATTTCAAAAGAATTTTAATGTTTCAGAGCGCCCTTACCTTGGGTTGAAGCTGCCATCATTGTCTAGATTAATGGCAGAAACGAAGATAGTCGGTGGCTCCGAAGCCAAAAAAGGAGATTTCCCTCATCAAGCCTCTCTCCAATGGGGTATACCACCATTGGTAGCTTATAAGCACTTTTGCGGTGGTTCTATTCTATCAAATAAATGGATCCTCACTGCTGGACACTGTGTAAAAGCTGTTCCATCATATGGAAGTTTTGTAGTAAAAGTCGGAAAACATGCAATAATAGAAACTGAAATTGGTGAACAAGTTTCTATTGTTACTGCTACATATGTACATCTAAACTACACTGGGTTAGTTTCAAACTTATTTCAATTTTTTTTTTTTTTAGTGATAAAGTTCGTTTTGGAGTAAAAACTTTTTTCATTTCTTTTATTAATTTAACTTTTTCAATGAATTATTCACTTTTTAGTAAAAAAAAACATTAATATTTGTCGTAAATACAGATGAATGTATAAACTGACGCTACTTAAAACTGGTGAACCGCCTTTTTGGCGAATGTGCGCGCGCACTTTCGACAAAATGGAAGGAAAAAGCAGCATTTTGGCGCTTTTTGCACAACATTTTATTAGATTTGATAAAAGAATTATATTAATGGTTTTAATTACAAAATAATTTATTTTTATTTTTAATAATTGTTTATTGACTAATTAATAATTAATTCACGAATTTAAATAAAATAAAATTTTAAGTTAGCACTGTTACCAACCAATAATAATTGAACAAATATTTGCAGAGGAGTAGCACCGTATGATATTGCCTTATTAAAATTAAAAACAGCTTTGGTATTGAATAAAGCAGTTTCTCCAATTCAATTGCCAAAACCAAATGCTCTACCAACTGGAAATACAATTTTATCTGGCTGGGGTTCAATATCTGGAAACTCAACAGCTGTAATGCCTGCAAAGTTGCAAACAGCAATTTTACCAATTGTTTCATTGAGTATTTGTAAACAAGCTGTGGAAAAGTTGACAGGACCATCTCCCCTACATGAAACAAATGTTTGCACTGGTCCTTTAACTGGTGGATACTCTGCTTGCAATGTAAGTACTTTTTGGACGATACAATTGACAATAAAAATACTCAATGTATTTTACGATTTAATAAATTAATTTTAAATTTAACAGGGAGATTCTGGAGGTCCATTAATCATAAAAAATGGAAACAGATCAGAAGTTGTTGGTGTCGTTTCTTGGGGTATTATTCCATGTGGTTCAAAAGGAGCTCCTTCAGTATATACTCGTGTGTCTGCATTCATTGACTGGATTCTCATTACAATGACTTACAATAGCTAACAATTGAACAAAAAGAGTTGATTTATTTTTGTATTTAGTGAAAAATGAAGTTTCAGTTACCAATCATAAAAAAATCACTTAAATAAATTTGAATTAACTAACATCAGTCTTAAAAATTTAATATTATCTTAAAATATATAAATATTTCTCTAACCGTGACAAGTGAAATTCAATCATTTCAACTTCATCGTCGAGTTTGGAAAAAAGTGATGATTTATTTCATTATTGTAGATCAATAATTTATTTATATATCAAACCATTTAAATAGATAAATTCAAACTAATAATTCATTAAAACAACACAATTTTAAATAATCATTCAAAACATTCAAAATTCAAAGTGCATTTGAAAAATAATACTTATTTATATTTTGTCATTGCTATTAATCAGTGTGGACGTATTCAACACTCATTTTTAACGATAAATATGTTAATAAATAATATTAATATTATTTTACAATTAAGACTGTACAAAAAAAAAAATTTTTCTCAAAAATGATTCCACAGGCATCATATTGCTTCTTAAATTTTTTATCTAAAGATCAAATGATCCAGTCTAGTATCTCGTATTATAAACATTGTCTGCATTGTCATATATTTATCTCTTGAAAATATATACCAAGCTAAGTTTGAAAGCGCGATACAAACTTGAATAAAATTGCGTAACATTCCAAGCATTCTAATGCAAGAATGCCAAATAGAAGCACAGATTGGTTTTCTTTAAGTGCATTGTCCGTTCACATGGTTACAGATGGGTCTGAAATAGGCGGAAATAAGAAAGTCAGAATGAAATGTTTCTACAACTACAAAAAAAATAAAAATAAATTTTACAAAAGGATAACAATGATTGAATGTGAAATATTAAAAAGTGATCATGTTAATTGATGAAAAATAACTACGTGGATTAGTCAACTAATTAATCAAATAAAGCTTCAATAAAAGAAATAAAACGATGTGGCCATCCATTAAATCACATCTTTAGAACTTGGCTATTTATTATTATTATTATTATAATAATATCTATCATACACCAAAAAAATAAGAAATTCTTCTTACTCATATAAACAATATTAATATCAATATATATCATTATATTAATATATTTATATATGTATATTGCTGAAAACTTGAATCGTTTCACAAACAATTTCTTAACAATAATTATTATGAAATCATGTAAGTAATCGACTAATTTACACTAAAATTAAATAATAAGGCGATACGTTACTTATTTGTACAGGAAACATTACAGAGGAAAGCTTATTTTTAAGAATTCTATGTGAGTGCTTATTTTTCAATTGTGAATTTGTTCAATAATTATCATTTGTAATATATATATATATAAGTGCTTTTAATTTTTATAAGCAATCACAGTAATTGCGATTAATTTGTTGAATAAGTACCAAAGCCGAATTTACAATTTTATTCAAAGATCCTCAAATACAAGATCATTTTTTCATGAAGAGCTGTAAATGAAGTAGCTCGTGATATTCGTTATATTTATTACATATCAAATTGATGCAAATGTCTTTGCAAACAATAGTTTTTATCTATTTAGATAAATGGTAAATTATTGGATATTTAAATAGGAATTGAAGTAAATATTTTATTTCAGAGAAGAGATAGAAGAAAGATTGTTATATTAGGAAGAAATAATTAGTTTTAATGTATATCAATAGCAAAGATTATTGCAACAATCTAATATATCCCATCATAATCCCATGCATCTTAAATTATCGACTAAATTTAAAATTACACGGTTATCATTTTATTAATTTTATATTTATAAATTAATTAATTTTGCATATTTTTCCTAACCAAATGAGTATTCATCACTTAATTAACCATTTACTGACATTAATTAGGCCGCTGGATAAATACAAATACACACAGCTAAATATAAAATCATTAAATGATTTTTCTGAGCTAAAAATTATTAAGTAAATAACTTGGCTAATCTTATAACGTATAAATATTGAAATGCATTTAAAAAAAGAAATTTATTTTTACTACACTTATGCATGATTTAAAAAGCAATTGAATGGTTTAATATTTTACAAAATATGTATAATATTCAATTATTAATGAATGTTTTTTAAAAAGCATTAGCTACTCATCGTTAGAATTTTCTTCACAACCAATTTATTTCTTTTTTAAGTTGCAAAAAAAAAAATTCAAAATATTTAGAATTGTTTTTAATCAGAGTAAATGTTTTTACTATGATTAGCTGTCATTAAAAAAATGTATATTAATTAAAAATAGCGGACATTCTCATTCAGAACTGATTTTTGATTTAATTCAACTATTTCAAAGAACATTCAAATGATATAAGTATTTATACAACATTACTTTACTTTGACTTTTAGAATATTGTTTTACAGTTGTTGAAAAATTATTTATTATTCTCATTAACTGCAAATTATTAATAAATAGTTGAACAAATGTATCTCTTGTACCTTTACAAGAATCAATTTACGTATTTAATTTAATTTTATAAAAAATCTAATTAATCTGAAGCTACTGGTTTATTTAGACATTTAACTGTACAATTTTCTAAATAATTTTGTAGTCTTCATTCTACAAAATAAACAAGTGATCCTAACGAGAGTGTATCAGATTATCATTAAATTCATTCGATCAATTTTTCAATTCCTCTATCATAAATGACGTTAATTATGAATTGATTAAAATGTCATCTTAATATTGATAAGATATGTTAGTTCGATAAATGCCTGAACGATTAACTACAAATATACATATAATAAAATGGCAAGATAATTGGTATTAAAAAAGCTGTGATTAATTAAAAGTACACAAACATAAAATATTGTAGCAAAGTAAGTTAGTTTATGACCTTAATAACAATGATCATTTAAATATTCTATACTCCAGGCAGTTAATTATGACAATGTAGTATTTTTTTTTCTTTTTTTTCTTAATCTAACTTAGTATTCATTGGATATTTTCCAATTTATTGCCAAAGAGATACAATTATATATTAAATGATAAAAAGATTATCCCAAGTTTAACAATTGATTGTATTACTAATGTAAATAAATCATTATCAAAAAGATTAAAAAATTAGTTATTCAAAAAGAAATCTATATTATAATTGAAATTAAAAATTAACTAAACACCAACAGCTTTCGAAAAATTAATGAATAATAATTTGAACAGTTATTAATTTTTTCGTAAATATTTCTACAAGGATTCTTTTTAACGTTTACAAGTTAATTGAGTTCTTCTAGATACTGTTATTGTTTTTGTCATTATGGATATTTTTTGATGTTAAATATAATTCTAATCTACAAGACTGATTATATTTTTACATTTCAGTCAGTCGTTGGTGTTGATTAAATTGTATAACTATTTTTTCAATTCTATAATACTTATAATTAAGTATGTATTTAACATTGAACAACATTTTGGTTTTGCAAAACGTTTTCGATCGTTTTAAAACTTTTTTTACCCCCCAGTTTCAATTGAAATACGATTTTTATTAATGTAATAAATACTTCACAAATTAACATACTTAATATTTTAGTGAAAAAAATTGTTTTTCAAAGAGCTATAAATTTCTGGAACTCGTTTCTTAAACAATATAATATTATCTTTAAATTTTGGAAATGCATTCTTTTAATATAAATATATTTATATATGTTATGTATATATAGAGATCGAAAAATTAAATAATTTCATATTCATTAAGGCATGCTCAATTATATTTTAATAATTGATCCATTACCTAATTAGTAATTTATTAATCACCATTTATTAATTGTCTAATAGCACTATATATATTTATTTTTATATATATATATATTTAAATATATCTATTATTTCCCGGACGTTACACCGTTAATATTCTTACTGCCCAACTCTAGTATTATATATTACACAACTTACGATTAATGTTTCATTTAATTACAAAGAGACAAAAACAAATACATACATATAATATCCGTATACAGCTGAAATTATAGTCATCAAATCTGTAAAAATTTACAGATTTGAATCTTCAAGGCGCAAAGTCTATTTACAAATTTTATTTTATATTCATTGTTTTTTTTTTTAACTGTATCTAGCCATAGACCAGTATTAAGCAAGCTTTTTTTTTGTTTAATTATTTTTATTTCAAATATTTTCTGCTAATCAATTATGCTGTCCAATTCATTTGTATCAGATCTCTTTTCATTACTTTTAATTTAATGTAAACAATAATATAAATAAATAAAATAATGTAAAAAAATAAATTAATGCCCAAAAAATTTTGTTAAATAAAATTACCAAATAATTGAATTCCCTATAATAAATTAAGTTAATATAACAAACTTAATAACAGCCTGATGACTTAATGATGTGTAAATAGAAAAATAAGAAATTCATAATTACATTATATTTAATAAGATAGGAATTGTAATATTGCATTTTTTAAGTTTCCATTCCTTTCATTTATGTTAAAGAAATGCAAAACAATTCACCAAGTATTCCCTTTATATACAAAAAAAAAATCACCGTTATTAATGATTACCAAAAAAGAGATTTGAACTGAATATTAATAAATTGGTAATAAAAAATAAAATAATTATTTTAATACTATTAGATTTTTTGCATTTTTCGATAAAATTATTTAACAATAAAATTCCTAACATCTTCCACGAGATTTTTATCCTTTTGGGTGATTCTCTGCCGAAGATTGAGTAAGTTGTTCTCCACAATAGAAAGGTGAAGATTAAAGTGAGTGCGTTCATTCATTCTCGTTGCAGTATTTCCTAATTTGTGCAAATACACAAGCTTTCAAACGGTGATAACCAACGAGCAATCATATAAAAGTTTATCCCGATATCCCGAATGATAAAGAAGCTATAATAAATATTTACATCAAACTCACCATTTCTGTAGTAAGACTAGCTAATGCTTCTTCAACTGTTGCTGCTATTCGATTACTATTTTCTTTCTTATCAGAACCTTTGGTTGGCGTTGTTGGACATCCTAAAATAATTCAATGTTTTTTTATACTGATACGAATAAAATAAAAAATAAATGCAACCAAAATATTGAAAGGAAAAATAAATTTTTTTAGTGAATCTTCTAAATAAATAGAATTTTTTACAGACAAATTAATAAATAAATTAATTAAAAATTGACTAAAAAAAAAAAACTCCCCATTGATACTTGTTGAAGGAAGCTTTGCAATCCGCATTGACAAAACACAAAGCGTGATTATATATAATAAAATACGTGAATTATTATGCAATTAATAATATACACAAGTAAATGATAAAACTTATCTCGAATTATTTATAATGTTTGGCTCTAAAAACTGTTGAGAAAAATTAATTTATAACTGATTCACTGTTTCCTGTTTTATTTTATTTTTTCATCTAAAAAATCAACTTAAATAAATGAAAAAAAAATATTATACAGAAGAAGTTGAAGAGTAAGAAAGAAGAAAAATTAGTTAAAAATACAAAAATTTATTAACCCATCAATATTTATCTGCGTTTGACATTAACTGTATATTCATTATTGTAATTGAAATATAACTATTTGTATTCAGTATTATTGTAGACAGTTGATTAACTTAAATAGCTAACTTTGGTAAAAAAAATCAAAATTTCTTACATAAACTTATTATTTATTTATAATAAATTATCATAACTTATATTGCTAAATAAATCCTTGCAAAATTTTCTATACAATCCATATGTAATATTGGAGTAAATAATAAATCATTTAAAAATTGAGTGATATTTGAAAAAATTTTAATAGTGAGTATTTATCATGCACTTATTGAAAAAATTTATCGTAATATTTGTATATGGTAAACTAATTCATTGATGAATTTTCATAGGTGTGTAAGCAAGACAATTAAGACTAAAAACAACTCTCTGGTTGGCAAGCAAATTAGCATTATGTTTATTAGTTATTTACTTATCTTTGTAATAATAAATTTACAAAGTCTTTTAAGTGTACGGAACCAACATTGAAGATCATCACTATAGATGAATTCAAGTCTCATGAATAAAAACTTTGGTCAACTGCAGCATAACATCATTATCTTTTTCATTTATCACTGCACTATAATATCTATATATTGTATAATATATTTATTGCATAATTATCAAAACAAATAATCATTTAAATATAATGAATACAATTGTTGGATTAAATTCTCTAAAAGTTTCATGTGATTTCACTATAAAAATACAATTATCAAAATTTTGTTTAGACATTCTAGAGTTTGGTACAGTCTTTCTTAAGATTTACACTAAAAAATTTTATTAGTAGTTTAAAAAAACCACTTCTAATAATAAATATCTATTCCAAAAATGAATATAAAAATTTTTATGAATAAATCTATAACATGTATTAGTTCTAATTTCCATCGTAACCATGATTATGTTAAAGTAAATTAATTGGTTTAAATGAAGAATGTTGAGTTTTGAAAGATTCATGATTCAAAGTAGAGATTTAGCGCCAAAAGAAACTTACCCATATCACCACTACTGGAACTTTCAGTAAAGGATGGTGTTCCTTCAGTCCAAGTTGGAGTAGATCCTTCAGCACTTCCAGTTGGAGGTGTCCAAGTAAGACCACCTCCACTGCTTCCACCTCCTCGACTGCTGCCACTTTCAACACTCAGTGAGGATTTTGTCACTCTACCGCCATTTCCAATTGCACTTCCACTGTTTTCAAGATGCACATCTGATATACTGGAGCAAAATTTTAAAAAATTAAGTTATCAATTATTTCATCCCTTAATATACTTTATTCAATATTTTATTTTCTCAATGCTCTAGCATTGATTAACATTTCGATTATTTAAAATAATCAATGAAATTATTTTATATTTAAAAGATTGAATTCAAAGCTAATTTTTCTTAGAAAGTTTTCTTGATAGTATAATTCTATTATTTAGAGAATGATGAAATAGTAAACTTACCTAACAGTGTCATGATAAGTTTTTGTAAGACTAATTTGATAAGCTTTGCTCTGTTTCACATAACTGGAGCTTGAATTACTTGCTGAAGTAGTAGTATTTTGAAAATGAACTCCTGAGGCCAAAGTTTGATCATTTGAACGCACTGCATCATCAAAAGGCGGGGGCGGGGTGGAGCAGGTTGAAGGAAGGGTACCACCTACAAAAAGCATCTACAATTAGCTCTACGTCTAGATATATTCATTAAAAAAATATCACTTATTCTAAGACATACAGAAAAAATATTATGTTCAGAATCATGTCAACAAATATTAATAGATGCTATAATCCTTTTTACTTATCAAATCTCTAAACTAAATGACTCAGCTGCATAAGATCAAGATTAAATAGAAAAAGACAACTAGTTACAGCTGATATGTCAATGACCTAAAATACAAATAATAGATCAAGTTCAATAATATTTTTTCTGTATGAACACTATTATAAATTCATTTAATAACAATTTAAAACTATTCTTAATTCTTTATCGTAAATTCTATCAAAGCGTCAATTATTTAATTCTAGAACTAAAAAAATCAACAACGCTTCTGTGCATACATAAAAGACAATACTTAATAGTTAATTTTTTGGCAAGAAACAACATACTTCAATGAACAATAATAATTCATAACATACACATAAATATCAATGAGCAACACAAAATATAAGACACTTAATTACTAGCGATCAAATGATGATAATAAAATCAATGAATTATTAACTGAATTTCAATCTAATCGATAAAGCAATAAAGAATATCAAGCATGCTTATTATGGCATAATTTTACATTTATTATGATTAATTATATGCAATGTAGTGTGCGTAATTAATCAATTATCTAATAATCTAATTTTTCAAAAGTACAACTACTGACACATTAAAAAAATATATCCAATGAAAAATGATTCACTATTTGAAAATCTTCAATTTTAAAGTTACTAATAATACATTACTAATAATGTTAAAATTGTCTATTTGAAACGATCAATTGTGGTGATAGCCATGTAAAAAAGAATTATTTCGAGAAGTTCCTGCACTGCTTTCGCAATTAGATTGTTTGTTCAAACAAACATGGTATTTATCATCAGACACATGAGGTTTCAAAGTTTCTGGAATTTTTTTAGCATCCATTTGGATGTTTGGTGATGAAACTTTCATTGTAAAAACACTGGAAGACATTACATTATTATATTTCAAAGTTTTTTCGTCTTTTCTATTATCAATATTTTGAGCATTTTGTCTAAATGATCTTCGAATAGTGGAAACTTTTCGAGAATTTCTTGTCGTCTTAGAGATAGAACTGAAGAGTGGCTTTTTTAATGACGCTCTAGGTGTAATTTGTTTTTTGCGTTTTTGCATTTTATAAGATTTTGTGTTCACTTTAATAGGATTAGAGTGATCTTTTAATTGATGAGAAAATTCATGCGGACTATTTAAGCTTGACGTTTGAATAATTGAACTAGTTTCACTCGTAGATGGTATTTTTAAACTTTCTTTGATCTTCTCCACATCGATTTTCTTATCTCGTACTCTTTCTGCATAAGTTGCTGAATATTTATTATCCTTTCGAGACATTTTATAGCTAACGTTCACCATTTGCGTATTAATATTCATCATCTTCTGTTGATTTATTCCACCAGGGGGCAATATGAATGATGGAACATCTTCTGAATGATTAGATTGAAGAATTGGTGATGGAGTTGGTCTAACTTTTCGTCTCATTGGTTTAAATGGATGAGGACTTGTTCGTATAACATAAGAATTAGCTGATTTTTCCACTTCAATAAATTCTTCATTTTCATTGTTGTATTCATCGTAATAAACTGGAGGGTAATATTTTTTTTCTGAATAAATAAAGAAACCAGTAGCATGCAAACGGCTATCAGAATGCTGATATAAGTTAGGCACATGCAACGACGATCGAGGCGAAGTCAAACAATCCTCTTGTATTTTCACCATTATTTTATCATGCAAGCTACTCGCATTACGGCAGTCACCTCGTCCAGATGTCGAAGAGGACGAAGAAATATTTCCACCACGATGATCTTCACTCTTCTTACCAGCACCTCTTGGTGGTACTGGTGGTGGTACTTTTCCAGAGGGTACCAGATTAGGATTTGGTGGACTAGCTGCACTTCTGCCTTTCAATACTGCTGGATAACTAGCACGAACTGTCGAACTAGCAGTCAAGGGTGGTGGTGCTACTGAAACAACTCCATCAGCGGTTGATGTTGGTAGATTTATTGGAGTTGATGTTGCTATTGGCACCGTATTGGAAATGACAGTGGGTCCACCACTGACGATTGGTGTGCCTTTTACTAATGTTGGGCTTACTGGTAGTCGGATATCAATAAATATTATGATATCAGTTGAATTAAAATAGTAAATAGCTGAGAATGATTTAATGAAACAGGTATTGTGATCAAGCATTCGATAATTATGATGAGTTAATTAAAAACTGTTATTATAGATTACTATTTTAGATTTTTTATACATCACTGTATGACAATTATTGAAAAAAAAATTTAACATGATAAGCTAAACTAGATTACAATATTTTTTTGTTCTTTAATAAGAAGAGTTTATTCTGAATCAAATAAAAAATTAATTCATTTATTGTTTTGTGCATTGTTGTGATTTATGTCAGCTTCAATTAACTCATCGTTTGATGATATATTTAGAGTTTAGTCATGACATATTCGTTATGATACAGTGAAATGAAAATAGAGTAAGGATTTGCAACAGATGACTCACCAGGCTTTGTGGGTGAAGTAGCATGCATTGCTGTACTTCCAGTGGCCGCCACCACTAAACCATCATACATTTACTTATTATTATCTCTTCTAGCCATTCGCACAGTATGAATTATTAATGTCTTTTATGTTTAATCGATGTTTAAGGATGATACATGAAAAAATGATTAATTTACATGTTACATCTTGACAAACAATGATTAACTAAGCCTGGGACTTTGTAATACATTTTGGGGATCTTGAACATGATACAAATTTGGCTGTACATTTACGTTTGGTGCATCTTTCACTGCGTTCACCTTCGAGAAATTTCAGTGTAAAATATTTTACAAATTGAACTTAAAAATCTTTAAATATGTGTCGGTGCTTTACAATTCAGAATTTATTGTTTAAAAATAATTTTAATATTCTTTTTTTTAAATGAAATTAATAAAAAAAATTTTGATAATTATTTCTGACTTACCAGTAGAATCAAAATCTCCCTCAAGTGGCCGCAATGGCCTGGTTATACTTTTTCTTTTAGACGGGGAATGTTTGAGAGCTGGAACATAAATTATGTAAAACGTAACGATTTTTTTATAATATCTTACAGAAATGAATTAAGACAAATTAAAGCTTTACAATTAATTACAATTACACTATTAATGCATTAATTGATCAATATATTTTTGAATTATTAATTATTAATCATAATTAACAATAAATTCTTGATAATAAATCCTATAAATGTTGCATAAAATATTATCTAACTCGTACATAACCATTATTAATTTTCATTATATAAATGTCTAGATGAATTATTGCTATTCAATAAATAGGTTTATTTAAAAACTAGTATGTAAGACTAAATGATCTGACAACAACAAAAAGCGGATTTAGCAAAATCATTAAATGTTGGAAGCATTTCGATCTTGGATATGAATAATACATTTCACTTATTAACTTACATTTAAGTCGTCTATACCTAGAGTGCTTATTAGAAACTTAATTAAAAATTAAGTAAATAAACAAAAGTAATTATTGAATAATATTGAAAGAGGATTATTTATTAAAGAAATGGTAGTCTCAGCAAGTGAGAAAAATGGGGATTTAAAAAACCTGAGTATGAATAAGATTGTATATTCATAGAAGAATTTTTACAATTAAAGCAGACACACTACTGGCACATATAACTAATAAAACATCAACATGCTGAAAAAATACTGAAATTTGTACTGGACCTGTTGGGTATATTTGTGTTGATAAATTTGCAGGAAAAGAATTGAATATTTATAAATTGAATAAATACCGATAATTGGTTATATTATGAGATCTTTAAAAAAAAAGATCTCAACAGGGTAGTAATAAGATACATGCAAATTGGGTAAAAATGAAAAACAGTCACTCACGTAAAAACACGCACGTAAATACACCAGAATACAGAGGAACAGATGCATGGATAGACAGAATGAGAGACAGAGTTTACCTATGTAGCTGGTGACGAGGTTACGGAATTTGCGATGATTTCCCTTAATCTCAGGCAGGTCCACTTTCAGTATTCAATTTTTGAGTTTCAATCAGTAGAAAGTCAGATCAGGGGTTGACACGGAAAATGCACGGGCACAAAAACATCAATATTTAGCTAATATTTAATAAAATCAACACTGATGTTTAAATAAATAAAATTTAATAACAACTGCCGATCACATTTAATTAATCCATTTAGTAATACTTATATATAGAAAACTACTACAATATCGAGTGTCATTAAAACTTCCCTCATTTAATCTATTATTTTTTTTTTTCATTGCTTCGGGAGGAACATCGTTTATTTTATAATACAATTTTTTTAAATAAAATCTGTCCTGAAGTAGAACCAGAAAGTAAATGCTATTTACAATTTTATTTTTTAATTATCACTGCTAAAAACCGCGTTTACAAAAAGTAGCCTTTATTATAATGTAAAATAATGTTTTTGTAACTGTCAAATACTCGAAAAATATTTCTATCATTATTTTTAACTTCTACTTCAGTACAGAATAAATAGCAAGGTGATAAGAGAAGAATGATGGAAAAATTACAACTATGTAAAAAATGGCAGTTATAAATTGAAACAATTAAGCAAATATATTTGTGGAATGTATATGTATATTATTGACCGAATATTAAGTTTATAGGTTTAAAAAATAGTTTTTTTAAAAAAAAAATCAAATGCTATATAAATATTCTAGAAATAACTTTAACAATTAATTGAGTACATCAGTTTGATATATATGTATATATAAAAATAAACGCATCATCAAACAGAGATTACAGTCACAAGAATATATATATTCTTTCAATAGACTTTTTATAGATTAGAATTATCGTATCGGAGCCGATAGAATGATAAACTTGTTAAAGTTTTTACCAAACTATACTTTTATCAATAGTAATGCAAAAAATATGATTTTTATTTGAGCAAAGATAAAAGTCGATCGATTATTTCACAATGGCAGGCTACATGCTTAGGTAAATACCTCAAAAATGTGACGTATGATGATCCATCAACCATCAATTGCCATTCATATCGTCAATAAACAGTTGACATTGTAAAATATATTTATAAGAACAAATAAAAAATATCCTGACGGTCGTCAATTTGCTAATTTATCTTTTAGCTTACAGCTTACTGCTTTTTAACTTATAATAATTATAATAATGGACGTATAGTATACTCGTATGTACCTCAAATTTAGGTACTCGTCTAGCTGTACGCATTTTAAATTTTATTACTGATAAAAAAATTTGTCAGTTTTAATTTATGAACTTTATCTTATAAAAATAATAAAATTATCAAGTACCGTAATAAGAAATGCTTAGACATTTATGATAAAAAAAATAGTTCAATTAATAAATAGTTTTTTAGTATTAAAATATTGTAGATATGAAATTATTATTGCCTAAATTAATCGATTAAAAACTAAGATTTAATTAAGATAAAAATATTGTGCTCTTTTTTACTTAAATTACGTATTAAATAACTCAAGAGTTATTTAAAAACTGACAAATTTTAGTAAAAATTTTTTGATTGAAACTTTTGTACAACTTTTGAGCTAATTCTAAATACTGTAAGTCATCAATTGAATTTTTAACTGATACACATGTAAACGTAGGTATTCATCAAATTTATATAACATAAATTTTAGGAATGTGTTTTGTTTAATGCCCGCATCGATGGCAGATTCATTAGAAGAGGCTGATTCGGATGGTACTTACGTGATGGAATTTTCTTAAATACAGTTTTAGCCATAAAATCCTGGAAGCGCTGTGCATAAAAACCGGGTCGATGAACCGATACGGTATCCTGAGAAAGAAAATATTTATAGAAAAAATATGATATAAATATTTTCAAGGTCTGAACTATAAATAGTATTAAAAATAAACCGTCTTCAACTCACTCCGTCATGTATCATGGACTTCCACGTGTGTTCAAGTTTCTTCTTCAGTCGATAACTTTGAAGAATGTCAATAATACCGATGAACAGAAGAAGACGCTCACCTCTTGCGTTCCTCGCAGGAATGCCACCAGGACTATTTTGAGAAAGTTAATAGACAAATGATTAAATATAAATATAAGAAATTCAACGGTAAATCAATAAAGGTACTTACGGTACATCATCTTCTTCATCAATAGGTTCACTTTCAGCTTGAATACTTTCCATTGCTGTACTGTGAGCAACGAGTCTTTGACGATTGATACTCCGTGTTCGATTGAGCGCAACAGCACCTATCCTATCTTCTCGATCCCTTTCTCGTTCTGCTCGACCGAAATTTCCGCTTTCACAACCAGCTTCTCCCGATTCTTCTTCAGTAGGAGATAATTTCTGTTCCTATAATTATTTTCATTTCAATCATAAAATAAATAGAATTAAAAATTAAATAAACTTTGATTTTTCAACTGTGCTTTGAATAATTTAATCATCTTTAATCGTTAAAAGATTAATAAATATTGGAAAATCATTTGGATAAGATTTCTTACCGTCTTCTCTCGTGCTGCCTGATCAAGATTATGTATTCCTACGAGAAGAGAATAATCCATAATTTTAAAACTCTCCAGCACACGACAATCCCTTTGTATTGTTTTAACTAAAGCCCCATAAGTGTCAGCTTCTAAGAATATACCCTCAGGGTGGTGTTCCATGAAATCTAAATCTTTATAAGTTGGCGACTTTTTTGATCTTTCACTTTTAGATGCCTAAAACATCAAAGAAAAAAAGTGAGTTTAAATAATACAATCTTGAATATTAAATTATATATTTTATCTGACTTACCTTTCTTTTGTACGTTGATCCTTTTAAATCATATTTTTGATGAAGTTTAACTGCCGACGGTAGAAGATTATTCATTGCAACTAGTCGTACATTTTTACTATTACAACGATAACAATATAACCCAAAGAATTTCGGCAAAAGTGTTCGTGGATTTTGATTTAAATTCATATAATAACCAGGTAATAGAGTCTGCAGAAATTCTCCCTCCTTATGCTGGACAGTCTTTATAATAAATTCATCATCCTCCGTTAAGTAAAAAATACTTCCACTAGCTCCAGGATTTGATAATTCTCGTAAAGGTGCACTACACATTGACATCTGCAATTTAAATAATAAATGATCATTATTCTTAATAAAAGCTCTTTGGACAATTAATAAAATTTTAATTTAAAAAAAGTCAACGTACCAAAAAATCATCTGGCTGGATACCGAAAAGATCCCTAAAGTATCTAAATGCTATTGGAGCGTAATTCTTGAATTTAAATTCAGAAAAATGATGGGCCGGTGTGTGATTAGAACCTTCACTAGGGAAATTCGTTGTTTCTACGGTCATGAAATCTTGCATCAATAAATCTCTTTCAGGTTTACTTGCTAGACCACCAACAGCGTGCTGAATCCCTAGTTGTATCGATCCCATAATTTGTGTCGTTTGAATCTGTATGAAAAGAGACAGTAATTCAATAGTACATTCCTAGACAGATAAAGGAAAAAATGATAATAATAACAGTAAATAATAATCCTAAAATAGTATCAAACGATTTTATTTAAATGCTTATTTAGATAATTTAAATTGGAATATTATTTGTTTTGCATTAAAATAGAATATAACTTTTTTTTTATTCAGCTACGGAATGTGGTCTTGTCATTTCTGTTTTTCCATGTCATTTCGTATTTATACACTTCTCCACGTGACAAAGTGGAAGTAAATAAAATCATGCCAATTAGCTCATGTTAAACTTTGAAACAAAAGAATACTGTAGACACTGAACTCAACTAACCAAATGGTTTGAAAAGGTGTAATGATTTTATATATAGGATTCTTATTATTGACCATTTGATTTAGCACTCAGTTAAAGATATAAACAATCATTATCAGTCAATTGTTAATTAACTAACAATACGTTTGATATATTTCCAAGACCCAAATGATTATACATTTTGTAAATAATATCAAAAATATCAATAATATACACCGATAAACTATTATAAATATTTATCAATAAAAAACTAGTGAATATAATTTTGTACCTTCTTATATGTAATTTCCCCTCCAACACCAACTCTTCTGTGTCCAATTTTTCTTTCCCTTTCGGATTTGTTTCTAGAGACTCCCGAGGGAGTCTTAGAACCAACACCAGCATGGTGTGATGCTGAACTCTGAAAAAAAAAAAACATTTTAAATATATATTAATCAAATGTATATTGAATGAAATCTCTTTTTTCTCAATAATTTTATTGATTATCAATAACTTACTGTACTTGGATAAGCTATATCAATTAAATTAAAGGTTACTTTATTTTTCTTTGTGCCTTTATCAACAAAATTATTCAAAATATAAGTTTCCACATATTTTAATTGCTTTGATAAGTAATTCATTGAATTGTGTATTATTATAACTCCGGACATTTATTGTAAATTAATTCGAAATTCTTTTAATTTACTAATACTGTCATAAAAAATTAAAATCATTTTATTTTTCACTTAAATAATCTATTTTATCAAACAACTAACGGTCTCCTAACCTAATTTTTCAATAACTCTCTTTGAGTACAGTATAATTAAAATGTCAATTAGTTTATGTACACATATACTACACTGAAAAAAAAAATGGAGTAAATATTAAGAACTTATACTTACATCGAAGACTGTTGTTTTGTCTCCAATGGACTTATCTGAAATAATGACAACTTCTTTTATTCTCTTTATTCAATTATTGAATTTATGAATTAAATCTAATAAATTTTATTAAATCTATTTTTTCTGCTTGCCTTTTTTAAAATGCTAGGTAGTCAAAGGAAGTCAGACAATTACTAAATCGTGTTTTAAACAAAGTATTTCGAACATTTATGGAATTTTTAATCTTTAATAAAAGTAACGGGATTTTGTATATTCGAAAATCACAGATTATCGATGTCATCGTAGTTTGAAGTTACTTATAATCAAAGTAAATTGACTATGATTAATATTTTTATGGATTCTTCCTCGTAATCGACAGTATGTCGTAATGTTGGAGAAAAAATTGAAAAAAAAAAAAATTCTACAATGATGAATAATAGTTAAAACAAAGTTCATAAATGAAAATTGATATTGATTACAATTTTAAATGACCAAAAGAGATACAAGATTGTCAGTTGTCATATCAGTGCCGGTGTATACAGCTTACACTGAGATATTATCAATTATTGATAAGATTGATTGAATAAACATTGACCTAATAGTTTGAGTCAGTATTTAAGGTATTTTCTGAATCGAAAGAATAAATCTAGGAATGTCAGAAAATACAGTTATATTTAGGATGAGGTTATGTCGAATTCAGAATTTTGATTAAAAAATGAAATTTATCAAACTCACCATCTTCATCACCAGAATCGTCGAGTCTTGAAGATAATTCGGTTCCTCGAGCAGAATCACGAAAACTTGAGTCCATAACTTCAATCACATCGACGTTATCACCTGAAGCCATTTTGTATTCAAGCGCAAAGTGACTCACTTGAAATCTTAATTTTTCAACAGCACATAAATGTGTAATTATTTATTCATATTCTTTTTGTGATCAGCGCATATCGATCATACTTCCAAATTTTTTCCATTCACGCATCTTTCTCACTGATACAATTATACCTTGAAGAAAATAAAATTAACTATATAAAGGCTACAGATTCGGGCTATGAACGCCCACAACCAAATTTATCTATTGACCGCACGCCATATTGTATTAAAATGACTGCAACGCCTCTGACGGCGGTATTTCGTATTAACATGTCTCTCTAGTGGCAAAGTAGGAAATCTATTTTATTGATTATTGATCAGATACAATGTGATCTATTTTATCTTCAGTTGAACATGAAAAACAAAACTAGAAATCCCCCTAGTGGAGGATAAATTCTGTTTAGCAATTGCTCCAAAATGCATTCATTATTGTAACACCTCATCAAGTGTTTACTCAACACCACATATCAGGTAAATACACGTCAGTTATTTAATAAAGCACACTCGATCACATTTTATTTTCATGGTTTATATAAAATTTTCCCTTTAAGATTTATGCCGAATTGTTATACGTGACTTTAAGACTGCAAATTATATCAAGATTCTACATATGTTGCTACAAAAATGTAAGTAAAAAAATTATTTTTTTTTATTAACAATAGCAACGATATGATATGATTTATGATAACTGGGTGTAAAACCTTATCACATCCTGCATCATTCATACTTTTATTCGTTAATCATACAATTTACTGGAATTTAATCTTTAGTATGGTAGTTACTTTTCTTTTGAGTAATATTTTATTAGGTTATAAATTAAACTGTCAATCTCTATCTATAATTGCTGGTAATTAGAAAGAAAACTTTATTTATAATTCAATTTCAATTAAAGTACATAATTTAATAAAAAAAAAATATATATATAACGAATTAAGCTGAATCAAATTGAATTTGATGCATCCAAGGTATTCAATGTTTAACCTTATTTATTTCTAGAACTATCTTTGAAGCATTGATCATTGTTTAAAAGTACATAAAATGATTTGCATTCAAATAATATTTACATTTTACATCTTAGAGAAAATTGAAAGTAATTTAATTTTTTATAGAGCATAAAATTAAAGTTCTGTAAAATATGGTATCATAAATTTCCTCCATATAATAAAAATAATACTTTCTTTTAGTTATCAAAATGAAACTGGTATTTACATTGAGTTTTATTTTGATAATTCTACAAAATTGTGTTGCTCCACCTGTAACCAAGAACCAGGAAGAGAAAGAACATGAAAATGAAATTAGTGAGGATGACAAAGAGGTTTGTGTATATGAATAATAAATTATATTATTATATAAAGAAATATAATCAATAAAATACTACATGTATCATTCCAGAATATTTTTAAATATCGAAGATATCTAACAGAGGTGGTTGAGATGCTTGAAAGTGATCCAGCTTTTCGAGAAAATCTTCAAAATGCCGCTGAAGATGATATTAGAGTATGTTATAATTTATCTTTATTTATTAATTGGATTTATATTAGTAGAATTGTCATAATTTTATGAAGTATTTGATAAAACTATTTATATGATAATTTGTTTAATAGACAGGTAGAATAGCGGATAAATTGGATCTCGTCAACCATCATGTTAGGACTCAATTGCATGAAATAAAAAGACGAGAAATTGAAAGGTTAAGACATCTTGCCACGAAAGAATATGAACTAACAAACAATCTTGATACGAATTTTAAATCAGAACATTTACAACATTTAGATCATTCAAATCCACATACATTTGAAATAGATGATTTAAAGAAACTGATTTTAAAGGTATGATATCAAATAATTGAAGTAGTATTTAGCAAAAAAAAATTATTTAATTGAATCAATAATCATGATTTTAGGCAAGTAGTGATTTAGCTGAAGCTGATAAAAGGAGACGTGCTGAATTCAAAGAATATGAAATGCGAAAAAAATTTGAAGAAGAACAAAAACTTAAGGGTAATAACGGTAAACAATATTCTTTGCTTTTAGAGAAATAACTATGGGGTTAATGTGGTGATGGAACGCACAAACATTTTATATCATGTATTTGAATTTTTTTAAAGCCAATTTTTTTCAGGATTAACTGAAGAAGAACGGAAAAAGTATATTCAAGAGCTCGAACAAATGAAAGAAAAGCATAAGAAACACGAACCTGTACGTGATAAATTTTTTTCATATTTGAAACTTTTTTTTTTATTCTTCTTTCTTTTATTTGAATACTTTTCTTTCTTATAGCTTCATCATCCTGGAAGCAAACAACAATTAGAAGAAGTATGGGAAAAACAAGATCATATGGAAAGTCAAGAGTTTAATCCAAAAACATTCTTTTCTCTACATGATGTTGACAATAATGGCGTGTGGGATCCAGATGAAGTTAAAGCTTTATTTTTGAAAGACTTGAATAAAATGTATTCACCGGGAGCACCTGAAGATGATTTGCATGAAAGAGATGAAGAAATGGAAAGAATGCGAGAACATGTATTCAAGGAATTTGATTTAGACCAGAATGGATTAATAAGGTAATTTGTTTTTCATCACAATTAGCCGCTGTTTACTATCAGTTATAATTCATGTTGTATTATTTTACAGCTTCCATGAATTTTTAACACGAACTAAAGATCCTCAGTTCACCCAGGATTCTGGTTGGAAGTCAATAGATGAGGAACAGATTTATACACAAGAAGAATATGAAGCCTTTGAAAGACAACGTCAGTTGGAACTTCAAAGACAAATGCCACCCCACCCTAATGATCCTTCAATGCATCAACAGGTTAGTAATGAGCAAAGTTTTAAATAGTTTAATTATTTAACACGGATAAATTTATTAGAAGAAAGGGTTAAAAAGGTTGATTCGTTTACATAATATTTACTTGTTTTCTTTTTCAGTACCCTTACCAACAAGTTCCGTATGATCCCCATCAGCCACAACTTCATCAAGCACAACCCGTCCCGGGTCAAGTAGCCCAACAACATTATCAACAAGTACCACCTCAGTATAATCATCCTTCTGATTATAATTATCAGGGTCAGATGGGTCAATCAGTACACCAAGGAATGCCACATCCTCAACAGAATTTCCAGCCTCCTCAACAACATATCCCACAACAAAATTCCCAACATCCTCAACAAAATATCCCTCAACAGCAGAACTTCCACCATCCTCAACAGAATCTTCCTCATTCTCAGCAAAACGTTCAGCCACCTCAACACCAGATTAACGTACAGCAGCCCACTGCTAACCAACAGCAAAATACTCAACAAATAAATGTTCAAGGGGCTCAAGTAACAAACAACAATAATAATCAACAACAACAAGCTCCACCTGTCCATCAAGAAGACGTAAACAAAATTGTTAATAATCAAGCTTTAAATCAGCAGCAAACAGGGAATCAAGTTAATCAGAATACTGCTCCTCGGTCAAATCAAGTATAAAGGAAGACGGGGTCTAGAGAATTGACATTGAATTAAATGAGACTGTGTGATGTCTCTCTATATGAACGAAAGATTGAATCAATTGTGTGAGCTTTAAAAAATCATTTACTGACCGTTTACAATATCATAAATAATTCATGACTAATTATTGATAATTTTTAGAAATATTAAGAGATCATTATATCATAGTTGCAGTGTTTTAATGTAATTTATAATCATCAAAACAAAAAATCTTTGAGGAATTATCAATAAATTATTGAACAAGACGTATTAATAGTGTCATTTTTTATTTTATTATACTTTGAAACATGAAAAAGGTCATCAAGGACACAATAAAATAAACCGACGAACAAAATGCAATTTACTTTTTTTATATTTATTATTGCATACTGTTTATGTTAGTTTATTACTTAGGTATACGTGCTAAGTAGCAACTTAAATGTATGATTGCGTGATTCTGTTTGCATTTATTTCTTTTTTCTTATTTTTATCCGTATATTACGGATACAGGCTGGTAAGGTAATTTATGCTTACGTCAATTATATATAGGAGTTGTATTTATAAGTATAGCATATTTCGGTTTAATGTCATTTCTTAATAACTATTATGGATAATAAATTAAAAAAAAATTTAAGAGCGCTGGGGAGAAGGAGCGGGACAAACTTGCCGCATGTGCGTTTTTGTTTTTTTCTTTTTGTCATTTATTATTTCGCAACTGTTCCTCACTTTTTTGACATTAGTAAAATTAATTAAGAAAAATCATATTTACTTTGATTAACGTTGTAAAAACGATTTGTAAGTCGCGAATGAACTATATATCGAGTTGAAATACTAACTACATATTAACAATTTAAATAACAAATTTATCTAACTACAAAAAACGGTATTGTTCCGCTCGTCGAACGAAATTTCATAATTATTTAATAAGTTATACAAAATTAGTCCGTTTCATAAAATTAAAGACTGAACTGAAAAAAAGTAAACGATAACAGTATTGTTATTATTGGTAATATTATTATTGATATTATAATTATTTTATTATTATAAAGATAATACTGAGAGCTTCTTTGTGAGATCATTTATTTATTTTTTACAAATATCCCGACATAAATACTTTAGTTTTTTTTTTGTTATTTTTTTTTTATACGTCGAATTAATTACAAATTTAATTTTTTTTGATCACGCAATGGAGCTCTCTTGACAAGGACATTTTAATAAATAAAAAATGTATATTTATATATAAATTATTCTTAAATTACAAAAGTAAACAATAGATTCAATGCTCGAATATTTTTTCGTTTTTACTGATTAATAGTATTCATTATTATCATATCCAAGTATTGAATCATTCTTCATACTATTTAAATAATAAATACAATTAATAATACAATTATAAAACCTGACATGCGTTGCTGTGTCTTTTCATATATTTACAAGTGACAACATGTATTGCTTTTCAAGCTTATTTATCTTCTTTCACTGTCCGTTTTCACTGGAAAATATATATAAATTCAAACATTATAAAGAAGAGAGAGGGGCAGGGGGGAATGTTTGTGCAATATATATTGCGAATTATTTGTTTTTATTGAGCCTGTGCGATAAAATGACGTTTACATTCCAGGACAAATGTGAATACTCTATCCTTGAGATACTAAATGTGAAATAAAATTTTAATGTCATTTTACTTCATAATTTTCTATAAAACCATTGTGTGGTTTTTTTTTTAATAAGCAGAAAAAGAAGCGAGATCTTATGTATTAACTTTTTTTTTGTTTATCCTCATTTACTCACACACTATCATATATCCTCGTCAATTTCTTTTGTATTATGTATTTTTCATTCATTTGAGTAAAAGTTATAATGTATAGAAGTTCATCGCGAGGTCAAGTCACAAGGCCAGTTATTGTGGTATTAATTTACAACGTATAATTTTTAATTCATAATCTTTGATGTTTAGTCGTACTCTGTGTTTTATCAATTTATTGTTTTTTCCCTTTATTATTAGTTTTATTATAACTATTATTATTATTATTATTTATTGTTATTATTTTTCGAAATGCTAAAAATTTTTTTTTACTATCGATATTTAATTGTTTGCAACGTTTTGTGATATATTTATAGAGAAAGTTTTTATTTTTTTTACCAAGAAAAACCAAAAAAGTATTCTGATTGTTATTACGTTCTCTGTAAATTCACTCAGCAGAAAATTGTATCGACATACATTTATCAATTTATATATAATATATATCCTTTATATATTTATTTCATGTACTATATCATTATCAGCATTGCTACATACTTTTTTTTTGTGTCACTTACTTCTTTTTTTTAGTATGTAATATAGGTATCTTTCTTTTTTGTTTATAGTTATATCAAAATGTGGAAACGAAGGATTCTTATGATTTTTCATTATTATTAGTAATATTATAGTAATTATTACTATCATTATTATTATTAGTTATTAATTATTACTATTAATTATTATTATTTTATTTCTATTCCGAATTCTCGCTTTTTAAATTTAATTTTCATCCCCCCGAACTATATGACAACTAAAAATTGAACTTCCTACAGACATGCCATTCAGGGTATTACCGGTGTGGATCGATCCAAACGGAATTTAATTATTGTTTCTTCAGAGTCACGCATGACGAGCAAACGCCAAAACATCTGAGACATCCGACATTTGCACGACTGATGACTTTTCTAATCAACTGTCATGCACTCTGATCACACATACATGCATACAAAGTATTTTTTTTTTCAACGGCATATTGTGATTTTGTTTCTCTTCAATTTCCTCTATTATAGTGTTTTTTTTTGTTTTTTAATCAGGATTGATATCCTATTTAACATGAATTTTCGAATGACTTCTAATTGGTCACGATCTACGGGACTCTTAAATTTTTTTTGTTTGGAAGGCACTTACTACTTTTTTTTAATTTTTAAATTTAAATATATTATTTTAATTTAATGAATTTTTATTTCTTCTCAAACATCTTTTCTACCACAATCTCACATCTTTCGCACACTCGCTCGCTCGGTCTCGCAATTTTGTTATTTTTTCTTCTACATTTTTTCTCTCTTAATACATTTTTTGTTTACATATTTAATTAATTTGTCTTTTGAACACATCGAGTTTAGATTTTAAAAATTCTGTATACGAATTTTTATTTTATTATTAACTTTTTGCCGAAAATAAGAAGAGTGGATACCGTATACGATTTTTCATTTTTTTTTGTCAAGAAGGTCGGTAAATATTAGCCAGTAAGTTATTACTTTTTGCACTTTTTTTTTTTAAATATAATACAGATATTCTCGTCGCTTTCATACATTTAGTAATGTTTATTTGTTTTTTTATTTATTTTTATTACTTTTTTTTTTTGGTAAATTTAGCACAAAAATGTTTATATCAAGAATATCTTTTTTAATATTAATTACCACCGTGCTTCTTAAAATGAATTTTTATCCATCAAAATCTTCCCGAGCGTATTCTTGTAATCTCTATCGTAGTTATTTTTCCCTTACATTTTAATCCGACGTTTATCCAATAAAATTACTTATTATAAAAATTATTATATTACATTTTTTTTTTCTTTTAGATAAATATAAATATTTAAAAATGAATTAAATTAATTATTCGAGTCAAAGTCTCAATAAAAATGATAAAAAAATAAATTTTGAATTTATCTCATTATTATCACCACTGGAGCAACGTCGAATATAAAATGATGTATGCAAGAAAATAGTTTTTAACGACCGAGACGCGCGAGAACTTTCTTTTCAATTCCTAGACATAAAGGGAAAAGCCAAAAACAAGGTTCTCAACATTTGTATCATTTAAATTTTTGCTTTTTTTTTTGTTTTTTTTTCTTCTTTTTAAAAGGCCACTTCGAATTGTGATTTTTTTTTTTACATTACTACAAATTTTTCAGAATACAATACCGTCTGACAGCACAAAAATTTCCTTGGATTAATTGGATTCCATTGATCGAAAATCCTAAGGTCCCTTGGCCGAAATAACGCACAGCATTATAGGCAATTTTGAAAAATAGTTACCATCTATCCAAATACAATTAGAACCGAATACTATTCACACACTATTTTCATACACTCACGTCAAATTTTTTATGATTTCATCATTCTACATTCTTCATTCACACCTATACAATCGAGAAATTAATTTTAATAGTCATCAAAGATCCAGTCTACAATTTTTATAATTTTTTTGTTTTTATCATCTAAACCTTATAATTTTTATACTTGGCATACCCCAAATATGGCAGGAAGGCAATTATTACATTTAAAAAATTTCAGTTCGACTTATATATCGAGTTGCTGCTCTTTTCACTTTTATTTTCATTTTTTTTCCACTCTTTTATTTGTATTTCACCTTCCTCTACGTAAGACAGTGACAAATTTTGTACATTTCCTCTGCAATTTAAGTAGCGAGTGAGATACTGGCGTTATGAAAAATTTCATTTTAAGAATAACTTTTTTAAAAAAAAAGAGAGAACAAATATATTAATCTTTTTCTCTCATTTTTTTTACTATTTTATTTCTTAAAAATCTTTTATTTTACTCTTCTGCCTACAGAGTTGCGTATGTCGAATTCCGATGCTTATATGCATGAACGTTGTGACTAGAAATCGCTGGCAATGCCATTGCGTTTAAATTTACCATCATTGTATGCAAAAGTTCACCAAGTCCGTCCATTAATTAAATTTAATATATGAGTAATTTCGACATACGTTACTCCAATGATAACTTGTATGTTAATTATTATTTCATATTTTGTTTCACATTATGTATTAAATCCCTCTTATTCCTCTTCATCTTGCAAAAAAGGCTGTGATAGTAATTTTTTCAAATTGTCGGCTATAATAATATGCAATTGATTCTTAATCAACTATTATACATTTGGCATTAACATATATAGTATTCGTATGGGTACATATAAATTACGGGTGGCTATTTTAGTTAACGCGATTTTTGCTATCACTTATGCTTCAAAAGCTAAACCATTATTTTTTTTTTATTATTCACTATCACCTGAATTTTGGCGCACGTATGAGTTCACAATGTGACTAAAATAATAAATTAAATTATAGTCTCAATCATATTTATTCTCTTTCTCATATTCTACTCTTTTTTTCTCTTCGTGAGATACGTAAGAAAGAGCCCATTTTGGACGAGACAATTACTTTTTTATATATTCATTTTTTTTGATTATACAATTCTTTCCTTTTCCTCTCTTTGTGCTATCTTTTTTTTTCCATTCTCACTACATTACAATTTTTATCAATCGGTGGAAATATCCGATTGACTTTAATAATATCATTATATTATAGTCAATTTTTTTTTCTTTTACTTTTCGATTTTCTCTCATATTCCTCTCTCTTTCTTGTTCTACTCACTTTGAGCGTAATGAAGTAAGATTAGCAAACTTTATCGCTGAACTTACATTAATTACTGCTCACTACGAGAGTCAGTAAGTGGTTCAAGTTTGACTGGTACTTTATCTTTATCTCTATGCCCATGTGGACTCTTGACCAAGTCAGCGATGTCTTCCTGGAAGATATTTTCGGGTCGCGGACTCACGTAGCTGCGTTGAGGTTTATAAGTCATGCCACCAATACCACCAATTCCTCCTATCCCAATGCCAACTTCTACACTATTAGGTATATGTGCTGGATCCATAAGAGGTGCTAGTGGACTTGCTAATGGACTACCTTCCATCGGACTCTCTGGTGGTCCACCTGATCCTGGACTCGGTAAGCCCAACATTAACGGTGAATTTCTATTATTACTGCTGCTGTTATTATTACTTGGATTGCTATTATTATTGAGGTGAAGTTGATTGACTTGCACAGCCGTTTGGAAGTTTGTTGAGAGATTCGTTGCCACCATATCATGTTGATGTGATTGAGCGGCAGCTACCATATTACACATTTGATGTCGTAAACCTGAAATATTAATTCATATTATTTTAAATCATCAATAATACTTACAGTATTGATTTAAATTATATTTTATTTTCAGTAGAACTTAACTGATTCATCTAATTAATTTTATAGAAAAAAATTGGCTTTTAAAAATATTCCATGTCAATAATTCGTTGTCAATTGAGAGTTTATCTCATATTTAGTATGAATACAAAATCAAGCAATATCCCTTAAAACCACAATGCATGTTTTAAAGCTTAACAGATTTATACAAAATGTTTAACTTTGATCGACAATGCTTTTCATAAGCAGGGTCCACTTTGGAATGAGTCATACTGCTTTACTGTGTCAATCTCCCTCTTATCCATTCAGAGTTGTAACTTTGTATTAAATTCAATAGCCAAGTTTTATCATTTATTTACTAAAATAATGTTTTATTACTAAATGTATAGAAATAATACCTCACTACTATTCAAATAAATTAATCACATTCAATGAGAAATACTTTGTCAGAGTCAATTATTTCAGATAAGATGAAGAATCAAGATACATCACAAGTTCAGATGAAGATGTAATTAATATTTCCTTTATTTTTAAATAACAATGAATCAGTTAATTTCATCAGAAATAAAATGCGGTTGTTTTTAACCAATACTGTAAACATAAAACTTGTATTTTGTTATTCATCAAACACCCGCAGTGATCACACTGTTGAGAAGGAGGAAAGTATCGTCGACAATTACCTTGGGCGACCGCGGCAACCGCAGCAGCCGCAGCGGCACTAGGGCTCACCGCGCCCTCCGGCCCGTTGCACGCGTAACTAGCCAGACTCGGGTATATTGGGGTTGGTTCATCCTTTACGATAGATCCGTCACGAAATACCACTGCTCGGATCACACCCCGGATATGTTCGTCTGGCCAAACACCCAGGAGAATCCTTTGAGGTCGTCCTCTACCTTTTGGTCGAAGATCTAAAGATTTACAGATATAGAAAATTAGTAAGTGTTTCATTCTAACTATTTTATAATTACTTATTTATTAAACTAATTTATCAAATTATTTTCAGTTATTATCTTGATAATTCTTTGTTTTCAACCAATCAAAAATTGATTGATAGCAGATGATAGAAATTTACATGATGAAATTCACAAATGTAAGCTTGGTCATAATTAATATGGCCAAGTATAGGAGGGTAGGAAATGATTAAAAAGGTCCAACTATCTAAAAAGCGGAACTTGACTTTTTAATTAGTTAACTATATTGATGCTAATGGATTAATGAATATTATTTGAGTATTGGCATGTAAAAATAGCAAAATATGAAAAAATGATAGCCCATATACATGTCACAATTTCCAAATGGTATAAGAATTCATAATCAATTGCTAAAACTAACTATAACTTGTTATAATTACATTATCAATCAACAGAACAAAATCTATAATAAAAACGCAGTGGGAAAATAACCTACATCGGTAGATTAAATAATTTCTTGTATTAAGTATCTAAAGTTAGTTGAATTGTATTGTGCAATAACGATTCTGTCTGTTAAAAAAAACTTGTACTCGAAGTTATGATTTCCATTGTGTTTTTTACTTATAAAAAATGAATGAAAATCCAATTCTTTGGAGAATATAGATTGGATTGTTTTCGAATAAAGTAAAGGGCTCTGTGAGCAATGATTGATGCCGTTTGATTAGAAAGTTTTTTTTTTCATATTTCTTTCGTTTCGCTCATTTTTTTTTCTTTTCCAATTTTTCTCATAAAAAAATAAACAATCAATAACATATAGCGTATAAAAATGGAATTTTTTCTACAATAAGATCATATCAAATATTGTTTCGTCAAGCATTTAAAGCTTCTAAAAATAGCAAAAGGATTATACTAAATATTGTTTGATGAATAAATGTTACTCTATTGGTTGGACATGTATATGTATCTTTTTTTATATCTTCCAACTAATACAAAGAATATTGTAGTTTACAATTAATTAGCATTACTTGCTTATTTAACTAATCTATGCTTTGTGTAGCTTGATGCTTCTACTATTTTATGAGTCACAAAAAATTTATTTCTCTCTGTCAACTACTTCAGTTGACAACATGTTATTTTATTATATCTATTATTTTTTTAAAATTATTTAACATTTTTTTTTTTTGTTTTATAGCCATCGTTAATGTTAGCATTGAATTCAGTTTTTGTTGAACTTTCGAATAATTTTTATTGATTAAAGAAAACTACAAAAAAAAATGAAGCTTACTCACCAGCTCCTCCATCAGTACTGGGTCCGAGCATATTGTGTACTCGATTCGCATAAAGAACAAACGTTGGATAAGGGATGTCATACTTCCTGCAAAAGTAAAAAAATAAAATACTGAATGAAATGAGTTTTAAACATATTTTTTTTTTAGAATTATCAAAGATCGAGTTATATAATTTATTGATGAAATAAAAGTGATGATGTAATATTAATTAGTTTTTTTTCACATAAGATATGAAATAATATTTATTTTTATAACTTGGTATTTATTAATTCATTAGAACACTTGTTTATTTTACAAATAGAGATTTATATTATTATTGTGTCAACTTTCTTTGTAAAGATCCAAATAAAAAAAAAAAATGATAATTACGTGATAACTATTATCATCACGTATTAACTATCATTAAAAGCTCATTAAGTCCGATAATATTTATTTAGATCCTATGAGAATTCACATAATTTATCTGACAGAGTTTTACAGTAGACATTTTTCACACGCAATTATTTATACTTTAATTAAATCATTAAATAAAAATAAAATTTTAAAAATAAATTACTTCATCATCAGATTTGATAAAATTCAAAATATTTTTATAAATCAACTAATTAATTTTCTATTAAAAAATTTACATTCCACTATTTATTTTTTATAAAAATAGAGGGGGATAGGGCACAATGGGATACTCTCCCATTTTGCTCCATTTTTACGAACAATGTACCTACGTATTTCTAGCTTTTCTTATTTTTTTTTAATCAAGATGAAGCTTATACTTGTGAATACATAAAAAAATGTACTCATTTTACCCCGTGTCATTTTGAGTGATTTATTATTGTTCCTAATTACTAAATAATAAAGCACTTTAGTTTAATTTATTTTAATAAACAGTTTCATTTTTTTTATTATATAATTTTTTTTAAGTATCTCATTTTGTCCCGTTCTCTCCGAATCATAGACATTTCTCTGTAGAGTGAATATTGTTTTAAAGAAATGAAATTTTTCTTTGACTCGAAAGTGAATGATGATGAAAGAGGAGTGCTTACCTAGCGGCTTGACTTAAAGAAAGTCCTTCTTTTAGAACACTAAAGATCGCCTCAGCCATAGTTTCTGGTCTCCATGACTTCAATGGTCCACGTTCTCGAAAGCGCAAATTGTGCACCAGGCCTGAGTTTGTGTTCCAACATTTCTGCCAGAGAGACTGTAGTTGATACTGGTAGCTATCTGCTGTAACATGTCCCCGCGAAATAAGCGCGGAGATATTTTCAATTAGTTGATAGTTTACATGTACACTATATCTAATTAATTATAAATAATTCAATATCCATTACAATTCTGATGTTTTACACTTTATTTATTGTATGTTTGTTTATATAAATGATACTTAATTCATTATACCTTATCAAGAGTTGATCTGCAATGAAAAATTTAACAGGCAAGAGGAATCTATTAAAATAATATATAATTAATTTTATAAATAAATCTCAAATGAAAATTATTCTTTACAAAAATATAATTAATATAACTTTATTCAATTAATTTTAATATTAAAATTCAATCTAAAATCGAATTTATTAATAAAAAAAATTACAATATTATGAACAATATTTTCAAATAAAAACAGAATATTAAAAAACAATATTTTTATTTAAAATAAATAGACATTAATAACTGATTAATTTGAATCACTGATTGATTAAACTTAGTAATGAATCGATCAATCACAATAGAAAATTACCAAAAAATATTTTATCAAAACTTATTGAATAAAAAAGTATTTAATTATAAATTTTAAATAATGTCATTATTTTTATCTTCCTCTATAAAATGTAATATTTTATATATTATTACATAATTCATATAAAACCATTGGAATGCTAACTATAAAATTATTTAACATATAAAAGAGCAGAGAAGTAAATAAAAACCTACGTATATAAAGTTATTTTGCTATGATGTAAGCAATGTATTCTGAAAATACTTGAAGACCCATTCTTCATCTCGAGAATGGCCTCAATTCGCCACGATTATTTAATAGTTTAGTTATTGAGTCTAATTAAGCCTTCATCAATTTAATGATTAATACATTTAATTGGAAATCACAAATATACGCCATTGTGTCTATCTTTGGATAGAGTAAATGATGGAACATTTGTTTATATAGTTTCTACTATCATTTCTCACATCTAATAGTTACATTAACCAACTTTATTTAAAAATAACATTAATAGCACCTGCTATTATATATGTACAATTTATTTATAACTGCTTAAAACATATATTAATTTTTTTATCTTTCATAATACCTAAAAAATAATTTCACAGTGTTTATTATTATTGCTTTCGTTATATAGGAGCACATTTATTTATAATTTCTTCTTTTTTCTTTTGAGCAAATAATTAATTATATATATATAAATATATAAAATAGATATATATTGCTTTATATATCATGATGATATGAATTGAATAATTTGATTAAATCTTTTAGATTCAAATCCAAAAATACTACTCTGTATTTTTTAATCACATGATAAAAAATCATCATTGGATTTAATATATATATAATAATAATAAAGGCACAAATACTTGAAATAGTTTTTGTATAATAAAATTCAATAAAGCAAATTAGATCTAATAAACAAGTCTTTTTTGCAAATTGTTGGGAAGCCTTATTAATTAAAAACAAATTATCAAAAAATAATGGTAAGTAATTAAAAAAAATAAATATAAATATATTCGTCATTCATGTTCATTATCGTCATTAAAATAAAGTGAAACAATGGAATGTTTTTTACAGAATGCCCACCACCATCTAAATCCTGCTAGACCAGTGAAAACAAAACTAGGATCTCTACGTCTTTTAAGTTTCTCAACAAAATTAAGTATTGCATTCAATGATTTTTTGGTACGTCTGTTATAAGGACTAACTGTAATATCGCAACAAAATTCAAGAACAGCATTTTCTTCACTGGTATCAAGTCCTGCTTCCTCAAGTACCATCATCCTTTTTGATTTGCCAAGAATATTGTCGTAGAGTGTTCCCTTAGGTATTCCATATTTAGTTGAAGCTTGAGTGAATCTCATTTTCTGGGTAACAACAGCCTCAATGGCATCCTGAAGATCTTGACGTGTCCATGTTGGTGCCTTCACTTTCAGCAGGCTCGAATAGTCAGCTAGAATACAGGGAAGAGTGGGGACTTTTGTCTAACGTGGGTAGAAAAACAAAAACAATAAAACATTTGCTTCCTTAACAGTGATTATCTTCAAAAGGATTCCCTTATAAATTATATTACCTTGTCTAGAATAATTGCTACGATCGATGATCATTTTGTTTCTCTTAGCAAAGTTCAAACGATTCAGTTTGACATGGACGAAATGAAAGATGCAAGAGAAACAGAGAAACAGAGAGTCAGGTCACTTGCATCCTTTGATGGATTATAGATTATATTAGTGATAATTAACGCTGTTTATATCACATGATTTATGTTTCCTCATGGTCAATAGTGCTCCTAATTTCAATGTCTGATGTTTAACTACTATCTCTCTTCTCTTTAACCGTTCGATACATCCAATAATAAATCTACTCTATCTTTCTTTCTATGATTTATAATACTATTAATTAGAGCTTTTAAAACCCTTTAATCTTAGTCTTAAAAGCTGTCTCGACCAATTTACTCCAATATTTTACAAATTTATTATATCAATTATACTTTCTATTTTAGAAAAAAAATAATTATAAAATGGAAAAGCCATTATTTTTGTACTTCACTATTATTAAGTAATAATTTTGAAATAAAATAATTGTATGAATTGAGTTAGGAGTTAGTTGAAGTAGAGTAAAGTAAATATATGCATAGTTTTAACAAATATTGGAGTAAAATGGAATAATGTTAATGAATAAATGAAGTAAAATAAATGAAAAAATATTTTTACAAAAATTAAACATTAAAATTACCATGAATACTTTAACAAGCTCATAAAATTGTGTAAAATGAGATGGATTGAGAGTACTTAGGTGTACAATTTTAGCGCTTGTGAAGTTTTATAAATGAGCGATGGAAAATCCACAAGTTGCCACCTGTTGGCATATACCAACCAGAAAATCCATGGGTTCACTTGCGCGTTTTCACCCACTCATCACTTTCAAACTTTGCTGTGTGTTGGAATAAATAAAAAACAATTGATAAGCAAATAATACACAATATAATCTCTTTGACTCTACTAGATAAATTTTATCATTAGTTTTTTATTCTATTTATTTTTTTGTAGAATTTATTCACTATTAGCTGTTTATATAATATTGTTTTTTTCAAATATTTTATTAGCTAATTATTTTATTGATCTATTAATTAATAAATTAAAAAAAAAATCCAACAGTAAATAATAAGTAATAAAATTAAAATTTTGAAATATTTTAATAGATTCAATTTTGATAGTTACTTCAAATGATATATATTTTTATTGCACTAGATTATTTTGAATATAATTAAAATTATAATATAAAGTAAGAATGAATCTAATGTCACTTGTATTTAAACTCATCCTCTCAAGACCATGGGTCTACATATATCTACCTTATCTTGTTCTTTATTTCAATTTAACAGTTTGAAAATATTTGACAAAACTTGCTCTCACAAACTTTGAAATTCCATTGAAAGAAAAAATTGTTTAGTAAGATTGAATTTTCTTGTGGTTTTCTACTGGCTGTGGCTTAATACTTCCAATTAAAAAATAAAAAAAAACAATTGTGTTTTTTATTTATACTCCAATAACTATAAAAATCCTTCAGAACACTATTATCCCATTTGGTTAAATTCAATCAAATATTTCAAATTCTTTTTATTGATTGAAAAAACATTTTTTCGTGTAGTGAAAAATTTTTCTCAGTCTATGATTAATGATATTTTTATATTTAAGATGAATATCGCAAAAGAAAAAATGACATTTTTCATGAGAAACTTGTTTCTCTGCTATTGTTATTTGTTTAATTTATTATTTATTTTAAATTTGCTTTATTCCAAGATTACCGAGATACATCATCGTAACATATATTCTGAATATATTATGAAGTACATTCATGTGTATCGTGAAACTGATAACAATCGAAGATCGTTATGATTTATGATCTGTAATATGCGAGCGTACATATAGCAATAGTAGATATTTTAGCTTTAATGACTATTATATTATTCATTATATGTTATGTATTATGCAATTTTTTCGTCTGACTCAGAACCATGTACTACAAGCGACATTATTTTATTAAAATATGGTATTTACTCTACCAATATCATAAATACTGAGATCACATATAATGATTTCTGAAAAACATTGTCAGCATGGATATTTAAATTTCAAATAAAAACTACATTTCCTTATGTACGATTTATCGATTCTCAAGACTATTGATGAAGTCTCCAACATCTTAACAACTACTTCAATTGCTTTGTATCTAAAAAAATAATTATTTCAAGCATGAATGTTTTTTTTTTTTTGCAGTGACGAGACCCCTCTCTTTTCTCAGTTAATCCTTCAGTCTTTCATTTTTGTGTTTAACTTTTAGTTCAGAATTTTTTAATTAATTCTTAAAGCAGACTCAAAAATTCGAAAAAAAAAAAAAATTAAGTTGAAAAGGAAAATATTTTTGTAAACTAGAACTCAAAAAGTATAAAGTAAAATTACAAGTACATCAATTAAAAAGAGAATTCTTTAACAATTTTGATATTATTCAAATGTGTTCCATAAACATTTATTGTTAATCTCCAAATATTGATTTTTAAAATTATTCATTCATGATTATAAAAAACTCACCTGATATATTGGAGGTGGAGGCACCGAGCCAAGCGTGGGATGATTCCAACAACTTGGCCTGAAACAAAAAAAAAAAAAAATACAAATATTGTCACGTTAGCAAACTAAGTTATTATTACAATAGAAAAAAATGGTTTGTAATAATTGTTTGCAGAGTAAAGATATTTATTTTCCACCTTCAAAATAAACTCTAGAATAATTAGAACTCTAGGAAAATTACTAGAGCGCGAAAGTACTTACGGAAACAACTTTAGTAATATGTGGAGGCTTTTTCCGCGGAGAAGGTTTACGCAAAAAAAAAATGGTGCATCCTTTCTAGATAAAAATCCTGAGAAAGACACACGCAAAGTTAACTCATTTCAAAAGTTTATTTCCCTACACTTTCTGGACGCAATTCTATCGTCTCATATCCTTCCACTTGCCAACTCTCTCATCGTCGACTTGACTAAATGAATTTTCAAGGGTCTTCTAGATTGTCTAATCGTCCGCACTTCTTTACTACCTCATTTAACCTTATCGAAACCACTTCACCTAAATAAAAAGTCAAGTTAAATTGTAATTAGGATTTTTAAATAATATCAAACAAATAATTTTAACAAAGGAAATAAGAAAAGAAACTTTGAGATAAACTAATTAAAAACTTTGCCTTAATATCATTGAGAAAGTAAAGAAGAGATTGTTGTGGTTTTTTTATTTTAGATAACTTGTTAATAACCAGAACAATAATATCACCCAACAAAATGAGCCATAAATTTTTATGATCAAGGAAGAATTAATTTTACATTTAATTTTAATCAACTTTTGTGGTTTCTTGAACTAATTTGAATAAAAATTTTATTATTATAAATAAAAAAATGCTTGTTAATTATTTAAATCATAATAACAATTACTTTTTCATCAATATTAATTCTATGTTATTAAAATATAGAAAAAAAAAATCGTAATCTGGCTGTATCACCTTTCATCGATGCTTTCGGCTTCACCCTTCTTTCCCCTTTAACAGATACGATAAGTAACCCATGCGCAATCTAACCCTGCATTTAGCCCTCAGTCTCCCCGATAAATTCTTAGAACAGAAGACAATAAAAAATGCATGTATTAATTCCCCTTTATTACATTTTTCTCTGTAATGAGAGTAAGAAATAGTAGAGAATGTATTATATTAATGATCCCGCTAGATTAGCTGTTATTATGTACGTGCACTTTTTATGATCACATGAATGATAAATATTTTAATATGTACAAATATTATTTTCTAATATACCAAAATTATTAAAAAAGTGAGATTGAGATCAGATCGTCGTGGAAGATTTTTTAAAATTGAGTCAAAGAAATAATCTGTTGGTAAAACAGATTTTAAATTGTTATTATAAAATTTCAATAATTTTTATTTAATAAATTTTATTATTGTTTTCATATAAGATTAACAAAACAATTGTTTTTTTTTTACAGTATTACAGCTTTTACCCGAGTTAGAAATTTTTTTTATTGTTTACAATTTTTATATTTCCTGAAGTACCAAACAATCCCTCTAATGTTGATATTTTAAAATAGAAAATTGAAAAAAGGTGGGTTTAAAATATACACCATGAAGATAAAATTCTATTGAACATTTTAAAATCAATAAGAATCGAAGGAGAAAAGGGGGGCGGGGAATATGAGTAACAGTCACAAGAGTATCCTGTCAACATTAGCAACATTAGAGGGATTGTGTAGTATTTACATTGATTTTTATGTCCACTGCACTTTTTTTTATGCCTAAGAGAGAGGAAGAATTCCTCGTTTAAATGGCATTCGATATTTCCCTGATCAAGTTTATTTTCCCTCCCAAAAAAAAAAATTCTAAAAATTAAATAATTTTTTTTTATTAAAAAATTGATGAAGCTTGAACAAAAATTACAACAAAATCAAATTTTTCATGTTAAAATTAAAAATAAAATGAATATATAATTTTTGTATATTCTACTGCTAACCCACCCTTATTGTCAAAAGCAAAAAAAAATGATTTGAATTTCTATCAGAGGGTTCAGCAACTCAACTTAATTTTTAGAGGCAAGGGGGAGGGGATCAAAAGTAAAACAATAGAGAAGGTTTGACTCGGATAAAGTTCTATAAATAGGACAAGGAATTTATATAAAAGAACTTTGAGAATTATAATATAAATTCTTTCTCTGATTAAAAAAGGTAATGTATTTTAATCTTAACTGATTACTCTTTTTTTAATTAAAAACAATGAAAATAATTTTTTTATTAACTCAAATCTTTATTGCAGCAACTCTTGACAAGACGATTATGATTAAAAATTTTCATAAGGAACAGTTAATATTAAAATAATAATTAATTTCATTGTAAAGAACTTGAATTTTTGTTGCAAATGAAATAAAATTTTTCCTACAAGTTAAATTGTCATAAAGATGAATAAGAAATACTTGGGTACTGATTAAAATGAAAAAGAAATATTTCAGAATGATCGGGTTGAAAAGGTTTGGAAAATGAATTTACAAAATTGTCGAGTTAATTCCAACAAATATTTACCAGCAAGGAGACACACAGACTCTTGGATCCTAAATTTCAGTCAACAGAAAATATAGCAGTGGCAGACTATGTTAGGGACGGACAGCATGGGAGGAAAAGGGAAATAGCAGAACAAAAAGAAAAAGTCATCCTCCTCGTTCACTGCTATGCGCCTCGGGGACAAATTTCTAATCGGATTACTGCGGATTAGCAAAGTTCGTTTGTTCTAATGAAATTCGTTGAAATTAACGTCCAACTGCGAGTCAGCAAAAGGAGAAAGACTTGCTTCCTTCAGAAAATGAGTTAAAATTTTTTATAAAAATGTGTTTAAATTTAAAAAAAAAATATATCAACGAAATTAGCAAACTTACATTTGAATACATTTGTTAGAAAAGTTTAGCAAATTTAACGTTGGGATAATAAATTATTAACTATCAGCTTTAGTGATAATACCCATACTGTTGACATGTTTCCGCTTGATTAGAAAAACAAATGTGTTTTGTACATACAGTTGTATGTTACTTGCTGCACGTGTTAATTGCTATTCAACGTGTCGTTAACGGAAGGAAGTATTGATAAAAAATTGATTTTTTCTATATAAAATATATGTATATTTCAATGTTTTACGTATCGAAAATATTATAAATCGATTTAAAGGTAAATAAAGAATTCAATTGCCACGAATGATTTCATTTCGACAATAATTTAATATTAAATGAGCTAGAAATGAAGTGGAAATAATTTGGAAAAATCGAGGAATTGAATTAGAAATGATTTCCATTGATGTAGATTATTTTTTTTTCTTTATATTTACTTCTTAAATTATTTTTTCATCAACCTTTCTAACATCTATAGATCGAGTACTCTGGTTCGAGGGTTATACTTTCACTGTCAGACGTTATTACGCGATTGAAAAATAATTATTTCATGAAGTCGCTGAGCGAGTAGATTTTATTAACAACTAGGAATGACTCAAGAGGCTAACCCCGAGCGAGCATCCACTCTGTGAATTTCATGAATTTTTTACTCCCTTATTTTATTCAATTATTTATTTTTTATTCTCGCATAAATTAAGCTGAAACGAATTAAAATAACTAACGAAGGTAGCTAGGGAGAAAAGTGCAAATAAAAAATATAATAAGTTAACGAAAAATTATTTCGCCTCGGGTTAAATTTTTTTCAATTAATATAAGAATTCTTCGTACAACCCCAGCCAGTTTCCTTAAATTAATTTTTAAATTTACTATTTGGTATGATAAATGTAAATCAGGAAATTAATTAAACTATTCTATTTCATTAATTTAGCTTGAAAGTAAAAATTGATTATGGGTCTTATTTATTCACAGGTACAGACAAGACACTGAGGATGTTGATTCAAGAATTGAGGGAGCAATGAATACCGAGAAATTTCGAGCCCTATCTTCAGATTCATTAATTATAGGATGAATATAAAAAATTTTTTAGATTCTCTACAAAAAAAAGATCTTCACTCTTTTCTCAAAAATCTAAAGACATTTAGGAAATATTTATAAATTAATTGTAGAACAAAACTCAAAGATTTCACCACAATGTTAAACAAACTAAAAAAAAATGTATTCAAAATAGATGGAAACAGTTGGAAAGTTGAGTGAATTAGAAATCACTTTCAATTTCAAATGACTAATTTTCAATACTACTTTAATTGAATCCATTCAAAAAGATTGAATGATTATAGCTGAATTAAGTTTACGTAAGGTATAGCTTTTAATAATTTAAATTAGTTGAATTGTTGAGCAGTATAAAAAATGCAAAATTTTAGTACGACAGAGGTTGGTAAATAGTTCAGTAAAGTAGACAGTATAAATAAATAAGTTAATAAATTATATTGTTAATAGTGCATTAAATAAATACTAAAGAAGATTGAAACATAAATGGTTAGTTAAAAAGGATCGTAAATTTAAATTTACTAATGATATATGCACTGAGATAAACATCCGGCAGATATTTAAACGTAGAGTTTTCTTTAAGCTACATAACACAGTTAAAAACAGCTATTTCGAGATTTCAATACATAAATAAATTGAGTTGAATAAAGTCAGCAGTTGTGTTATATAAGTTTAAATAAGAAGTGCAATGAATAAAAAATAATGGCAAATCATAAGATTAATGTTCAATAATCAAATACCTAGAGGATCGATAATTTAGTATTGATCTAATTATCAGTGTTTTATAAGCAAGGATGATTTTAGTAATTGGGTTAATTTGTTGGTAAGTTAAGTTGTTTTCAAATATCTTTCAGTATTCCGATTCCGAGCTAATAAACAAATAAAAAGGAGCCAGCACATAAAGAGAGTAGAAAGATGCGGTTGGGAAAGAGAGTGGAGCAAAGAGAGAGTACAAGCCGGTAATTTAGTTGAGGGAACGATTTAATTTAAATCGCGGGAATGCTGAGTCGATTTAATCGGAATCGATTGAGCTGCCGCACTCGCAGTAGCAGCAAGCACGATTGGATTAATGCCTCCGTGCGAATTAATTCGATGAAAATTAATTCGATCCGTCGACTTT